GTGTGACTTACACTCCCCGAGGATATCTCCTTATAACTCAGTATCAAAGTAATGTGACAGTTGTCTGCACATCCAAGGGCACGCTACAAACAGGAACTGCTAATAGCCAATTCTGCAAACTTATAGAGCCAATTTGCCAGAATTTGAACAAATTTACCCTCTGGGGGGCACACAGTTATCTCAGTATTGTTTGATGTGGGGCCACAGTGTCAGACTTTTAAAACCCCTGGTTTAAGGTAATATTGGACATTATTTGAGGGCTTTTCTAAATTAAACTTCTAAAAGAGATGAGTATCAAATTATCACTTATTTTCATTCAAACTCCTCGTTTAAGGAAAAATCTGACTATTAAATATGTGGACACATGACAAATGCAGATGCTTGCATACAGGGCGCAAAGGGTACTCACTGAATGGTTTGATGAGTATGAAAATTATGTGAATTGGTTCTTACCACACTCCCCAACCAGGAATGCCAACTGTCTGGATAATACTGATCACCACCTGGGCCATGAAGACGAAGAAGAAAGCCATAAAGTTGAAAGAGCTGTCGGTCCTGCGCAGAGAGAATAATAAGTGTCAGAAACAGAACAGCGGGGACAAACGTGGCGTCTGCTCGGAGTGGAAACCAGCTCACTTGAAGGCCTTGTAGATGGGCCTGAACCAGCACACGTAGGAGCAGGGGGTGAAGAGGATGAGCCACAGGAAGGCCATGCCGAAGTTGGTCGCTCCGCCACCTCCGCACATCCACGCCAAGCAGCCAATCAGGTTCAAAGCCAGTGTGGCACTATTCACTGTCAACATCACAGAGAAGGAGCAGGGATGACCAAAATATGACATGGCGAATGTCCTACAGGCGGATTACTCACAATTCAGCAGGACTGAATCACTATGAATCTCAGCAACTACTCAACACCACACTTTCAGTTCTATGTTAAAGCTACAATAATTTAATATATTCAGGAGCTACACTTTATTTAGCACACACAGCACACTGTTTCTACTCTACAAGTACCAAACATTTTGTGTAAACTAATCTACATTTAACCAGACTTACATTCTTGTTTTCAAATGGCAGAACCTATGTGATGATGAAAAAGATACCATGATGCTCATGTGAATATCAATTATGGGATGCAACTAATTATTGTTTTCTTTATTGATTAATCTGCCCAAATTATTCCATTAAAAGATTAGTTGTTTAGTCTATGTATTCACAAAAAACAGTGAAAAGAAGTGAAAAGAGCCCAAGATGTCTTCAAATAACTTGTTTTGTCTGACCAAAATTCAAAAATCTTCATTCTTAAGTGATATGCAATGGAAAAGCAGCCTCACATTTAAAATGTACACCAGTATGTAGGATTTAGTGTCATCTAGCAGTGAAATTGCAGATTGCAACTAACTGAACACCGCTTGCGTCTCTATTTGATGACCTGGGAATAACAATGGGCTGAAGAAACTACGGTGGCCACATGGTAGCTCATTCTAAGGTAACAAAAACACAACAATTCCTATTTTCAGGTAATTATACACTAATGAAAACATACCTGTAAATATTACATTTAATTTCTGCCAATAGATCCTCCTAAATGTTACACACTGGACCTTTAAGAAGCAGGAACCAGAAACCAGGCATTTTGCTTTAATATTAGATGAAAATCCAAATGGTCATTTTCTGCCATTTGATCAAAATCAGCCTGTTCGTGAATATGTGAATATTTTCTGACTCAAAACACCGAGCGAAAAGAAAGTGTCAAACAAACGTAGTATTTTCAAACGATGCAGAAGAAGAAATATCAAACTGGCTTTGTGCCAGACAGTGAAACTGGTCAATCTGGTCTCACAGCTACAGTAGTGTGTCTTTAATGTTTCTGGTAAAACAAAGTGATATGGGATGAATAAACAGAAGCGGTGCACAGGTTAACATACCAAGACGCAAGCAACATACACACTGAAACTTGAGTTGTAGTAAAAGATGTTTTCATGTTTTCGAGTATCATGAAAAGCGCTCTATAAGTAAAAAAGTGTTATTATTATTATTTCTATGTATTGTCTATGCAAACTTCTACTGCAGGTACACTCACAGATCCATAGATAGTAGAGCCTCTTGCACATGGTGCGATGCGGGTCTGGGATCTCGTTGAAGTCTTGGTAGAAACATGGCTTGAGTGGGATGAATCGAGGCAGGGGAGGGAAGTTGTTTTCTAGGATACAAAGACACAGTTCAACGCAGCTGCCCACACAACAAAATGTATAAAGAAATCCAGTCAAGGCAGTTGTGTGGCAGATTACAATTTAGGCTTTATAAATAGGGTTGATTTCACATTAACAGCCAGCTTTGTGCGCTGCCTCTAAAAACCACATCCATACTGAGTAACTGAACAGAAAGGAAAGCTCACCTGCCATGATGACCGGTTGATATTTTTCCTCCACTTGCAAACAGGCACACAGACTTCAATCTCAGCTGCCTTGAAAACCAAACTGCAAAGAAACAATGGAGCTATTTTATTATATGCAACATCACTCTCCCACTGCTCTCCTTGTAGGTAACAGGCCACAATCCTCCATAGGCCTTCCTGTGGATGCATGCACACACTACCCTGCCATGACAGACTTTAAATCCTCATATAATATTATTAGAGGTGGTGCCAAGCACTTCCACTGTGTCCACCCACTGGTGCATCACTCATTAAATCAACATAAGATTTTAAATATGATCACACATTACAGCTGTGTAATGCGCGCGGTGGGAAACAGTGTGGCCTTGTCGCGTTTGCAGAAAATGTAATCATAACCTATGGGGGTAAAAGATGCGTGTTACAGGCCTACAGAGTCTACACATTGGACTATATACAGTAGAGATGTTTGTTTAGTTCTTTAACCTGCCAGTAAGCTATAATCAACCATCATCCACGTTATTTGAGTGTCTGTAACCCACAGTTGAACGCATATGATGGTGGATGTGTGAGTGCAGCTCTGAAGGGCATCTTTCTGCCACAATATGTAGCAATCTCTGCCGTGAATATGCGGACTAATCCCGGTTTATTTTAATGCACTGGGCTCCTTAAACGGTCTCCTATGTGTGTTTCCTTCGGCGGATGGCAGTGATGCTGCAGTAGGAGACAGTGCATCGTGATCACAAGCGATGGAGAAGCGTCCTTCAAGGCTGTGCGACACGGTGCTTCCTCCTCATCCGAGCAGGTCAAGCCCAAAACCTCCTCACAATAAACCACCCGGGATAAAGATGTCGAGGTTTTTACTGGAGCCTACCATTTATTTATTCTAACACATTAATTAATCCCCCTCTTCCCCTTTAGATGGGAGTGCAATGAATGAAATACAGCGATTAAAAAAAAAAAATAATAAAATAAAAAAAGCCTTACCTCCAGTTTAGTCCGTAAATTGTAGACTATAGAAGCTTTCCAGTCGTTTTAATATAAGCATCCTATGGATTCATCGGCATTAAAAACATACACACTGGAGGAGTGTCTGATCTGGCGCGGTTCAGACAGAAATATATTATTCGGTTATTCCTCAAATGATGGGTTTGGGAGTAAGCGACGGTCACGTGACGTAAGGTCTTTTCTTTACGCACATACCCCCAGCCCGCCCCACCCCCAAACCCCCTCCCTCCGTTGGCTTTACCCGCCCGGGCACGGCCAGGGCCGAGGACGACAGGAAAAAACGGGATTTGTTGCTGGCCTGAACGCACCAATCAGAAAACAGTAATTATCTCAACAAGCCCCGCCCCCTCTGTGACGCTCTCTGATGCTGTCCACAGTGCTGAAAATCAGAGGGAGGCATTGAGCTACAGGAGCTGATGTGATTGGCTGCCTGGTAACACACTTTTAAATATACTACTATCACAGATAGCAGAGCAAAAAATAGGAAGATGAATTACAGTCCTACTCCGAGCGGGAAGGATATGTGATACAACTAAAAAAAACGTATTTAACTGGATGCCACATAGATGACATATATCCGAGGGTTTTTTCACTTTCTCAGAGGTTTTTTTAGCCCAAATGACAAATTGAAGGTATGTTTATTTGTGCAGCACATGAATGCAAAAAAAAATCAAAGAAATATGGGTAATACATAACAATACAGCATAAAATAGTAAAATATAAATTAAAGGGCTTGCAACTATTTTAAATCAAAAAGATAACTCAATAAATGTAAAATGTGTAAGGTGGATAATGATTAGTGCTCAGAGTTAAGGTAGTAGTGAACATGAAAGCTTTCAGTACCACTTCTTATAAAGGGTTTATAACTTTGTGGCTTTACTAATGATTTATTAATTACCAAAGCATTGATCAGTGAACCCATTACTGAGGCCAACCTTTGGGTTGTTCCCCTCCGACAGCTCTACCCTGAACAAATTAACACATTTCAGTTATTCCCAAGCTTAACAACAGTGACAAATGTTTTGCCCTGTAGCTACTGGATAGGCCACCCTGTTTGTCCCTGATGCAAAAAGAAATATTTCTAAGGGGGAAATTGAAGAAAAATCACACACTGCCCGTATCTGTCTGATGGCTGAAAAACCTACACTCTGAAGATGCATATTTAACCCCAAAGATATAAGACAGCAATGTACTTGTGATAAGTTTATACATGTTTATGCCTTCTTTCAAAATCTAATATGGCCTTTTGGTTTGGTTTTCACTTTTAACACCTTTGTGCCTGACAAAGTCTGGTTCTGAACAGCTGTTGGTGCAGAAGAAAGAGTCATTTTTTTACAAGAGGGTGTTTTTTATTTTGCTGTGGATCTTTAATGTCTCTCTCTCTCTGAGCATCAGCACAGTGTTATTAATGCCGCGTTCATTGTTCCTCGTAAACTTCCCTTTTCTTGTTGCTTCTAGCCCATGTTAGAATAAAGATGAGAAAACCCACACCAAACACTTATGGAAGGCAGCTGTGTGCTCTTCCTAATTATCATTTCACTAACAAGGTCCACTCTCCATTGGCTAACACATCTGCCACGTTTGTGTTTACACATTTCATTCCGTGCGAGAAAATGTCAGAATTCCGTTAGTTTTTCCGGCACTTGAACGCAGCAGCTAACGTTAGCTCCTCCTGCAGTGCTATGAGTTGAGCGAGACTGAAGGTAACGACAAATAATCCTATAAAACTAGTGTCTTTCGGGTGAAGTATGTCTGTGTGCAGCAGGGGTATATTCCTGATACATCGAGGATCCCACAGGAGTCCGACAATGGCGTGTTTATCACCAGTAACGTTGCTCGGCGACGGATATATTAGCAGCTCTTCACTTGTTGTAGCTCAGCTAATGTTAGCTAACGTAGCTTCCTCCTGTGCTAATTAAGAGGAGCAACATTACTAGCTAACCTCATCCAGGAACTACACTGTAACGTCAGTGAATGCTATATTGTCCGCACAGGAGAAGACAGTACATAAGGACTTATTGTATTTAGGTGTTGGCCTTAAAAGTTACTATTGGCTACAGTAACGTAGCCAGTTACCTGACCTGTTGGGCCCCTCACTAGCAGGCTCACCTGCACAACACGAGTTAGGTGTCAAATTGTGTAACCCTATCCCTAAATGTCTTCTCTTCAAAGTAAGAGACGATGAGGAGGGAGAAGATTTCATGCTGCCGCAATATGCATCCACCTCCTCCACACATTGGACATTTGTTTGTATGATTTTTGAGATCAAGTTATTGAGAAATTAATCATCAGCAGATTAATTCATCAAAACAATTATTAGGGTAAACAGATTCTGATCAAAGTACACAGTTTAGCAATACACAACAGTTTTTAATCAGTTTCTGTTACCCCCCTAATATATGTTGATGATCATGAGTTTTTTGCTGGGCTGTTATCACCTAACCTAATTTTTGGCTGTGCTCACTGTTTCTTATCTTATCACCTCTGTCTGCAGTGCTGGGAATGCAGCCAACGCTCCCACCTGAGGCGGTCAGAGAGCTGGTGTGCTCCTGTCTGCACAGAGACCCAGTAGCAGCAGACCTCCGCTGCAGCCTGTTTGTGGCTGCAGCACAGAACTACAAGAGGGACTCTTTGCTTAGACCCTTCCCTCCTAGATACATAAGCGGTGACAATAAGGACTTTGAGGAGCTGGTAAGATATATAGTGACAGCTAAAAGCATTTGAACACGCTCTGCTGTAGTATTAATGCTTACATGTCAAGCACTGACGTAATACACATACACTTGGTGGCAGTAAATTGCTGTTAGAGGTAGAAAGGTGATCGAGAACAAGAACGGCAAGACAACAATACGTGTACACAATGTTAAAATGGTACTGCAAATGGTTTAAAGGTCCTGTGTGTAACATTTAATAAGATCTATTGGCAGAAATTAAATATAATATTCATATTAGTGCATAATCACCTGAAAATAAGAATAGTGTTTTTGTTACATTAGAATGAACCGTTCTTATCTACAGAGGGAGCAGGTCCTCTTCTATGGAGTCTGCCATGTTGAACTGCCATGTTTCTACAGTAGCTCAGAATGGACAAACACAACACTGGCTCTTGATACGGCCCTTAATATGTTTTGCAAGTTTCGTATGCACTGTAGTCAACAGAAGGGGAATACTAGACTTACTATGGACAGATGTGACTACTCCTGTTGTGGCAATATGATCAAAAGAAGTTTGTTTTCTTCTCTAGTTGGCAGATGTGAAGTCTTTGCCGGGTGTGAGAGAGTTGGTAAGACTACGACCCAGAGAGGGAGATCATCATCTGGCTCTCACACACTGGATTCTCTCTTCAAAGAGCTTTGCTGTGAAGACGCTGCAGAAAGATGAGGTACATCTCTACAAGTATAAATACATAAACCACAGTGTCTTTTACTACGTTTTGTCTTGACTGTGTGTTTCTTTGATCTCCACAAGTACGCCAAACTTTGTAACCTGACGGAAAATGAAGGGATTCCTGCGCCTGTGCCAGACTTCCTGTTTGAGCTGGAGTACTGTGATCAAATGAATGCCAGGTTTGAGAAGACAAGGGCAGGCAGAGACGTCTTCTATGCATTCCACGGCAGCCGCCTGGAGAACTTTCACTCTATCATTCACAATGGGCTGCACTGTCACCTCAACAAGGTTATTTCTGCTTTATGTCGTATGTGGCACTAACAGACTGTCCCTTTATAGACCTGTATTATAACATACAAGACTTCAGTGAAATGTTTGGATTACTAAAGGATGAAGTGGAAATCAGATATTTTGTTGTTTCTGCCAGACACAAGAACTCAAAAAGTCGATCTTTTCTGCATGTTGTGTAGAACTCTGTGTTTGGAGAGGGGACCTACCTCACCAGTGACCTCAGCATGGCTGTCCTCTACAGTCCTCACAGCAGCGGCTGGCGAGAAAGTCTCCTGGGTCCACTGCTCAGCTGTGTCGCCTTGTGTGAAGTCATTGATCACCCGGATGTTAAGTGCCAGGTGAAGAAAAAAGGTGCGTTAACAGTGTGAGTCACTGCACACACATAATTTAAATCCTCTAACACTGATGTTTAAAACCCCTCGTATTAAAACCTCGTATTATTTCCCCTTTTAGATTCTGAAATTATTGACCGTCAACGCTCGAGAGCAAAGAACAGCGAAGGAGGGGAAGTGCCGCTGAAGTACTTTGTAGTCACCAACAATCAGCTTTTGCGAGTCAAGTACCTGCTTGTTTACTCTCAGCGGAGGCACCTGTCCAGGTAAGAATCTCCCAGGTCAAATGTAGTGTTGCAGATCACTTGTGGGTAAAGGCTGTAAATACTGAAAAAGTATTTATAAGCCACATTTCATGACACCTTTTGTATGTACAAACACTCGAGACTTGACATTAATTCTGAATGGAATCTTGAAAAACAGGTTAGTGCTGCCTACCAGTACTCAAAGACTTAAAAGGCGCTCAGCAAAAAGTTCAACAAATGTCCTCTCAGCATACGAGAGCGGCAACCTTGTTATAGCCACTCTGCTTCTTTTGATCCCCACTTACAATGGAAGCACAATGCTAATCCACTCAACAATGTAAAAGTAATTCAAACTAAATCAGTGGTGGTGATGATCATTCCCTGTAATATAACTTAAAGGACCAGTGTGTAGCATTTAGTAGCATCTAGCAGTGAAGTTGCAGATTGCAACCAACTTTATTCCACTCGCCTTCCAAGCATGTAGGAGAAACTACGGTAGCAGTGAAAGGTGGAGGTATATTGTTATAGAAATTATGTATGAAAAGTATGTTAATAATAACATGCTTAATACTCTGAAGGTTCAGGCTTGTGACAGACAAGAGACTGCCTGCCTCTTTGTATCTGCATGTGTGAATTACCCAGCTGAGCTGCTCATATATGTGTGTGTGTGTGTGTGTGTGTGTGTGTGTGTGTGTGTGTGTGTGTGTGTGTGTGTGTGTGTGTGTGTGTGTCGTTTTGAGAATAAAAGAGTGACCCATCAAAGTAGTTAACAATTATTTGAATCTTTGTCAGAAATTAAAAGGTCTGCAATATTTTTGTGCTTAAATCTTAAATAGGAATATAGAAGAGAAATGGCTTCTTACAGAAATAAATGAATGAATGAATACGTTTAAAAACAAAATTCATTCATTCGTAATTCTACAATTACAAATCTGATTATATTTTACTAAAAAATAGAAAAAAACAGGAGAACACAAAGGGTGTGTGTGTGTGTGTGTGTGTGTGTGTGTGTGTGTGGAGAGAGAGAGAGAGAATAAAAGAGTGAAAAGAAGAATTTCCCCAATGGGGGATTAATAAAGTATATATCTAAATCTATCTATCATTTTGTTTATTATTGGTAAACAAAAGATGATTTTTGTGTTGTTTGTTTTTTTCAGACATTCCCGCAGCACCTCCTGGCTCCTCAGACACCATTTTGCTATCATGATGAGTCTCTACCTTCTGCTGCTCATATTCATCGGTGCCTTGAACTCCACCACTTTCGTATCCTTTTGGAACAGACTGTTCAGGTGACAACAGGACAGACGGCCTGGATGTTCATTATCCACAGTGCCTTCCTGATCAGAGACTGACTGGAGGCCCGAGCAAAGATAAAAGTTTTATGCACCTTTTATACTGTTTTCTCTCTACAATCGTTATTTTCTTTATTTGTACAAATAACTATAATTATTGTTATTCCAAGATAACATATCTTTTCAAATAGCAGCTATTGGCATCCTATTGTGTATTCATTTTGTTAAAATAGGTAATAAGACCATTCTGCATCTTAAAAATGTTATGCAATGTTCCATCTGTAATTTGTATGGTTTAGTAAAGTTCTGTTTTGTAGATAAGTTCTGTTGCTGTGTGGTTTTAGTCCTCTGAAAGGCACTGTCGTACTAACCAAAGGGGGGGGGGAGTAGACAATGAAAAATGAAATAACTGCAAAGCATGGAGTCAAACGTTAAGATGTCTTTTTGTTAGGTCTTAAGTACTGAGGATTTCTAGCACATTAACAGATTATATTTGACTTATAAATGTCCGTCTGTTAATCAGGCACTAATATGACTATATTCCAATTTAAATGGTTACTTTCTCATGGTGTGACTTAGTATCACTCAGATTTAGGGAAAAATGGGAAGGGACCTTTTTATAACTCATGATTTAGTTGTAACTTTAAGGTATTGAATAAAATAATTAGGCTTAATGAAGAAAAAATATATGAGGTGGCCACAGTGCTGACATACTGTATTTATAATGATGAATCCCAGAGAGGCCACTGACAACCTCATTTATTATACATAAAATGATTTTATATCCTTATAGCGGTAAAGGAAGTACATTGTATATCCTCTTAAAGGCAACAGGTTGATCAAATTTGTTACAATTTTTGACACTAATAAAATTGTACTTTTGCTTTAAATTGTTTCAAGGGTTTGAGTGAGTTTAGTTTGTACTGAAGTTGACTGAAAAATCTTTTATGTTGATTTTAAATGATTGTCAGGCTTTTCTAAGATCTCTAATATCACACATTATTCAGACCTGCTGAAAGTAATCATGTCGAAATGTCTGCAGCTGCTTCCCATACATCCAAATCTTCCTGAAGGTCACTCCTTTACTGTAATCTCTTGTGCTTTTCTATTGTTCCCAGGTTTTGTGTTGTATTTAAACTTGGGTTCCGTCTGTCTGACAGGGGCACATTTATTACAGCTGGCAGGCAGACAGTCCTTTGTTATCCGTTGTTTTTATCAGTTAAAAAAAAAAAGTGAGACGGCTATATGGGATTGATAACAGAGGCGGCCTGCTTTGGTGGCAGAGCCCGTCGTTCTAATAGATACCTGATATACTGATGTGTATCCAGTTAGGAGCACACAAAATGTACAAAAGGAATAGATTTTGGATAGTTGTTTGTGGTTTGACAAATAACCTTGTAAGAAGACAATTTAATAACTTTAATGATGGAGTACTAGATTCAGAAATTACCTTTTTAAAGTACCTTTAACAATGATTTCATTAATTTAAGCATAATTACTCGTACAATACTAACAACACAAGAGCTATTTCTCATTCATTTGCTCATGTTTTCCTCCTCTGCCATTTTCTTCAATTTGTTTTTAAACAAAATTGGACAGTGAGCTTCACCTCCTTCCCTCCTGTCTGATTAAACACCAGATATTATTTAGATATCACACTATTATATTGATGCAACTGACTGAAGTTAAAAGAAGATGAAAGAAAACGCAGTCCTTTGTTTTGGTATAAAAACCGACTCCTTGCGAAATCCTTAAGATAAACTGCTTCTCTTCAGAAACGGCTCACATTTGAAGGACACAGAACAAACTGTCCATTGTTGGTCCACACTTTATTCCCTTTCTGTACAAGCTTCATTATTGCTGCCTCATAAACCGTCTGTTATTCAATAACCATCAACTGTCAGGGGGGCAGCGATGGCAGAGGGGACTCAAGACGCTTCACGTCTCCTGTGAACCTGAAAAACTCACAAAAAATGGGAACAATTAAAACAGAAGAGACACAGTGCTGCACTGATACGACCTTTTAATATACTACATTGTTGTACCTGTCTTATTCCACTTCATTTAACAACTTGCTGCATTGTTTCTACTTACTCTAGGTGCCCTCACCCATTCACTCATTCATGGTTCAATATTCACTATAAAGTTATTTTAGAAGATTACACTTAAGAACAAGAAGAGTCTGCAGCTCTGTGAGGCTGTACTTCAGCATGACGATGCTTTGAGCTAAATACTAACCACCATGCTAACATGCTCACAATGACTGTTAACATGCTGATGTTAAGAGGGTAAAACCTTATTCAGCATCGTAGTTGAGCTTGTTGGTATGCCAACATTTTCTGCACTGAACACAAAGTACAGCTGAGGCTGATGGGAATTGGGGCTACAATTAACGATTATCTTCATTCTCTATTAATCTGCCGGTTATTTTCTTGATTAATCGATTAGTTGTTTGGTCTATAAAAAGTCAGAAAATGGTGGACAATGTTTCCCAAACTCCAAGATGACATCCTCAAATGTCTTGTTTTATCTACAACCCCAATATACTCAGTTTAACTGACATCGAGAAGTAAAGAAACCAGAAAATATTCACATTTAAGGTTTTTATTTATAAAAAACAACAACTTGATCAATTATTGTGAAAGTAGTTGGCAAGTAATTTAAAAGTTGACAACAAATCGACTAATTGTTGCAGCTCTAATGGGAATGTCATTAGTTTTCCTGGTCATAAACCAAAGTATTGGACAAATTAACATTTGGACCTGATGAAGCTGCTAGAAGACAGGTCAGAGGATTCATTCTAAGGGTTGACATGAAAGTCTCAACTTGATTTAATGAAAATCCATCCTGTAGTTGTTAGTGTATTTCAGTCTGCAGCAATGTGATGGACCAACCGACAGACCAATATTGCCATCCCTACAGCAACACCACTATAAACTGTTTCTAATTATGCAGGTAATGTGCAAAGCATCATGTTAGTTAGTGCTTCATTAATTACCATCTTCTATTCACTACTTTTTATTAGGCATTGTGGAAGAAATTGAGTGTAATAATTATCAATAGAGAGTGCTTAGATCTCTGGAGGAGAACAGTTAATCCTTTTAAAGTGTTTTCATCATTTACCCGCAGGTACACTTGTGAATGAGGGGACATTTGTCTTTCAGCCAGGTAAAACATTGACCACACTCGGGCTTAAACGTACGATACACTCAACATACAATAAACTATGTGAAGACAAATGCTAAAACTCACCACAGAAGCTCACTGATAACAATGTACATCAAGTGAATGCATAGTATAATAACTGGAATAGATCCAGATCAATCATCATTGTTCCCATTAAATGAATCAAATCAGAGAAAGTACAGTATTTAAATGGTATTTTATTTGTCATGTTTTAGAAATACATAAAAAGTCACGTTTTTATTCAGGTTTACATTGCATACAAAATGTGATTGTTAGGTGAAGAATGTTCAAGTTATACACATAGCTGCCTTTTTTCCATGTTGCTACATGAGCTAGTTCTCCTCTGGGTTTCCTCTTGTTACACTGGGAGTTACGTCGATGCGTCTGGACAAGCTGGGACCAAACACAGAAAGTGCCCCTCAGAAGTATTCTACAGAGAAAGAAGAAAGACAATACAGTGTTAGATTAATGGGTAAAGTGTTTCAAGGCAGTGCAGTACAGTTTCTCATGCTTCTCTCCCACCTACCTGTAGGTTGTTGTGGCATACAGGATTATGAGCCCCTGTCAGGTGATTGTGCACACACTTCCCAAAGCGGTGTAGACAGGAAGAATCAGAGTGGGTGCAGGTCTGAGGGCATGATGGGGGTTTCAGCAGCAGACAGCTTGAACAGGAGGTGTGTTGGCAGGAGCCCTGGCACGTCGTCTTATCCAGAGACACAAACCTACAGAACGGGAACATATTTCTGTTCAAAATCCAGCATGTGAAGACATTAAGGCAGGGGTCTCAATCCTCCCCCCACCTGCCCACAACATAATGTTAAAAATATAATATAATCCAGCCTGCAAGTCATTACCCCTTTGTGTATAAAATTACAGTTTTATCACAAAAAAAACATGTATTTTATTTGGCACAAAATAAAGGCAAAGGTCAAAGATGCCTGCAAATGTGTGCAAAGGGTTGATAAGAAGAGAGCAGGTTTCAGAGCTTCTGAGTTATGTGGTAAGTGAGTTAGTCACCAAAGCAGGAAACTGAAGGGCGGTTTCTGAGGAATTGCAAGTTGCTGATATTCATGTGTCCAGAAACTTGTCTCTTTTTGCACACACAGTGGCAGAACGGATCAGCAAGTCATCAAGTGACATGATCAGTTATGCTCAAACTACTGCATATATAAAGTTTGCATTTTGATGTGAGTATGATGTTAGTTAACAGTGTTATTTCAGAAATATTGCGCTTTCTTTTAGTACTTAAACATTGCAGGTCCACCTGTGAGATGACAATACCAGCAGTAGCATCAAGCCAATTTGAGTTCGAAGACCCCTGCATTAATGGAAAAACAACTTTTTCCCACCAGTTACCTTGCAGAGCAGATTTCAGAGGGGTTGGCCTGACAGTATTCCTTGGTGCACTCTGGGTGACAGCTCTCTGGATCGAGGGGTTCAATCACTGCGCAAACACACATTCAAACAAACACTGAATGAGAAACAGAACTGGGACTCGCAACTCACAAAGCATTCTATTGATCAAATTTAGTATTTACATTTTTTCCAGAACAGCAACAAAGCATGAAAATCTCTTATCTCGTACTACGTCTGATACCGTATCAATAACGGTGACAACTCTTTTTGTCGTGAAGAGATAAGAGGTGTAATTATGGCTTAACTGTTAGCAGGAACCTTTGAATCAAAGGAAGCCTTGACTACACTATCAGTATTCACAGCTCATAAGCAAGATTTACCACATTGGCACCACTCCCACTGCAGGGACTTAGTGGTCAAATTTAACTCAAGTACAATACATGAGTACAGTTTTGAGTTTTCCATTTTATGCTACTTTACACTTAAACTCCACTACATTGTACTTTTTAACGTCACTACATTTATTTCACAGCTATTAGTTACTTTGCAGTCAAACATTTTACAAAATATATGATCAGTTTTCAAAATATGATGTATTGCCACAGCTTGAACTACCCAACAGCATAGTAAAAATAGTGTAAATAAATTAAAACGCTGTTTATATTTTAACTAATCTCTAATAATAATACAATATTACAACCAATACAAATATAACATTGGTGGGAGCAATTGTACTGCATGATGAGTACTTTTTATTTTTAGATCCTTGCTACTGTACTTTTACTTGTAATGGAGTATTGTGTCATTGCAGTATTGCTATTCAAAACAAGTTTTCAAATGCTATATTATTAACTTTTTGTTTTTTGTAAAGATTTGTTTTATTGAAAGATGCTCCGTTTACATATCAATATGTAAGACACATAAACAGTTCCATATGTGCATAAAAAAATACAGTTAAAAGGGAAAATACACATATATGTAAACAGATACAAAGACATTTGTGTATAAAACAATAAATGTTATTTAATTTAAATATATATATATATAAGTAAGATAGTTACATTAGTTCTATAGTTACATGTTGTGATGCAAAATTAAGACATTGCTGCACCTTTTTTTAAAACTGGTGGTTAAATTTGAAAGAAATTTGGCTCACGGAGGCATATTGAATGAATCAATGATAAAAACTAATCCTGGGCACACTACCTGCTTGATACTAATTGAGGTTATAAACTATAATCTCACCTGCTTCACAGATCCCTTTGCGCTCTGCATCTGCTTTGTCAGTTGCTGAGTCCTGGTAAACACACACCAGTCCCTCATCACACTTGCCCAGATAGTCCCACGTTCCTCCACAGGTCTCCCCCTCTGTTCTGGCACAGACAGGGCAGCAGCCACAGACGCCTGTCGTGACACCACCTTTACACTGGAGCTTCAGTGCCCGCCGGGAGGAGCAGTGGATCTGCTCGCAGGGAGGGCAGTGGAGGGCCTGAAGCTGCTGAGCTGCTCCAGAGGGCATTTCCTCTGACCCCAACGCCCCCAACAAGGCACTCCAAAAGAAGAGCATCCACATCCTTGATCGGCCTAATGTTATTCTGGGGTGAGAAAACCTGCCAGCACCTTTTATACAAATGTTGACCCATGGGATAACACACCACCAAGGCTTCATAGTTTATGAGCCACAGCCTCCACCCCCCACCAGCAGCCAATAGATGAGGGCAGGGGGGTTGTTCAATGGCTGCATTTAGTTTAAATACACAGTTAATTATCCCCACGTCTTATCTTCACACTATCAACATTATGTTTTGAAATAATTCTTCCTTCTGAGCTCCGTTAGATAAGTCTGATGAAGACTGACCCCCTTTGTATTTGGAGTCACATGACCTCTGGAAGAGTAATTCAGTGCACACCTACAATCAGGTAATGACCTATTTCTTGAAAGAACAAAAGGATTAAGACATCAGCAGATTATCTGATCAGGACATCTCGTAATTTTCGTATCTCTGAATAAAAACTCAGGGGCAGGTTGTGTACATAACAATAAAAGATGGCCACTGAACATCAATCAAGTTATACTGGAGTTTTCAATATAAATGCCGCAAGACGCTGGAGAGGTCAACATGTTAACTTAAGTTAATTAATACTTAAGTATTTCAGGTACAAATGGTTCTAGGTGATCAACTAATTACCACCTTATTAAACATAGAAAAACAGCACAACCATATTAATATTAGAATGTAATAGCACTTATTTGGTAACACTATGAGGAAATGTCCTGCTTAAAAACACAGAAAACAGAAAACAGGGAAACATAAATGTACAGTCACTAATATCTATGTATTGTATGTTGTAGACGTTGAGATTGCCACAGAGTTAAATATAAACCAGTTTTCTCAATTGTACTCTCTTCTCATGAAATCCAAAATTTGAAACGTTTAGTCGAGACACACATACCTTTGTTCACAATGTGACTTACTGTAGGATCATTTTACAGTCCTACATACAATCTTTATAATTGTTTGCAAAAGGTCACGTGTTTAAAGAATGTTCCAAAAAACAAAACAAAAAAGTCAAATTCAAAAAGATTTAATGGATTTGGTCACCATTATATTAAAAATATAATATTAAAGAACACATTTTAATGATTTGAGTGGCGCTGTGTGATGATTGTGTGTTTGTCCTTGATGATTTAATGTAAGTATAGGTATGTATTTGACTATAATGCATTATGTACTTGGCATCATTTTAGAGTGCAGCTCATGTCAATAAAACTGTGCAAAGTCACTCAGGACTGTGGTCCCCAAATGTGCAGCAGAAACAAATATGAAGTTGTTTGATTAAAAGCGGTCTGATTTTTTAACTTTTACGTGACTCAGATAAATCCAGTCATGATTGATCCGCTCTTAAGTGTTTCTAGTAAATATCATTAATGGCAATTTTTGGATCAGTGTAGCATTAATGTCACTAACATTGTTTAATACAGCAACACTGAAGCCTACTGTTATCCACACAGGAGGTTGAGTGCAGTGTACAGCAGATACCACGATACGTAACCTTTACTAACATTATATTTAATGTGGCCCTTGGAGGTTTTATTTCCCAGGTCCAGATGACACGTCAAGCTCAGTTATCTTGTACATTTAATATTATATTCATAAATATAGACAAGGATATGTATTTCAATTATTAGTAGGAAGCTCTGAGTCGTATAAAAATGTATTTATTTTCAAGGAAACCATTAAGTAACACTGAATACAACAGGAGTGATCATTCAATAGTCAATAAAACTTGTGACTCCTACATCATAAAGATCCCACATACAAGACGTCTTGGAAAACAAGATTTCAAAGCAAACATGTTGGCAATTTGCTGGTGCTACAATTTCATTTTTTCCCCCACATAACAAATTGAGGTGATACACACCTGTGTAGAAAAGTGACAACATTTTACATCAACTTACAAAGGGCTGGATGTCAAAGTGCAAGATGCCTGAAACCCACCCACCCCGATTCACCCCACCCCACCCCTCATTAAAGAGGACGATGGAGGTGCTGAAATCAGAAATGGACTCTCAAATACAAATCTCCAAAATTATAATTCAGCCACTATGGCTTTGTATTCAGTCGAGACTCTATTCTAGATTACATTACATAACTTTAAAATATTGTTTCAGAAACATTTTCCTCCCAAAGATACATTTTTTCAAAACTGCACCTTATTACAGACAACTGCATGTAATGGAGTAAAGCATCACAGGAATAATGCAGGCATACAACAGAAAAGCAGCTGTTTATCAACAACTTCAAACAAAACACACTAACATGTTGTTGGTTTATAAAAGCAACCGAATCAAAAGAATACATACTAAAATCTGAAGTGAAAATAAAATGACATAAAAACCTTGAAGAAAAAAAAAAAAAAACCTATGTACATATATTTACAAGTAAATAGATTGAATATTATACAGGTTTGACTGGCCGTTCAAGGTCAGGCTGAAGCCACCAAGGTCCATATAATCCAACACTGCATGACATTCAGATTTGTCAATCCAAAATGGTTCTTAAAAGACAAAATACCTTCCAGGAGGCCGTCTTCAAAGTCGCACTAAAAAGAAATGGCCGCCGCAGCGAGCAGGTCTGTTTGTTCCGAGTCTGGTTTGAGTGTGTATAAAAACATCCAGAGCTTTTTGACTCAAACATAGCTTTAAATTTTTTTTGCATGATTTAAAAAATTATATTAATAATAAGAATAATAATAATGGCAATGTTGTGTTTGCAAAGAGTAATCCATTGAATATTTCCTTCTGGGGGTAAGTTTTTTTTTTTTTTTCCCAATGTTGATACCATCTTGAACTGAAAGACAAACGTGAGGTCCTCAGTCTGGAGGAAGAAGGTCGTGCAAACGAAACTGTTGACGGATGTGCGGCCTGACATCTTCATTCTGTGATAAAGAGAGTAAACAGATGGGATCATTTCTAAAACTACAAGAAATCAGACAGTTCAGAGACGACTTAGACTTCTACTTGGGAGGGAGAGACCAGCGGTAACAAGACTGAAAATGACACAAGTTGTACATTTTCTCTCTTTTTGCAGAAGAATAATAGTATGTATATGAATGTGTTGTCTGATTTCACTTTGTATGTACATTCAGTGCTTATGAATTTAATGTCTATATATGTAAATATATATGAAAAGAATGTGTGTAGTAATATGTTTGATTTTATTATGTGGTCTTTTGTATGTAAATGTATGTCTGTTGTATTGTTTTTATGTGTTGTGTGGACCCCAGGTAGTGTAGCTGATGTTCTGCATCAGCTAATGGGGATCCAAAAAAAATCTTAATCCAACATTACTACTGATTACATCATGGATCTCAGCTCAACAGAACCTTTCCTGTAGTTCGATAAGATCCATCTAGCTAAAACTGATGCCGTCTTGCAATAACTTCTACCTTCATGAACTTTATGATGTTGATTTTATGATCATTTTGGAGGATGTATTTTCTGTTTCTAATATTTTGTCCACCACAGTAAACTGGCTACTGAGTGCATTTACCTGCAGCTCCCAACAGAAATCTAAGGGGAAACACTGGAACCATCATGTCTAATTTCATATTTCATTAAGTAGTTACTAAGTGAATTATTCACAAGCCTAAACATAAAATTGCATTTTGCCAAATATGTCATGAAGGCAGCACATAAAGCAGGACTGCATTCAACAATCCTTTCAGGCCCTGTTTAATATTCCTATTATATCCTTATAGTTACTCAGAACATATCTGATATCTTCAAACTCTCCACGGGAAAGAGTAGGTGGAATATTCATAAACACACCAGCAGCTGCGATGCTCTTACCAGCAGTCTAACTAGACAGACGCCAAAATGCTCTAAGCCAAAATACATACCAGCTCCACAAGCTTCTCGAGGAAAGGAACAAGCTTTAGAAGCTCATTGTCGTTTCTATCCACAAACCAGCTCTCAATAGGAATCCCATTGGAAAGCTGAAAAAGACACAAAATGTGTGCTTTAGTATCACTGTGACACAGAAACATTGGTTAAGATTTTTTAAATGTTTTAAAAACTAGTTATTGGTGTGAAGAAGTTTTACCTGATAGGCAAAGGCTTGGGGTGAGTTGTCGATTATTATCGTCTTGGAAAGATCCCGTCCCAGTATGTTTAGGTCTTTAATGTAATTTCCTTGAACACACACACAGTGCTCACGAAATAGCCTGTGCCTAAAAAACACAGAATGAGAGAATATTCCTCAGTTGAAACGTGCAATGAAACATCTTTAACTGAAAACATAACCTCCTTGGAAGGGTTTTTAAAAAGGTCAAATTCATTAAAAACACTGTATTGACTGCTGATAATCCTCATTCATAGCACAATGAAATTTCGTTCTAGGTTAAGTGACAAGAATTTCCACCTGTACCAGCAGGTAAAGAAGACTTCCTCGCCACTTCATGCAAACTTTCAAGCACAACTTAACCATTAACCAGTTGTGTGAATATCTGCTTTTAGCAAAACAGGTTCTTCTTCTCACTTTACAGAAGGAAGAGGAAGTCACTGCTGCCTCCAACCAGACTATTTTAGACGTTGCCTTTATGGCCGAAGAGCTCAACACAATTAAGAAGTCAGAGTTGTGGAGGACCAGATCATAAAGCATGAGTGAGTATGGAGGATAAACAAACACATCAATACGTATGAGGATGCTTGTTTTAGTGTTACTCGCTTGCTAAAACACACAAACATGATGAACAAGAAAAGCAACGATGGTGTAAAGACAAACTGAAACGGTTTAAAACGGTTGGAAAAGAAAATAAAGTGTATATAGTATATCTTTCTCTTTGATTACTTCCAGAGGCTGAGTGAAGAGTGAAGAATAAAGCTAGTGAACTTGAATCATAAATGACCGACAATTTCCTCTAGCTTTATCGTAGCTGCACATCCCGTCAAATCTCTATTGACCCTTAAATTCCATCCTGATCACATATTACAAAGCAGGCGGTCCATGAATCAAAATCATTTATTAGTAAAGCAGCTAGAGTCTTGTGTTGTCACTGACCTGACCAACTGTTTTTTTGGATCCAGGATGTTGAGCAACTTGTCGGCGTAGACTTTTTTTGAAGCCGTGAAGAGAATAATCTGAAATTTTAACAAACAGCAATAAATGTAAACTTAAAATTAGATCAAATTTATCAAACAGTGTCTAGAAATTAAAGCTCATCTCACCTCATACATTTGAGACATCCGCTCAAGAAACTCGCGGAAGAAGGGCCTCAACCGAACATACACCTGTAGATTAAAAATTAAGAACATTAGAAATCAAATTAATCATTATTTTAGTTAATGCAAAAAAAATGGAGACCTTTCGATTAGAAAAAGATTTAAGTACCTGGTATATTACATCTTGAAAGAGCACAGGGAATGTCAGGGCTGCATCTTCTAGCTCATTCAAACTACAGTGGACCAGAGTTTCGTCCTGAGAACAGGAAAAGAGATGATCAGAAGGAAAAACCCATTAAAGCCAGGTTTCCTTTAATATGGAGATACAGCACAAGAAACCTTTTACTGCTTACCAGGTCCAAAACGAGAGAAAACTCTGGTGTGCTGCGTGTTTTCAAAGGTAACGCTGGTTTGCGTGTTAACTGCTCTTCTGTCAGCGGAGGCACATGTTTGATGAAGAAGTACCTTAAAGCAGAGAAACCATAAAAAGACCATTGAACAAAATGAACAAGATCTGTCCCAACAAAGAGCAAACTTTTAGAGACAGTTAAATAGATACATGTTGGTCATTCTGGCTTAAGTGAGAATTGTAAGGATGTCGAACCTGCATGTTTTTTCACCACTTAATAGAGCAAAATACATTCATGCTGCAGTTTAAAACATGAGTGAATGAACTGAATAGTAAAAAATGATGTCACATATCATCACATAGGACTCAAACACGGACTAACTGTCCTGTTTCTGCCATCTAGTGGTTGAAAGTTTCACATTGCAGCAAGCTCTGTTCACACCAGCATGCAATGTCACCTTGGATGTGATTTCAAGTGGAATCAGATTAACACTTGTAATCATAAAGAGTTTTTCAAAAGTGCAGAGTTGAAATTTAAAAGAAAAAAAAGAGAAAAAAAAAAGAAATCAAAGCAACAATAGTTCATTACAGCTATTTTTTGAATGTTTCAGAAATAAATAGCTATGATTGTTTGTTGCTTAAAAAAAATAAAATCACCAATTTCAATCTACTTACGGATCAAAAACTTCCCAGTCCTCATCATATGAGGTTTCTGCAGGAGGTGGAGGTAACGCGTGTGGGTAACCACCATCTGGCATACAACCAGGAACTAATGAAGACAGAGATAAGGAGAAGGAGTTAAAAGACAAAGTCATGAAGTCCACTAGCTTCTGTTACTCCATTCAATTTCTGAAAATTAAGCTAGTTCCTGAGGACAAATCAGCATCCGCTTCAGCATTTGTTACACAATGAAACCTTCATGATTTTAACAAAGATAAACAGCAGTTAATCTTCCAGCATATGTTCACCCACAATGGTCAAGGGCTTATGAGAAATGCTGTTTTTTAAAGGCCGCTAACAACATATATATTGAATAATCAAGGATTTTAAACTATTCGTATTATTACTGCCCTTTTTTCCCCAAATGTGGGACGTTTCACTTCAGCTTTCTATTGTTAAATTATAAAGCAGAGCACAGAGTCAAAACAGGCTTAGCACAAGTTGCAAAACAGCAGTGTCAGGTTCAAATATCTGTGTGGTCAAAAAAAAGATAACTTTGATTTAAACATCCCACTATGGTAAATCCGACTCGTAAATTAAATCATGACAATTGTCTGTAAACAAAAAAAAACCCTAAATTAACTTCTAAAAGCCTATTATGGTGGTGCCCATATGACACCGTTTACATGTTTCTAAGTGTCTACTAACACAGTACAGACATATAAATGGCAAATTAAGAGAATGAGACCTAATGTGAGAGTGGTCGTACCTGTTAACGGTGGCATGTCAGTTTCAGTGACAATTTCCCCTTCTTCTACGGCCGTGTCGGAGGTAATCTGAAGCCTCTGTGGTAATATTGGGGCAGTGTGACACAGAGTGATGCCCTCTGTGGATGTAAGAGTGCTGCTTGGCATTTCTTCTGCCTGCTCAATGTCCAGCTGTTTCATGATTTCCTCTGCCTCCATCGCTTGGCCAGGAGAGTCTGAACCAGGAGTGGCTGCAAACAAATGACCAGATTATCTTTAAAAAAACAACTTCAGTGTATTTCCATCAAATTACAATTTTTTTTAATCAGCCTAAATATGAGATATTTTTAGACGGAAACATCTAGGATTCTTTTGTTTTACCCGTTTTAGTTGCTGGTGAGAAAAAGTTGAAAACTGGAGAGAAGATGGTTCCAAGCAGGGTGGTGCGTGGGGGGCTGCTTGCTGCTTCGACAGGGGCCTCTAGTTTACCGTTTGGTTTCAGGGGTTTACTGTTGCAGGTCATTGTGTCTAAAAGACAACAACAACATAACAACAACAACTCTTTAGTAACAACCCAAAAACACAACATCTGTGCTGTTACAACACCTGTTACTGGATCTGTAGTACCTTTATTTGGAGTTTTCCGACAAACTCTGGAGACTGATTTGTTGGAAAGGCCTCTTGTCTGTGGTGTTGAAGTAATTAGATCGCTATCAGAATTACAATCAATACGACTCCTCTTGGCGGGGATTTCCTGCTCCACCTGATAACAATAAAAATAGGGATATAGAAACAGTCATGGTAACAAAACAAAGGGTTACTGTTTTTCTGTTGATAAAACAAACAAACAGTATGTGGTTTTACAGTTGGCAATTAGCTGGCCATTTACCATTTACAAAATGAAAATAGAGGAAGTTGACAGAAACCTATAAAAAGCTTATAGGAAACTGTGTTGGCTGTGTTTCTGTTAAGCTTCTAAAAACAGTCATAGATATTATGTGAGTAAACGTTTCACACCATCAGCACAAAATATAACTGAGGCATTGATTTTATTCTGCACAAAGTGTGTGTGAGTGTGTGTCGCTACTCTGTACTATTATGTTACAGCAACAAAAACTAAATTCTAAAAGAAGCAGCTGTGAATCCTGATGTAAGCCCACCTTAACTGCATTTCCACGGATGAATTTCTTTATAGTGGACAACAGGCCTGTTTCATTCTTCTGCATTTTGCCTCGACCTCTCACAGGGGATGGCTCCACTTCACAGTGTTTCCGTTTGGCCTGGGATGGGTGGGTTCGACGGCCTATGTTTGGCTGCTGAGGAGCTTTACGCACTCTCAGCCTCATCATGCTCCAACGTCACATAGAAAAATCTGACAAGGTGGGGGAAAAAAGTTAACATTGCTTTAACAATGAAATATGGTATTCTACAAAATCTTTGTTTGCACTGAAAAAAAGCAGCCACAGTGGTTAAATGTTGCCTTGTCTAAAAAAAAAAAAGGCAGATTTTGATTAAAATGAGAATTTATATGATCAAGTAAATAAGTAAACAAGATTCTGTACAAAACCAAACATTTGATGCCAGCCGTTTTTAATACTTGTTGCCATGGACACCTCTTGGTACAGTGCAACAGATACTGGATTTCAGAGGAAGATACTGACACTGATATATGACTGTAAACCAATTTATTGACCTAGTGTTTTAATTTTCTTAAGCATGAAACAACATTTTATATAAGGATCTCTTAAATTTTTGGTTTACTATAAATTGTGACCATGATATGTTCTGAGCAGGATATTTAATATAAATAAACTTGCTCTCTGGCAGACAAACTATGTAAGGGAAATGCTATTTCTCATTGTGTGTAGTTTGGACTCTACTCTTGAGCTTAAGTAACATATCATCATACCATTTTATCATCTATTGATGTTTGTGACTTGTCAGTTCCTGTTTCCACTTCTCTTGACAACAAATAATAATAATAATAATAATAATGATGGTGGTGGTGGTATATGCTGTCAGCCACTTATAGTCCAGTATATCTGGACTACTCTCTGGAGGACTACTCTCTGGAGTACCACTCTGGATATAGTAGCTATCATTTATGGATGTTTTAACCTGGTGTAATACTCCTTTAAATATGTCACAGTCTTATGGTCAAACAAAATCAGACAGGAGAGTTAAAACGATTCAATTGACCATTTACAATGTGCTCACATGAAGACGGTCCTCTCGGTATCTATTAGGACCCACTCATGTTTTACCTTTGGCTGTCACAGTATATAAGGTTATTAAATACATGTCAGGGAGACGGATGAGTGCAGTGGGCGGTGTACGTGATAAACATTACTGGTAATGGGGAAATGCGAGGCCCTGAATCTGTCCGGATAGAGCAGCTGTCGAGTACAAACGCTACTCTGGATGTGTGTTTGCTCAATTACGCTGCGGCTTTATTAACTAGATGTTGATTTGGTAGCATAAACAGCGCCGCTGACTGTCGTTATGTAACATCGGACAGGCTGTATAACACCGACGATGCTAGCTACCGCTAACGTTAGCAGAAAGCCCCACCACTGGTTTGACGCTCGCATCCCACATGTTGTAGGATAAAACTACGAGTTTGTGTGCCCCACTATCTACACATGTCCGGTGAATATAGCTATCGGTTTTGAAATTGATCCTGACGTAATTTAAACGAGGCGCCGTCGGTCGGCTCCGCGGCTAGTTAACACAAGCGGCTACAGTTAGCATCTCATGCTAACCAAACGCTAATGGCAGCAAAGGCAAGGCCGTGACATTATTCACTTCAGTTCCCGCAGGACATCTCACACACGTCCCCGCAAACATACGTGTGTTTAACACGGGAACTCTGGATCAATTCATCGGTACAACAAAGCTACATAAACAGTTAGCTGCGCTGTTAGCTACCAGGACTATTTCCAGACATTAGACTACGCCCCCTTCTCCGGCTAACGCTGTCCGCTAGCTAGCAGCAGTGGGGGGGACAAACCTTTTTTTTTTTTTTTTTTTTACATGTTTGACGTTGTTTGTTACTTACTGACGACCCTGGGAGCTCCTCAGAAGTTGGCGCAGCGTTGTCAGCTCTCGGCCGCGACCGTGACGGCCACCGGTTGAGGTCGGGCCGTGGTTTGTTGCTCGCCCAGCTGTGTCTGTCGCTCGGTAGCTAGTCACTGATCAACCATGTCTGCGGACGCCATTTCCCGCCTCATCACAAACATAACGTTGGTGGTGCGCAAGAGAATGCGACACACACACGTAGGGGAACCAACGTGGCGGAGCGCGGAGTCAACAGGAAAATGGCTATGGTGTGTGTGTGTATGTGTGTGTATGTATGTGTGTGTGCAGCTGGACGGAGGCTCACTACCACACTTTATCCCTGCTGGTATTGTTGTGCGACTACAAGAAAAGATATTAAGAACTGTATTGCTCTACTGCTGTTATTTGTTACATTGTGTGCATATATCTGGTGTTTGATGCTACATTGTAAATAATATAAAATGTAACATGATATTACATTTTGCAATTGTTTTAACAACATTACAGTGCAGCTTGCAACAAAAAAAAGTTGAGAATATGTCACAATTAACTTTTCTAGTTTTAAGTAAAATGCAGCTCAAATGGTTTTAAGCCCTTGTGGAAAGTTCTATTGAGAGATTTCAGTCAGCTGATGAGCAGCACTGTGATCATGTTGTTGGGAAATCCAACAGGGAATACAAAGAAGCACAAATATACAGGCTTTATACAGTATATTGCTTTAGAAAAGCCTGGGATCAAGTCCTAGCTGGCCCCAAAACTTGGCACCAGCAGTGCATTCAGCTCCATTACCAAAACCATCAAAACAACCATTCATTGAGACAAATTTCCAAACAAGGTTCTGGCTCTAAGGGGTTGACTTTCAAACCACACTGGCTGTCTGGAGTGTAGCAATAACCCTGTTATATCAGAACCAAAGGTCATGAGCAGGACAAACCCTCCTTATTAAATTGTTCTAGCACACCGGTATTAATCAAGGACCTCAGAACAATGCTAAACAAAAACACAGCATAAATAAGTTCATTCAATATTCCAGTAACACTGTTGGATGTAAAATACCGTAAAGTACAACAAGGTTGAAACTACATTTATATTTATGATTTTTTTTTTTTTTTACTACAATAACATAATTACAGTAGGTTTACACATGTACATTCATTTTAATGATTTAAAAGTAATTCATCTTTTTAATACAATGAAGTTAAGAACTGAAAAAATAACTGTACAGAACTCTGTTTTGGACATTGATGTTTAAATGTAAGAGAAGCACTTATGGTAGTTTGTATGATGATGGTTAAGCATTCCCAAAGACCACTCGTACAAAATGTTTGGTAGCACAGTGATTAACATGATGCTGTGGGGGGGAAAACATTTAAGTTGTAGACAGATCTGAAGACTGTTAAAATCCTAAAATGATGAGACACAATTAACTGACCTCCACCAATATACACAATTATAATTGTAGTAATATGAATATATTTGTATACCGTGTTTACACTCTTAATGAGTGGTAGACAATGATTACAGCTGTCAATATCCTGCAAAACAATCATGTAATTTTACCAAAACGTCGACATTCTTGATGATTTATTTACACTTTGTCACACTTTAAACTATTAGCTATTGTTGGATGTATGTGGGCAAACGGGACAATATACTCTGCAGGAAGAAGGTAAACTTTGGAAGAGCCTATTGTGACTGGCTTATAAAAGTACATCTTAAAAAAGTAGTCCCTGCAGACCTTTGTTCTTGGCTCCTATTAAAATCTCATTGCTGGTTGGATAATGGGGTTGATGACAGCAGAAAGACCGTACATTCAATGTGCCGCCAAAAGAACCAAAAACATTGACCTATAAGCAGCTAAAAGCGAAACAGAACTGCTGAGTTGAGTGTTAACTGTCAGCTAAGTAACTCTCTCATTACAGGAAATCATTTTTTTTCAAGGTAATGTCAATGCACCACTTACTGCAGGATTAACTGAACCTAGAATATTAAATATTGATAGATATTTTGATAGATTTGATCTTGATTTGATAGATATTACCACTGTGTTAGCCACTATATGTATCCACCCTCTCAGAGAATGATAGATGTAATTAGCTAATTCGTTCCCTGAAGGTTTAGGGAAGGTAACTATTAACTTGCAAACTGATGCTCAGGTTTCATTTCATCCCAAGATGAAGGAGTTTCCTGTATGGTCCTGGTCCACCCCACAGGCCCCTGAGGCAAGAAAAATAAAGAACATTCATAAAATGTGGTGAAAGGTGTGGTACGATTCCTTACTACCAATAAATTAACATGTTTTTAATTAACTATACATACCTTAGAAGCCCATGCCAGTAAAGGTGAGGCATAACATCAGCTTTCATGTAGTACATGAGTCTTCTTTCTTTGGCTTGGTTGATGGGGAATGTTTCCAGTGGTTGTCCATTGTAGTCAAACTCTGCCAGAACTACTGTGTTGTAGCTTGTTACCAATGGACATGAAGTGTAACCATCATACTGTGAACAAGGAGATTACGGATTATGTATTGAAGTACTTCGTACATAGAAGTTGTAAAATTCTGCAAAATCAAAAAGATGAGTCATATTTCATGTTTACGAGCCATTTACCGTCTTATCCGGCTTCTCATTTTTCAGTACTTTGCTGATGGTTCTGTTCAAGATGGCAGATTGTGCAGCTGAGAATGAGAAATAAATGACAAGTTTTTAATAAATGTATGAATTCTCTTTGTAGGAATCAAAAAAACTAATTCTGTGTTCCAAATCCATAATCCATAATAATTCTACACAATATGTATTGAATATTGTCACTTCAGGTTAAACTTCACGTATTATAATGTATAAGGAAAGTATAAAAGATGTTTTTCTTATGATGGATTACCTTTTTGTTTTGTCAGTTGTCTGTTTCATCAACATAAACATTTTATTGAAAGTTTTCCAGCGGTAAGAAGCTCCTCCATTTCCCTAGTGCATTGCATTATGTGAGAATCACCAGCACTCACAATGACTGTGTTAAGTCTGCATGCTAAGCTTAAGTATACTTAATTTGTCACTTTTCCATTATATATACCAAAACCTGCTCAGAATTAGTGTAATAAGCATTATAGATCCACACCCATATTTAACAGTTAGCAAGGTGTGTTGGTCATGAAATTCTGTTCTTTTTTTCTGCAAACACACTGATTGTACTTCTATTTTTAACTTCATTCGTCCGCAGCACTTGTTTCCGAAACACAGTTAGTTTCTGTAGATGTTCTCTTGCACACTTCTGACATTGGATTTTATGATGTGGACACAGATAAGGTTTTCTTCTACTGACTCTTCCATAAAGGTTTTGTTTGTGCAGGCAGCTCTGGACGGTGGAACAATCTGTCGGTGGATAAATCTACGTGCAGGTTTATTGCATTCACATGGGGCTTCTGAATTTGCCTTTCTGACCAGCATACGAGCAGTTATCTCAGAGTTTTCTTGATCTTGATCTTATCTTGACCTCCACGGTTACCTTAAACTGTCATTTCTTAATTACATTTTACACTGTGGAAACTGCAAGCTGACAACACGTTCCTATCTTTTGTAGCCTTCTCCTGCATTGTGGGCATCAATGGGCATCAATAACTTACACAGCTGCTTAGAGGAAGCCATGGTTGGTCAGTGTTCACACAAGGTTTGACGAGTCAGAGTATTTGTAAAGCTTTGAATTTGGCCCAGCTAATGCTTCCTAATCACAACTGTTGTCCTGCCTCAGGCCTATGGAGCTGATACAAGTCTGAGACCTTGTAAAAAGAGACTGTAGAACTCCTGTGATGCCCAGAGTTTTACACAGGCCACAATGGTTTTATTTTTGTTCATAAATGTTGAATGTTGACGGATTACCTGATAATGAAAATGGTTGTTAGATGTAGCCCTAATTCAGTTCCATGTAATCCATGTAAAATGTGCTGACATAAACCTACCCTTTAATCGAGGGGATAACAGCTGAGATGGCCGGACCAAAGCAGACAAAGTGAATTTTGTCTAAATTCTGCCGAATGCATTTTATATTTTAATTAGGGGTTTGTTATGGCAACATGTCCTTTTAGCATCCCCCAGAAATATCTGTGGCTTCTTTATATTTTTGAATGTTTAAAGGGAAACTTGGCAACTCTAGCCATTTCTTCGCTGGTTTTTACTTTTGTTGTCACATGTTTTCTCAACTAGCTGCCCCTACAGCTCTGGGACGTATATTTAAAAACACTGTCGTAAAAAAAAACTCACTTGCGGCACCCTCCTCCCCCTTTCTACCGCTGCTGATGTGCATTTGTTGCCGGGCAACTTTTTCATGTGGAGCAATGTCTACCGAGGTGGGTAATATTTTTTCAATTTTCACAGGAACAGGCCATTTAACCATCCAAATGATTTCTAAACGGGTTTATTAAGTTCCCCTTTAAGGTGTAAATACTATAATTCATAATTGAAAAATTAATAAATAAATTAATAAAAGAAGCCAATCTTTTTAGATTAAAAAAACATGATCTGTTGATTTGATTTAGTCAACAGGTGCAGCACGCATTTTAACTTTTGACCTTATGTCCACCTCCTGTTAGCCAGAGTGCATGCATTTGGTGGATAATGCACGATATCGGACTCCTTATAGTTATCTCTCTGCGATGCTTATCCATATAATTTTAGGTCTATGGTACTGATAAGTCATAATTGGGTAACTTTTATTCAGTGGTGTGATTATTTTGGCAGGCTTGTGAACCTTCCATTTATCCCTTGAGCAGAATATCTTGCCTTGTATTTAACTCTAAGGACATTGTAACTGTCACAGAGCTCCGATTCTGCATATGTGTCTGTCTGAGCGCGATCATGAGTAGGCCAACATGTGTCCAGGGAGTTGCAGCAGAAATCATACCGTGCTTCAGATTAAACCCTAAATTTCAGAGCACCCTCACTGAAAAGCCAAGCAACCCCATAGCACGAGCAAAAGAGAATCTGTGGCACACTGGCTCTAGATAGAGCCTTTCATGTTTTGGCTGCCACCATAGTTTCTCCTATATGCTTGGAAGGCAAGACGTATTCAGTTGGGTCCAATCTGCAATTCCACCACTAGATGCCACTAAATCCTACACACTGGTCCTTTAATAGGAATGCGGCTTTCATGAAAGCACATTACTACAGTCGAGCATGTTCACGTGTTTACACTTATATGTTAAAAAGATTAAGCTAGAATGTTAAAACACAACATTAGCTTTAAATACAGTTGAGTCATTAAAGGCATCTTGCCATGAAATAAAGGACGACTTAAACATTTTACTTGCTGGAACAAATAAAGAACAGAGGCTCAATCGTTAAAATTAATCCTGTTTTGTTATTTATGTGAACGAGGATATATCTTGGGACACAATACCAATTTCAGAAGCAATTCTGACAATAAAGTGAACTCAAATCAAGTCCTGTGGAGATCATGAACACCTGTGTCACATGTTACAGTTATTCTCTCAGTTATTGTTACAGTATAATTTGTTTTAAGAACAAACACATGGGCTGACATTGTCAACCCTATAGCTTCTAATATGGCTAAAAACATCAAAATCCCCCACATTGGTGGGGAAAAAACAGCATGTAGCATGACATACCTTGCATGAATTTACTGAATATAAACATGATGCGCTTGATAAGGTTAAATTCTTTACTGCAGTTAGATTGCAGTTGTACAGGAAGTGATAAGTAGTGGTTTACAACCCGAGCCAAGTTGCCAGGAACATTGCATCTTTTAACCCACAAGAAATTACACAAATACAGGAATTTTACATAAGGTAGGCACAGAGGGTTAAACTCTTTCACTGTGTGTTTGTATCAAGTGCAAAACATTTCTTTATCAAATGTAATGGTGCAAGCAAACACAAAAGGTAAACTCAGATACTGATACAATCCAGGAGATACTACTGAGAAGTGTCCCTAAATTACAAGCTTCATCGGGTGTGGTGTACGTTTTTTTAGCTTTGTGTACATAGGTTATTGTGAAATACACTTACTGAGTAAAGTGCCTTTCACATTAGAAAATGAACACGTAGTTAACAAGAGATAAAACAGTATGAACTGTATGCAGCAACAGAGTGCTTTCCAGTACTGCATTGAGCAATGTTCAAACTAATAACGCAATAATCACTTACCGACAGCAGCACCCGTTTTGGCTGTTGGAAGGTTTGTACAGTCTCCAATCCCAAACACATTTGGATACCTCTTATGTTGGAGGTTGTCTTTGTTGACGTCCAACCAGCCAGCCTCATCTGCCAGTGGACTGCCTTTAACCACCAAGTTAGGACCCATTGGTGGTGTGACATGAAGCATTTCATACTAATTAAAAAAAAACAAAAAAAACGGCAAAATTTAAGCGTTATTCACTGGAGTTTTCAGGATTGAAAGTCCATTGTACAAAGCAGCCAATACTACTGTGTAAAGGTATCGTTGAAGTACAGTAATAGTTACCTCAAACACTTTGGTTTCGCCTGGTTTGTCAAGATTTTCGAACACAGCTTCTTGCTTATCTGCCCGCACTTCAATCAGGTTTTGCCTCAGGTTCACTTGTAGGTCACGTTTTTTCACAATGTCCCACAATGTGTCAGCATATTTCTTTATCCCAAAGAGCACAGGAAGCGATGTGTTGTATATTATATTGGCCTTTTCCCTCTTTCCTGTCTTGGATAAAAACATAAAAACATTTTCATTTAATTTGTAAAACCACACTTGATATTTTAAAAAAAAGAAATATTTTATTGTTGCATTACAAAAATAAAAAGCACCTTTCTGAGAAAGGCATCCGATAGGTACATGATCTTCTGTGGAGCTCCAGCACATTTCACAGGAGTATTTGGGAAAGTGAACACAGCATTGCCCTCTTTGAAAGTCTGCAGTGCTTTCCATGTTTTATCCACAGTTTCGACTGAGTAGTTTGACCCAATCTTTGGATGTTCAAATCCTTCTGGCAGTCCTTTGATCTACACATAAGAGGATGTAAATTTCCAAGGATTTAATTGAATTTATACACAATGGCAAAAGTTTACTAGGTAAAGTTGAATGCACAAAGCCTTACTTCACCTTCTCATAATGGAGTTGTAAACCAAGGGCCACAATCAAATACTCATAGGAGATCTGTAATGTGAAAGAAAGTCTTAGTAAGGCTGGATGAACATAGATCATTATATCATTAACATTTTTTACAATCCTCTCGATCGTAGAGGACACATTATTAAACTTACTACAGGGAGTTTTAACTGGTTATGAAAGAGTCTCAATTTAATAATGATGCCTCTATAATGAGTTACATTAGACCATCAGTGAGATTGGCCTTTTCTATGTAGTTATTCTTAATGCCTGCCACTGGGTTAATTTGGTAAGATTCTCATTGAAATCAATTAAACGTGGTGATAGAAAAACAACCACTTTTGTCCACAGTGGCCGCCAGAATCAACAAAAAGTTAAAGTAAGTAGGATTTAGTGGATCTAATCTAGAGGTAAAGAAGGCCATTATGCACTAATAACATATCTAACATATCTGTGAATATTCCTATCAATATATTCAATTTCTGCTAATAGATAATGTTACACACTGGATCTTAAAGCAATATTATAACTTCAATATGCATACAGTCATATAACAGTATCCTAAAGCAAACATACTTCAGCCCCATCGTCAGTGCGGACAGTATTCTTGTCTGGGTTTATTTCCTGAACTTTAGATTTCACCAACTGTACTCCAGATGGCATAACACTTGCGGTGGAACGACCTGATGAGGCTACAGTTTTAGCGCCAGCACCAACCAGCGTCCATATTGGCTGATAGTAGTGCATCTGAAAAAACAGAAACAGAAGAGTTTAGCTGGCTTTAAATGAGAGAGAGAGAATATACTGTTATGTTTCTGATGGACTGAATCACAAAAATGTAAACATAAATTCACAGCTGCATGAACTTTTAATAATTTGTACTTTGCATTATGTGTCACTGATACACAAAGAGAGGTATAGCAAAAATAATCATAATCTACTGGATCCTTGCCTCACTGGGCTCCACAACGGCCACATTCTCAGCTCCCAGCATCCTCTTCATGCGTGCACTCATTGCAATTCCCCCACTTCCTCCTCCGAGCACAAGCATTTTGTAATGCTGTTTAGCAGAGGCCCGGCTGCTCATGTGAAGATGAGAGATAGCCATGCCTGTGGGGTGGCACTGCCTCAGACGACGCAGTGCAGCCATTCTGTGTCTTAACAAGAAGGACAAATCATCTGGGTTAGCAACAATGTCGTTATACTGTCTGGGAGTCACACATACAAAAATCTGTCAACAACTTGCACTTCCTATTTTGCTGTTTCACATTTACATAACGACTATCAGAGGCAGAAAGTACGTACTTTTTCTGTAATGATGAATGTAAAGTGGGGATTCAGAGTCAGATTACTTATCCGAGCATTTTTAGTTTAGTATTTAAACACCCTTTTTTATGCCCCTGATATACACTAATGAGAACAATGACATCATGAAAGTGGTTGTGGCTTTACCACCAAAGCTATTGTCTGGGCCGTCCCAGATACATTGTCAAGACAAAACACACACACAATAATAATAATTACAGGAGTGAATTCGGTACACACTTCTTTAAGTTGACTTATATTGACAAGTTCAAAACGTAACGTTAGCATATTGAGGTGACCTGCTTTTAACTTGACCGAGAGGTTCAGCCTTTGACACATACTTTACAGTGTATTCCCTATAGCCGAGGCACAAACAACTAACACATAATGACAACACTATAAGCCAGGTTACTTTTTATTTGTTTACATTATTCTCCAGTGAAACCTAACCGGAGCTCAACCGTTGCTGCTGCATGCTGCGTAACGACTCCATAACAACCATTCCTGTACATAACGTTACGTAGACCTGACAAAAAAGATACAGTTTCGCACCGCAACGTCGAGAAAGACCGACTTGTACAACACTATCCTTACCTTGACCTGTCAAACGCTTCTGCAATCAGTTAAGACACAATTCCCTACGGACAATTCAAGACAGGACTACTAGCAGAACCTGTATGAGCCAGGCGGTTACCCGACGTGAACCCGCAGTTGCCACCCTAACCAGCACCGAAAGGATTCGAGTTAGAACGTTGGCGCCCGCCTCCTCCTCCGTTCGACCAATCAGAATCGAGCATTTCGTAACTCCGAGTTTAACTTTGTATAGCGAAAACTGTATGTAATGATAGAGATGTCATATTCAGTGTTTTTATGTTACTAGCAGTGGTGTAGTGAGGAGTGTCCACTTATTATACTGCATTGGGAGTATAAAAAGCCCCTGTATATCATTTAGAAGTATCCTGATTGTTTTTCCCAGGATGGTAAAGGTATGACACAGTTTCATTAAATGGATGGAGTATACTTGATTCAAAATGCATTATTTTATATAGTTGTTTCACTCATCTGTTAGCCAGCATTGACTGCAAAAGCTGCTCCTCTTCTGCGGCTAATTCCATAATGATCCATACTGTCTAAAGTCAAGTAGCAGAAGTTAGGAATTAATATTAGTTAAATGTGCAAATACTAAACTAAGTAACGAGTATACCTGCTTTTTAGTTATTAGGTTGTTGAAAGGTTGAGAATCTTCTTTTCTGGGATACATTTGCATGTGGCCTTAATGGACTTAGAGTCTGGACGTACCTGGATGTTAATCGGTCCTGTCTGCAGGTAAGTCGGAGGCACGTAGTCGTCCTGGAATAAACTTTAAAGCATGTTTCCAAAACAAACTTGAACTTGTAGTTGCCTCCCTTTGTCTCCAAACTTGGCTTTGGCTAATAGTAATACTGACGACTAAGTAGGAATGTCCAGGTTTTCCAGTTTCGCTTGAATGCAACACTTTCGTTAAATTCCAGAAAAAGCAGCAACCTGCAATATATTCTGTCTCTGTGATTGTAAGCATCAAAAAGATACATTAATCAACAACAAACTACAGATGCAGTATATGTTTATGACTTTTTCTGCACATTTCCGGAAAGATATCACGTGTAGGTAGCACGTTTGAGATCCTTATTCCAACTAGTGCATATATTATAGACTACTCAATATCTAGAAACCTTTACACAAGCTACAACAAAATCATCATCATGACTTTGCTTAACTGTAGGTCTATTCATCAAGCTGGTTTGACTGGTTCAGATTTTGTTTACATATAGCCCAGTGTCCTGATCATTTCATAAATAGGTCTGCAATGGGAAAAAAGAAAGAAAAAAAGTAGGTGTTAACTTCCAATTTCCCCACACACAATGCAGCGCTATTGGAGAATGAGCTGCTGTGCCATAAAGAATAAACAGTCATGTCCTTTGGAGCAGTTTAATCCCACTGTAATGAGACCATCAGGTGGTTTATATTCCCTACAGGCACAGCCTCACCCTCTGCACACCTGTTTATTTTACACAGTAAAGAGACACTAGTTCTATTTTGAGCTGAACATTTTGGTTATATCCTAAATTGGAAAAAGCAAAGGCATGACATGAGATTAGTGGTGGTTTGGCTGACAGTTACAGGTAGTTTCACATTTAGAAATTAAATTTATTTCACATAGTATGTTAATCTTCTTGACCAAAATGTATTAAGTCAGTAATTTAGTCAAGTTTTTACAATAATTTGGTTCTTTTGAAAGGTGGATACTGTGGTAAAAGACGCTCACAGACGGAGAACTGCATGTGTTACTATTCTGACAGACAGACAACACAAACAGAGATATACTCTGACCTACATTGTTATCTGGTTTACCATACAGGTGAAATCTAACAAGGATGACTAGGCAGCTATAAAGCTGATAAAATGATTGGGCAAGAAGCCTGATGGCAATTTAGTTTACAGCTTCTGGAAGTATTACCTGGTATAAATATGAATGAAGTCTGGTTCTTCGTGCCTGTTTTATTGAGGGACCACAATCGTGGCACTGATAATGCGTGCAGGACGCATAAACGACCCAACCCTGTCTCCTAGAAATTATATTTATATTATTCAAGGCTCCATAAAGGACCGGTGAGCGACTATATCACTGGTTATTAACAAACAGTCTACTTCAATTATCAGTTTGACCTAACATCAGGAATAGCTTAAAAGATAAAGCTGTGTAAATACTATCCTACTGGGAATTGAGTTGACAGATTGATACAATAATATGAATGAAAAGAAAGAAACAATCAATCAGACATTAAAATAACTAATTTCCTACCCACAGATTGTGACATCTATCTGGGTGAATAAACCCTCAAAGAAAAAATAGCATGTTCTTCACCTGGCCTGAAAAATACAGTAAGTTTGTGAAACTAACAAAACAGATCTGTATGAACTGATACGATACACAAACATTGCCTCCCTCTTGTCTGTCTGAAATGTAATGAAACTGTGCCCGAAAGTTATGACTGTAGATGACATCTTGTTATTATTTCTCAAAACAAAGCTTCTCCAAGCTCCAAACAGCACCAACAGTGTTGTTGACCTTTGTCCTTTCCCCCATCTTAAATATGGAATTTGCCGGGTGGTTGCCAGGGATCAGCTTTCAAAGTTTATATCTGCAGCCGCACGCATGTACATTGTCAGATACAGACAAGTGCAAATCACAGTATGGTTCTGGGTACAGTGTGAATACTTGATTATTAGACTTCCATTGCCAACATTTTTCTAATACTGGATTTAATAAGTGTACATTTCACACTAGAATATACATTCAGCTCATTTTCATCTAGTTAGATCTCTGTTTGTTGAACGTTATTTCCTCATTATGGGGCTGCAAATCACAAGCTTATATCAAATCCTGATTCAGACACTGAGAGAGATATGTCTATTTATTGTTTGATTATTTGCTAACAAACAACATACACAGTGTTTTTTTTTACACAAGACAACTGTACAGGAGTGTTGATTCAATTTTATGGTCTTCTTGGAGGCTGTAGTTTGCCGTGCTTTTGCTTTTTATTGTATATACTAAGAGTTGTTTCTAATATTTTGTGCACCCCTTTCATATCAATAAGGGTAGATGGTAAATATTAATTTTAGTTAGGTGTACCTAATAAACTGGCAACTAAGTGTATGTGCTCTACATGTTCAATCACAGTGATAGATACTTAAGGAAACATTACATGAAGTGACATCCAGTCTGATACCATTGTCAGTTAATATAAGTGATCATTAATCTACCTACCTGGAGTCAGATATAATAATCTCAATAATTCAGGTAAATACTTCCATCAGTTGGGTTTTAGTTTTAGGCTTCATTTCACCTGCTTCACTCCAGACGGCAGCTGCAACACAACCAGACCAACAGCACCAACCAGTGTCAATACTGGCTGACAGAAATACTGACAACAAAGAATTATTATTTTTATATTAAAGGAATGAGTTAATCTCTGCTGTGTGCCCTGGCCTTGAAAGACACTGACTGGGGGCGCTATAATAAAAAAATATATGCACATTATATGACACTGTCTTCCCCTTTCTGTCTCATATCTAGCATCAGTCATACAGTAAATCAGTCAACAAATCTAAATGCCCTACTACAAAAACAATACAAAACACTACTAAAATGACACATGAAATTAATACATAAAAATTATAAGAAGCCTGTGAAGAGATACTGTTCAAATCTAACAATTTGTTTCCTCATGAATCTGAATCGGAGGCAGCAGTAGTTCAGAGTGCTATGTGTTTTGGCTCCATTGGGGGGCGGTATAGTAAACCAAAACACCTGAGCCAGGACACACAGTTTTTCACAATGATTTATTTAAATCATGCTTTTAGGGTCCTAATTAAGTTTTTTTGTTTGTTTGTTTGTTTGTTTGTTTGTTTGTGTACATTTAAGCTGTATTTCATCACTTTATTAGGCTACAATTAAAAGGGATCCTCAGTAGCTCATAAGAGGCAAGTCAAAATGCTTGGAGGGAGAATCAGCAAGTGTCTGATTGTGTTTAAATGTCCGTAGGGAAATTAGTTTTTTCACATGGAGGAAAAAAAAAAAAAAAAAAAGAGAGAGAGAGAGAGAGAGAGAGAGAGAGAGAGATGCGATTGCAGCACACACACCCACACACACACACGCCCGCCCGCATCTCCCAGATGAAGAAGGGTCCTCCAGCTTCAGCTCCGTGTCGTGAGTCGGTGAGTGATCATCAGTTTGTTTCTCACTCTTTTTCTCCTTCTCACATTTCTCTCGGAATAGGGTGATTGCTCTATTGTCGCCTGTCTGCACCATTTCCACAGCCTCCTCCACCGCCCGCAGTCTTCCTCTTCTTACTCACCACAGCAGCAGCTGAACAGGCTTTGCGATTCAATTACATGATGAGTTCATCCATGTCTGGTGATTTTTATACAGGATGGAGGAGGATACATCTGCGGAATGTGGTGCTTGGAGATAAATGATCGCCACTGGAATGACGGGATACATGGAGACAACACGAGACTGCGCCTGTGACAAACTTGTGCAAGGTAAAAAAACAACAACAAACACCATTTATACTATAGACAAACATTAAGAAAACCTCACCTATAGGCTACTGTATTATGGAACTACACACTGTACCTTAGGGGGTTGTATTGCTCACCTGGGATCTTTTGCTAAGGAGACACAGTTCCGTTCTGCTTACACATTAGGAGTTTAATTAAAGTTGCTTGTCTGAACAGAAAAGAAACAAGACACAACTTTGCTTTGTGTGTTGCCTCAGATCTTAACACCAGGGTACATTTATTACACACACTGACTCAATCTCCATATTCACACCTTGCACTGAAAAAGGCCTGCTCCCTCAAATGCTCAGCATACATAATAGTGTAGGTGGTTTCTCCCTGTGGTGGATGTAAGTGGCATTTTATTGTTGTAGTTGGAGCTATATTTCAAACTATAACTGCGTCAAATCTTTATGGGCTCATCCTACAGTTTGTTTTGTATGTAAAATGTAGTAGTAGAAGTGTAAAGTGGCATGAAATTTAAATATTAAAGAAAAGTGCATTGTATTTATACAGTACTTGAGTTAATGTCCTTATTATTTCCACTTCTTATTTCTACTCATGTCATTTAGGGAAACCCTCGGGAGGTCCCCGGAGAAGATGGCATTCTGGAGGAGAAATACTCACATTGGTAAGAATGGATTTTTTTCTAATCTTAAACGATGTAACAACAGGAAGAATTAATTTATTGTGGAGGGTAACCGGTTGCAGGTTTGAGGTGTATAAATAATCCTGTCACTGCAGTGCACTGGTTTAGAAAAAAAATAAAATGAAACAGTAGCCTCTCTCTCTCTCTCTCTGTCTCTCTCTCTCTCTCTTTCTGGACATGTGTGTTATTCATGTGTGTGATGTGCATTTGTAACATCCTGTCAGTATCAGTATCAGTATCTGCCTCACACACACACACACACACACATACACACACACATACACACACACACTGAGGTGACCTTGTGGTTGGCAGCAACAGGCTCAGATTTACATTTTTACAATTGTATTTAAATTCCATAGCAATATATATTTTTAAATTTCCTCAAAAGAAGTAAGAGGGAACTTAAAATAGAGTTATTATGTTCATTGTTTTGGCAAGAAACATTTCCTGTAATAAAACTGATGATTTAAAAGCTTCCTGTGTCATTGGACTCTAGAGGAATATGGTCTGAAATATTGCCTGAAGCATTTGCGAATCATTTCACTGAATGATTTTACTGCTCAGACTCACAGGCAAGAGTCTGCTGAAATAAAAAGCTCCTTCAGAAATAAGTCTGTTAAAAAACAGGTAACTTTGAAACAATATTGCATGTACACATCTTCTAATTAAATGTTTAAGTAGACCAAAGCCTTTGAACAACAAAAGCCTTTCTTAATAATTAACCTTCGTAGTAACCGATAGTAGGATAAGGCCAGTCTGTTGTGTGAGAAGGTCTATCCTGTTGCAGCTCTGTGCATGCGTGTCATGCATAATTCAACAATGATTTAACCTCATTTGGAAACAACAGATCTAGCAGAGTGCTCCTTCAGGCATTGCTCTGTTTTGAAAGTTTAGAGTTTTGATAAATGGTTTCCTCATGTTGCAGGTGACTAGTATTCATTGGAATGTGTGTGAGTGCAAGTTGGTGAGTGAATATATTACCTGTTAAGACCGTTTAAAAACCATGACTGAGTATGATGATGAACCTCAATCCATCATGTTGACGTACGAGATGAATACCAAAGATGTTATATTGCGGATGAAGTCTTCAGTTCTTGGTAAAAAGAGTCAGGCTCAGACAGAGTCCACATGCCGCAGACACTGTTATAGCTGTAGGCTGTATTATCAAACCCATGAAGTAGACTCACTCAAAGACACGTTTAAAGCCTCCTGGTATAAATCTTAGCAAATGTAAAGCATGAAGATTGATCATGTCATGTCTGTCTACTGAATATAAAGCTAATGTAATAGCTTGGCCTAAAGACTGGAAACGGAGGGAAACATCTAGCCTGGTTAGGGTTAGGGTTAGGGTTAAAAGTCAAGATACCCTGGCCTCTACTGCTTCAATGCTGCTTGACCATTACTTTTTAAATCTGTCGCTTATGAGTCCACTCACTTTATGAAAGTGCAATACAAGATTGTTGGAATTCCCATTAAAAAATGTAGGAAATGGGGTGATAACCTTTGTCTGAAGTAATAAGTAGCCTAACGAAGAGGGAGACATTAAAATTGTAACATCTGTGACCGAGAGGAATGAGACAGTCAGTATCACATTGTGAAATTAAAAAAGATTGTGGACTGTGCTGTTGTTCGACAACAGGTAGGCAGTCAAAACATGCCACCTAAACCAAAAGGGCAAAACAGGCAGGCAAGAAGTATAAAAGGCAGGTAATTGCACGCTGGAACGAGAGGACAAAAGACTTGCCCGCTACACTTTGATGGAGCAATAGACGATCGGGCAGAAAACAAAAGGGGAAGAATTATAGGGAGCCAATGAGGGAATTGGGAGCAGTTGTGCAGGTGGGTGTGGAGGTCAGGTGATGTGGAAACACAGGAACACACTGAGCACTACTGCAGGACAGAAAGGGAATGACAGGTGCTGAAATGACAGGAGATATCAGTGACTGGCAGACAACAACAAGGCAAAAAGGTTCATAACTATGGAGGCCTTGAAGTGCAAATCACAACAGCAAATTGTGTTTGTTGTTTGTTTTGTTATTTGTTGTTGTGTTTTTCTGTTTGCCATTATCTTTTATACTTCAAGGCCACTGTACATAACAATTTGTTTGTGTTTTGAATTCATAAATATTAACATAACAATCTCCTCAGTTTCTCAGTATGATATTTGCATACACTATAAGACAGAGGTGGGGGCTTATTTTCGTTGTATGTGGTTGTGCCCATCTATTAAGGAAAAGATGGAGCTCCATGTCATCTTGCATATGAAAATTAAATTTCAACCTGCATTGTTTCTGTAGAGACTTTCTGAGGGCTCTGACTTCACCCTATGACAGTACTTTAATAGCAAAGGTTTGACAAGGCAGCACATTCTGCTTCAGTGGATTAAAGAAAAGGCTTTAACTTTATTGCCATTATGTATAAGCTTCACTCAGTGGGAAGTCTCATTTTAAAATTAGATGACCAATTCATAATACCTGAGTAAAGCTGAGTGAGATTTTGACATGGAAAAGAAAATGAAATATTGTTATGCCTAAATGTATTGATACCTAAGTTGTTCTTGTGTAAATCAGTCACTATAGATTAAGGGTCAGTGTATTTTGCAGCCAACAGATTTTTGTTTTGAAATGAGAAAACCAAAATCGGGTTACGAGCTGTTTCCTTCTACCATTTATAAATATGGAGAACAAAATAGGTAATGGGTCGTTTCCCAACTTAGGTTTTCTTATTTCTAAACAAAAACCAATTGATTGTAAAAGTATGATATTCATTTTATTTAAGTGTAATTGGATTAACTTGATAATGACCCTTGTGTCCTTTGTATGTAGAGAAGGAACGCCATGTGAAAGCCAATGCACGGGACTACAATGACAAGTTCTCTTATGCTGTAAGTAGACATCAAAATTACATTCGGGTTGCTTTACCTGTAAGTGTAGGTTTTAGCACTTGATCAATTTTCTAACTGTGTGGTTCTTCAGGACAACCGAATCAAAACCTCAAAGTACAACATCTTCACCTTCCTGCCCATCAACTTGTTTGAGCAGTTCCAGAGGGTGGCAAATGCTTACTTCTTAGTGTTGTTGATACTGCAGGTAGGAGATCGCTTTTTTTTTTTTGTGGGAAATTGTGTGAAACTGAGTGAGCTAACCTGTTTTTTTCTTTTCACATAGGTAATTCCAGAGATTTCCTCTCTGTCCTGGTTCACAACCATCGTGCCTTTGGTATTGGTGCTGGTAATCACGGCTGTCAAGGACGCTACAGATGACTATGTTAGTTCAACTCTTTAAAGCTCTTATGAATACTCCTCTTTTATCTCTGTGTAACATTTTTAACCCCGTTTTTAAAATTTCAGTTCCGACACAAGAGCGATCAGCAAGTCAACAACCGGCAGTCTCAGGTTCTCATCAGGGGAAGGTACTTAAATACTTCCCTCTGTCTTTCCCTTTTTAATGCAATGACATTTATGTAATTTAATCATGAGTTGTTTTGTTTTTTTTCAAGTTTGCAGAATGAGAAATGGATGAACGTTCGAGTGGGAGATATCATCAGACTAGAGAATAATCAATTTGTTGCTGTGAGTAAACTGTGCTTGTTCATTTTGTTTTAGCTTTCATTAGAAGATGTTCAAATTCTGTCTTTTGTGTTTGGAAATAAGAGAGAGAATAGTCAGCAAAGGTTGACAATTAAAGATTTCTTTCTGGGAGACCCAGGGGCCGCTGGGCGCTCTTGCAGGCTCAGTGATGAGGAGATTGATTTATTGCCTTTTCTCACTTACTGAGGATTTCATATTGGTTTTACACACAGGCAGACATCCTCCTTCTCTGTAGTAGTGAGCCCTATGGACTGTGCTATATTGAGACTGCAGAGCTAGATGGGTAAGTGCCGCACTATGCAAAGTAAAACTGCAACTGAGCACAGTATCAAATGTTTGAGGAGGGAAACTGTGAAATTATGATTCTTGTAGTTGTTTTTGCAGAATTTTAAAGTGAATGTGATTTTTCTTAAAAAAAACAAAAAAACAACAGTTTACCACAGAAGACTGCTTTTTTCTAATTTCTCCACAAACAGAGAGACAAACCTGAAAGTTCGTCAGGCTTTGACTGTCACCTCAGATTTAAAAGATATTACAAAACTGATGGACTTTGATGGTGAGATGATTTTTTCATTTGTGTAACATATCACTTGTGGATTCCTCAGGTTTTCTGGACATGTTTACTTCAGAATGATTATTTGTATTTTGTTGCCTGAATGGATGTCAAAGAAATTTTTGTAACGCGTGTTCCCTTTAACCTACAAGTGTGTTTCCTTTTGTATTTTACTGATACACCAGTACAAACATATACATGTTAAACTGGGAAGAATCACACTGTACGTTGTGGACCACAATCCTTTTTCCTGCAGTGGTGACTGATGCTGATGAGACTGCCTTTGTTTTGCTCCTCAGGAGAAGTCATTTGTGAACCACCAAACAACAAGCTGGATAAATTTACAGGAACTTTATACTGGAGAGACAATAAATACCCTCTGGATAATGAGAAAATGCTGCTGCGAGGTTGTGTACTCAGAAACACTGAATGGTGCTTTGGAATGGTTATCTTTGCTGGTATGATAATTTTTCATTTTGATGCTTTTATTCTCTACAACCATTAGTGTATTATACCTTTGTTTTCTCTGAGCAGCTCAAAACTCTCTTGTTGTTAATGTTCTTTCAACGATTACAGACGTTTCGTCTCTCCAACAGGGTTGCAAACCAAACTGATGCAGAACTGCGGAAGGACTACGTTTAAAAGGACAAGTATTGACAAACTGATGAACACTTTAGTTTTATGGGTAAGCTTTTTTTAGACTTTAAGAACAGGAAGAACAAATTGTTCATATCGTATTCAACCTTTCTGTCAAAAAAAGAAATCCCAAAAGCAATATCACTATATGTAAAGCTAGTGGTCAGGTGTAAAAAAATAAATAAAATAAAGGTTCTACTGATTGAATATCAGCCTTACAAAATGTACAAATATTACATTCGACATTACACTATATTTTTTTAAATGCACTCCTATCAAGTGCAGTTTGTACACACCCACACAGACCTGAGAAGAGGTCTAATCACACATAATAAGTGAAAACATCTGTGTACAGTGCATGCACAATGACTGTGTAGAATCGTTAAATAAAAGATGCCACATAACGTTTTATTTATAAAACATAAACGGGTATAATAGACAAGTTTTTCAAAATAAACCTAAAATAATGATCTATATTCCAGATCTTTGCCTTCCTCATTTGTATGGGAGTTATTTTGGCCATTGGAAACACTATCTGGGTGAGTTGGATTGGCAGAAACTTCCAGGTGTTTTTGCCAGGGGAGGAGTTTCAAAGCAATGCTGTTTTCTCTGGTTTCCTCACCTTCTGGTCCTACATCATCATCCTCAACACTGTTGTGCCCATCTCACTATATGTCAGGTAAGGACAAACCTGTTACACATATAGTCTACAATTTAATATATACTTAATGTACAATGTAATACATTAATACTTAATGTATTCTAAAAGTAATTTATTAGCATAATACTTTTTTCTGTGGATGTTCTGTGTTCCTGTTAAAATTATGTCCAATAAAATATGAATAAACCTTCCCCCAGTGTGGAGGTTCTGCGGCTTGGTCACAGTTACTTCATTAACTGGGACCAGAAGATGTTCTGCAGGCAGACGAACACTGCAGCGGAAGCTCGCACCACCACCCTGAATGAGGAGCTGGGCCAGGTGGAGTTCATCTTCTCCGACAAGACAGGCACCCTCACGCAGAACATCATGGTCTTCAGCAAGTGCTCCATTAATGGACAGACATATGGTGTGGAGATTTTTGAATACTTTAATCCAATATATTAGTGTTCTAAAGTCAGTCTCCTCCTAAAATTGGATTACCTACAAATTAAGAAATAATTCACACAAATATGACTGAATAAGTAAAGGTCCAGTGTGTAACATTTAGGAGGATCTATTGGCAGAAATGGCTCTAGATAGGGCGTTTTGAGTTTTGAGTTTCGTGGCCATCATGGTTTCTCCTACATGCTCCATCACCATTCTCATTTCCAGATTGTCAAATACAGACGCAAGCGGTGGTCAGTTAGTTGCAAACAGAAAATTAACCGCTTGACACTCAATCACTAAATCCTACACACTGGTGATTTAAATAAGTTAATAAACTGGACAGAGAAAACCACACTGATTGGTTGATATCCAAAAATGTTCCCTATGTTCTTCCAGAGAATAATTGATGTGAATGACTTTACCTTTAACCAAAACAATTGTAGTGGTGAAAAATGGTGTTACTCTGTAGTAGTCAGTACACCTGAATTGATCCCCAGTATAGAACTAATAACCTATCACAGTGGCAGAGGCATGTTTCTGTTGACAAGATATTTAAGTCATTACATTACCTTTTTTTCTCTCAGGTGACGTCTATAATGAATTTGACGAGAAGGTGGAAATTACAGAAGTAAGTAAAGCTAAACAAGCACAATTTCTGTAACAATACTAATAATATCAACATAAAAACTATGTTGGCGGTCCGTGTCTCTTCAGAAAACAGCCTGTGTGGACTTTTCCTTCAACCCTCTGTGTGACAAAGCGTTTAAGTTTTACGATGGCAGCCTGATTGAAGCCATTAAACTGGAGGATCTTGCAGTGCAGGAGTTCTTCAGACTACTGGCTTTGTGCCACACTGTCATGCCAGAGGAGAAGAGTGAAGGTAAACTATGCATACAAACCAGTAGTAGCACCAGCAACAGCGGATATAACTGAACATATTAAAGTTGTTCTGATTGATGTTTCTGTTAACATGAAGGGCATTTGGTGTATCTGGCCCAGTCACCTGACGAGGGAGCCCTGGTCACTGCAGCACGAAACTTTGGGTTTGTCTTCCGGGCCCGAACCCCCGAGACCATCACACTGTGTGAGATGGGACGAGCTGTCACCTACCAGCTGCTGGCCATACTGGACTTCAACAACGTGCGCAAGAGAATGAGTGTCATTGGTTAGGTCTTCACTTATAACAGCAATGCTCTTTCAGCCTACAAGTAGAAAACATGATGTTACAGGCACATTAGTAATGTAGAAAACTACTTTAAAGTCTGTTTCTCTACTGACTTGAATAATACCTTTGGCAATAAATCTAGAATAACATGAAGTTAACAGTCTGTATGCACATGCTTATGTTTGTAGTCTTTAATTCATGTATTTGTTGAAAAAAAAGTAATGTGTTATCTTGATGTGTTTCCATAGTCAGAAATCCACAGGGCCAGATTAAACTCTACTGTAAAGGAGCTGACACTATTATCTTTGACCGTCTGGATCCATCCAGTGAAGCCCTCATGTACACTACCTCAGAACATCTCAATGTAAGTGTTATACAGCTGGACTCATTATCCGTCTGGATATTAAGCTATCAGAGGAACAAGCTTAGATAACATTAGCAGCAGCTGAGTTTTAAGGTGAAACTGCTTTATTCAGTGTTTTTACCGATTGTAATCTGCGGGTCCATTTGCTTTGGAGAGGAGGAGACCTCTGCGGATAATTCTGCTCCTGGTAAAAAACTGCTAAACATTGAACACTGTAGATATCCTAATCGGGAGAGGTTGACTGCAATGATGGAGAAGACAACAACTCCCATGGTCCCACAGTACTTCACAATGCCATCAGTTTGTCTTTTGTTAGCAGCAGAAATTTCAGGTGGATGAGCTGGTGCAGGCTATGTATTAATAGTTTTAAATTTCAGAAATTGCAAGATTCAGATTGTATTAGTGTGTCTACTAATAAATATACTATTGTCATAGCAATGAAGCCCAGGCTTAGTGAGCTAGACAAAGAGGGAGACCACACAAAACTGAAAGTAATTTAAGCAATATTTTGGTAGTGATGTGCAGGCAAAACAAAGAGGAAAACCAGACCAAAAGGATAAATTGTGATGGAGAGAGAAAGACAGGCTGAGGAACCAGCCTAAGTAACCTAGACCCAGCCTTTCCAGGTGCAAGAGTTTAGGTTAAACAGCTCCACCCATCTCTACTTGCGTGCAACCCTCTGCCAGAATGGCTACTTAAGAACAAGGTCCATAATCAACAGTCAAATGAATAATTTAAAAAAATTAATACATTTATTTCCTTAAATAATAAAAAAGACATAATACTGAATCAAAACTACTCAAAACAACCAAGAAAATAATAAAGATCTGAGGGGCCGGCCAAAATAAAAAAAAGCAACCTGCAAAGATAAACACAGGACAGCCAGAGGAGCGCTAACAGAGCGCTAACAGCAGTCACAATGCTAATAAAATGGAATATGTCTGTTTTTCTCACACAACCCACCCAGTTCAGTGAATGATTCATTACACTGTTGACAACACACACAGTGTCCTGTTTTGTTGTTACAGATGTAAATTTTTTAATGATTTCCTCTGCAGGAATTTGCAGGAGAGGGGCTTCGAACATTAGCTCTGGCCTACAAAGATCTTGATGAAGATGATTTTGAAGTTTGGATGAAGAAGCTTCTGTTCGCCAGCACCGTGATTGAGAACCGCGAGGATCAGCTGGCTGTTCTCTACGAGGAGATCGAGCAGGGCTTGAAGGTAACCTTTTGTAACCATTTGTTTGCATCCTTGAAGCGATCAAACTCATTTAACCTCTGCAGACTGACTGCTGTCCGGGTTGAAGCTTCTAGGGGCCACAGCGATCGAGGACAAACTTCAGGAAGGAGTCCCAGAAACTATCGCCTGTCTAAATCTAGCCGACATCAAGATCTGGGTCCTCACAGGAGACAAACTAGGTAGCATTAATCATCAAAATTTCAATTCTTTAATTGCTGTTTGTCTGTGTATCTGTGAAAAGCTACAGAGATGTAACAATACATGTGTAATTCATTTCAGAGACAGCGATGAACATCGGCTACTCCTGCAACATGCTGCGAGACGACATGAATGAGGTGTTTGTTATCTCCGGCCACACACTGCTGGAGGTGCAGCAGCAGCTCAGGTGACACACAATATCTTTCTTTCACCTCAACAACAGGTTGACATTCTCATAGCAGCTGCAACTGAAAATCCTGGTGTTTAAAATATTGAAAATTCACTGCCTATAAGAAATAATTGATCCAGAGAATTCTGTCACTCAGTAGAAGGTCGATAAAGTTTTTATAAACTCATTGAATGTTTACTGGTTTTATTCTCTCTTCAGGAGTGCTAAAGAGCACATTCTCGGCCTGAGTCGAGTTAGCAGCGTAGGAGACGTTGAGAAGACAGATATGTTTGCTGACGACTCTGTGTTCGAAGAAGCCATTATTGCAGAGTATGCCTTAGTCATCAATGGACACAGTTTGGTAAGATACTCAACTGTGTTACGTTATCTAGCATTTTCCTTCGTTGGAATAATAATTCCATCTTCTGTTCTGCTTGTTTTTTATTTTGGCAGTGATGCCTGCAGGTTTTATTTTGTGGTTACAACATGGCTGTATTGCTGTCTGCTGACTCCAGTGTCTTTTTAGCTGCTGCTGACTGTGCCGAGTCTGTAATGAGCAGAAAGCTGCTGTGCTGCTGAGGGCCCTCGGCTCTATTACAGGTTTTCATTAACATCTATTTCCTCACAGAGGAACTGCTCCCTGGCTGTGAGTCATGGGCATGATGCACAAACAACCGGTAGAAATGTTACATTGAGCTGTTGCTTGGTGTTGCTCTGCAGGGGGTTGGTGTTATAGGATGATAATTATGAGGCTTAACATGTGTGATGTATGTGTTCTCCCTGCAGGCCCATGCTCTGGAGCCACAGCTGGAGCACATCTTGTTGGATCTGGCTTGTTTGTGTAAAACAGTCATCTGCTGCCGGGTCACTCCTTTGCAAAAAGCCCAAGTGGTGGAGCTTGTGAAGAGGCATAAGAGGGCCGTTACCCTGGCCATTGGAGATGGAGCCAATGACGTCAGCATGATCAAGAGTAAGTCTCAGGATCGATTACTCTAACTCATAGTCCCGAGGGTGTTACAGTGTTTTTATGAGTTGGAATGGTGATGCTGAATGGCTGGCAATGGCAGAGGGTGGAGAAGTGAGGGTGGATGGTGTGAGTAGGCTGGAGTTGCACAAGGAGGAACATAGGCAGATGAGAGATGGTCCTGAGGCACAAGAGAAAGACGATGAGTGGCAGGCTAGGAATCAACATGAAGAATAAATAGACTACTAGCAGGCAATTACTTATTATTTATTTATTATTAATACTTCATAGAGGCTCCATCAGCTTTAGGTATGCTCTTCTGTAGCTGAACCTGACTTCCTGTGGAAGAAATAAGACAATTCACTTATGCAACTTGTATTAAAAGATCAGCCAATTTTAAAAGAAGGATTCAAGGAATTTGAATCACAGGTTGTCCCTTTTAATATGGTAAATATTTCAATAATGTTTCAATGATTCTGTCTGCTGTCACTTGTCGCTATTATACTATCGACAGTCTGCCCTCATGTACCTACATGCATGGCTTTAACTTCGGCTTTGTTTTTGTTGTGTCAGATTGAGGTACACTGTGCATGAGGTACGCTGTTTTTATGTCTGTGTTTCTGCTTTGCATGTTTCAGTTATTTTAGAACAATTCAACAATGTTGTCTTATTTAGCCCATATTACTACCAATACCCATCATTTTATTGTTTTGTGCTCTTGCATTATGAGCCTATGTGTTACATGTTTTTAATAGTACCTGACAGTGTAAAACAAGGCTGTCCAGAATGATGCCTCTATTATCATTAATATTTTCTTTTCTTTTTATATTTGTTCTACATGCTTATACATTATATGACTTCAATCTTATATTTTGTTTTTAAGGTGACTTTATAACATCTGTACAGGGATTACACATGAAAAATAAGTTCTTTGCTAACTCATTTACAGCAATGTTTTATTAATTTGCCCGGTCCCTGCTAAATAAACCAGCAAATAAATAAAATAATTTTAAGTTAAGTTAAGATTTTAGTTTCAAAGTGCAGTGACATACAATGTGTGTTTCTTCAACAGCTGCTCACATTGGTGTTGGCATCAGTGGCCAGGAGGGGATGCAGGCTGTTTTGGCATCAGATTACTCCTTCGCTCAGTTTCGGTACCTGCAGCGGCTCCTTCTGGTGCACGGACGCTGGTCCTACTTCCGCATGTGTAATTTCCTCTGCTATTTCTTCTACAAGAACTTTGCCTTTACTCTGGTCCACTTCTGGTACGGCTTCTTCTGTGGGTTCTCAGCTCAGGTAAGAATACAGTAATATGTCATGAGGCCTATATGATTTTTTTTAGATTCTCCTGTATGTCAAAAAAATTGCCCGCACAAAAACTGATTTCTTCTAGACTGATTAGTTTTACCAAAATGATAATTTTCTGTCACATTTTTTCAAATTATGTCACAATAGTAATTAATTAATTATTTTTTCATCCTAAGAGCATCTGCTGTATTTGTCATTGTTACTATGAAAGGGACTGTTGATTTTGGTTACACTCACCTGACACTATCTTTTGCAAAGCCTGGATTTAAGAGCACAAACCCTTTCAGATTTTTTAATCATGTGTACATATTTCCTCTTTCCGCAGACTGTGTATGACCAGTGGTTCATTACCCTCTTCAATATAGTCTATACATCTTTACCAGTCCTGGCGATGGGACTTTTTGATCAGGTAATGCTGTTAAATATGTGATGATAATAAAGCACTGACTCATATGGTCAATATCAAATAACCTAAATCTTTTCTTAATTTCTAAATTTGGACTAAAGTCTACAATGGCAACCTCCTGAGCCATCTTAAATTTTCCTTTTTTTTTTTTTTTCAAGATACTGCCAAGTCATCCAGGTGAATATCTCATTACTGTAGACCTATTTTGCTGTTGATTAATGATTAATAAACCTCCCAAAGGTATCTAAATATCTGAACCTACAGTAGGTACTAGACCAGATTTAAAATCTGTGTGACTAGAACCCCTGACCTAATCAACCCATATCAATATATGGTATTGTATATTCTCTATCTATCTATCATATTGAATTTATCATCTGTCAACTAACATCAAGCACTTCCCTCAATGCTTCACCATATCACTACCATTATATATAATAATACTTAACATATCACATAACACTCATGATATCTCTGTCTCCTAAAGGATGTTAATGACCAGAACAGCCTTCGCTACCCGAGCCTGTACAAACCTGGCCAGCAAAACCTTCTCTTCAACAAACGCCAGTTTTTCCTGTGCACGCTGCAGGGGATGGGCACCTCGTTCCTCCTCTTCTTTATTCCCTACGGAGCCTTCTCTGTCATGGTGAAAGAGGACGGCTCCCACTTTTCCGACCAACAAACATTTGCTGTGACCATAGCAACAACCTTGGTCATTGTTGTAAGTGTTCAGGTAAGTGTAGCAAAATAGACAGAAATAGCTCCACTAATTAGAAAGATTAACACTGTACTCATGTTTATGACGCGTGTATCTGTTGCTAGATTGGACTCGACAAACACTACTGGACTGCTGTCAATCACCTCTTCATATGGGGAAGCCTCACAGTATACTTTGCCATATTATTTGCAATGCAAAGTAATGGCATATTTGGCATCTTTCCAAGTAATTTCCCCTTTGTAGGTAAGTTTGGCTCTGTTGGATTCTTCTGAAGGAGAAATACTGATGCATGGAAATTGAATATAAATAATTTCAGATTTTGTGTGTCCTCAGGCACGGCACGTAACTGTCTATCAGAGAAGAGTGTGTGGTTGGTCATTCTGCTCACTACTGTGGTGTGTGTTGTGCCTGGATTAGTAGTCAGCTTCCTGAGAGTAGACCTCTTCCCTACTCTAACAGATAAGGTATAATAACATTGATGCAACACTTCAGTAATGTTCCTCCTATACCAACCCGCTCTACCTCCTGAGCCACAGCTGCCCCGTTGTGACACTTTTGCTGGACTAGAACACCTAACTGTACATAAAGTTGTTCAAGTAGCTCCAACTCAACCACATACAACAAGAAAATACTACATTCATATTGAAGCATCAGTAACAGTAACAATCTAAAAATGTCATACACCGATCAGCCATACCATTTTGAGCACTGACAGGTGAAGTGAATAACACTGATTATCTGGTTATCTTAGCACCCGTCAGTGGGTGGAATATTTTAGGCAGCAAATGAACATTTTGTCCTCAAGTTGATGCGATTAGAAGCAGGAAAAAACTGTAGCTCCTGTGGGGTGTTCCCGGTCTGCAGTGGTCAGTCCTATCAAATGTGGTCCAAGGAAGGAAAAGTGGTGAACCGGAGGCAGGGTCATAGGCGCCCAAGGCTCATTGATGCACATAGGGAGTGAAGACTGACCTGTGTGGTCCGAGACGAGCTACTGTAGCATCACAGTGCATCACAGTTTGTTGTGTATGGGGTGCCCGGGTGGTCACAATGTTATGGCTGATCTGTGTATATAATGATATATTAGTCATAGGGATGCTTTATGTAGAGCAAGTACTTTTATTCTTGATATTTAAGTAGGATTTTAAATGTACAACATACACTGTAATGAAGTATTCTTACTTTGTGGTATCGGTACGTTTACTGAAGGAAAGGATCTAACTACTTCTCTGTCCCACTGCTTTATTTTGACAGGTTCGTCATCTACAACAGTCAAGAAAGAAGGAAGGACCTCAGGAGCAGAATCTGAGGCGAGTACGCAGGACGAGCTCACGCCGCTCTGCCTATGCCTTCTCCCACCAACAAGGCTATGGAGAGCTGATTACCTCCGGCAAAAACATGAAGATGAGCACTGTCTCTTCTGCTGGCTCCCCTGGAAGAACACCTCACAGCTCCACCTGGATAGAAAATATGTTGAAGAGAAAGAACGAAGTGTCTTGCACCTCTGATGAAAGCGGCAACAGAGCAAAACAGACTCCAAAACAACAGGTCAGAGCGTGAACTTGACCCCTGACTTACAGATACTCTACACACTGTAGGAGACCATATTAATAGATCCCGCAGACCAAGCACAAGGTATGAGTGTCTTTTGTTTGGGTGAATTTATGCTCAAATCCAACAACACAGACATACCTCATTTTTTAAGTGTGAATCACGTGGACTTTGTTGAATGTTAAAGGCCAATCAAAAACATGATTATCTAGAGGAAGCATTTCCCAAAAAAGTTTTTAATCTTTATCTGAATATATTTGTTTAATGTGCAAACTCAGCTTGACAACAGCAGGTATATTTTAAGACAATATAATGCATGAGTTGCTAAAGTTAAAGAAATATTTGTCGTCCTGCATAAACTGATCCAGTTTGATCTTTAAGTGGTTAGTGTATTGATTTAATGGCATTTATGATTAATAAGGAATTTTGGGGCATTGCATCACCTTAAAAGGAACCTTTAGCTGTCACAAACTACTATCTACATATAGAGTATAAATGACATAAGCAAAAATAAGGGTAGCCCCAAGCACCAGTGAAAACATTTATTAGACTTCCATCTGTAAAGCCTATGCACTGAAACTTTCTTCTCAACATACATCCAAAGTGCTAAAATTTAAGTGTTTCTGTAAATACTTATGTAAAGCTGCTAGATATGATAAGCACAACTACTGATTGAAACATCAAATATGGAACTTGTAACGCTATCATTTTTCCCTGTGCTGTGCCTTTTTATGGATCCTGTTAAAGATAATCTTTTTTATTGGCTTGATTTTTAAAGAAAAAGTGTGTGTACTGGACTGCATGGCTTGAATTTTAAATACAGATTTAACCCTCACTTTAAACATTGTACAGTTGCTGCACAATATTTAAACTCCAAACATGACGCTTGCTGCTTCCAAAAACAAAGAATAAAGGAAATTGTGAGGAGAGAGTGAGGTACGATGTGATAAAGGTCCTGAACAGACATAAATAAAGAATGCTGCAGTTACATATACAGTACAGTAGCATGTGCCTTAGACCATCGAGCCTCCACCGTCACTGCTCTCTAATGAAGTGAACATTTTCTTGTGAAGAAGCTCAAGCTCAATGTGTGATCTTATAATCAGGACTTTCTACTTTACTTAAACCCGACACACTTTAACAGCCTGAAGAAACATGTAAAGCCAAAAAAGATTCAGCACATTCGGTTCTTCGTGATTTTCTTTTGCCCCTGTTATGTACGTTATGTTCATGTATGTAAAAAAAAAAAGGATGGATGGATTTTATACAACAGCACAAATTAAACATGATTGATATTTTATTTGTCTTCTTTTCTTTTCTGAGGTGAACAGTGAGACAGTGAATTGTCTACAAAAATCAATATATTATAAAACCCCTAACATTCATGATTAAAAAAAAAAACATGTTTTAACACAAAAAGCATGATCCCTTTGTAAGAAATGTTTCACCACTGTTATTGAAGTTTTTGCCCCTTATATTCCAGAATAATCAGTAAAGATAGAGAGGTCAAATTAAACAGCAAAGTAAGGCTTACATTTTGTATTGCAATTTGCAAGTGCTTCCTGTCTCAAGTGTAAGAAAATATAATTTATCTCCCTGCAGCAGTGTATTTTAAATTGAATCATAGCTGTATAAACAAACATGTATGATGTATTTCACTCCTGAAGGAAAATTGCAGCTCCTCCTCCCGGCTTTGACACAAACAAACTCTGTTTTTCCATCGCTGCTCTGCGTGGATCAGGAAGGTAGTAGGACTCCCTCACTGCTTGTAAGAAAGACTCCACCTTCTCCTCAGAAACCATGGAGACAGCACAGCCGCCCCAACCTGCTCCTGTCAGCCGGGAGCCAACAGCCCCAGACTTCCTGTAAGGAAAAAAAAACCAACAATATTCCAACAAAAGCCTTCAACACCTTCAATGATCAGATCGTAAATTTAGGAGGAATGATGGAGGAGAGAACATGGAAGAAAACTGTGATCTTATGATAATAAAGACAGCATTTACTAATCCTCTGTATAAAGTACACAGGGCTATATTTATCACTGACCCAACATGCTCACATGCTGATGTTAAGCAGGTATAATGTAATATTAACCATGTTTACCATCTCAGTTTAGCATATTAGAGTACTAACATTTGCTAATTAGCTCTAAACACAAAGTACAGCTGAGACTGATGTTTTAAATTTTAACCTCTTACATGAAAGGTCATGGGATCATAAAAGTTGTTAAAAATTATCCTTTAGGCACCATGAACACCTTTACAACATTTCAGTACGATCCGTCCAGTAGTTGTTGAGATATTTCAGTCTGGACCAAAGTGGAGGACCGACTGATATTGTCTTCCTTACAGCCACACTGCTAGCATGGCTAAACTTTTGAGTAAATGTGGAGTGTAGACTCATAAAAGAGACATTATTTGAGGCTCTATTACTGCATGCTTTAGTTTAGGGATCTATGTGGTACAAACTTGGCTTGTAAACGTTGCATAACTGTGGATGTAAATAGGCTTTTTCACAGCAGACATTTTAGTAGGAGAAGCAAAGGTTTTACTAATATCATTAACATCACTATTCAAGTGTCCAATTAGTCATGGCAGTGTGACAGTAGCTGTATCCTAACTCCATACTGATTGGAATCTAGCCGTCTCTTTGTTAGGTTTAACTGGTAGTCACATTTTAAAAGTTGTATTTGATTAGTATTGTATCATTTTCTGTTAGTATACAATGTTGACGCATGTTTAGTATGTTTATTTCATGCATACCAACAGCATAAAACAGTATACTGTAATGTTCGTATAGAATTGGGACACAACAAGTGAGTTAGCGTGCACAACACCAGGAATCAGCTGAAGCAGCTAAATGGAATTCAGCCACACTGCCAATTACTGTAAATTGCCTAAAGTTGATTGTTCTGAAAGATCCATATCCCATTCTGTCTTTAGTCTAAATCTATAATAGCAGTCAGTGAAGCGACACTTTGCTGTACTCACAGACAGATGTCCACCAGTTGATCCAGTTCACGGCAGCTGCACTCATACAGGTCTCTGCAGCTTGAATGGCTCTGGTTCATCAGGTCTCCCAGTAGCTGTATGGATCCGGCAGGCTCAGAATCGCACACGCTCTTAAACCGTAGCACCCGCGCAGCTTCACTGTACACGTGCTTGGCTCGCTGGTGCAGCTTGAAATGCGTCTCTGACAGAGAAAGGGAAGAGGCAGATGGGCTGTTTGTCATTCATTCAAATACTGTGCTATATTATTTTTTCAACAAATGCATCAATATCAGTGACTGAAGCTCTGAGCACCGCCTTTTACTCCCTCTTTACCCATGACTCTATAATAAAGTTTGCAGACAACATCACAGTTGTAGGTCGAATCACCAACAACGATGAGAAGGCTTACAGGGACGAGATCCTGCACCTCACACCATGACGTGCCTCCAACAATCCCAACAAGACGAAGGAGCTGATAGTGGATGTAGCCATTTACCCATATACATCAACGGGGTTGAAGTGGAGCGTGTCCCCTGCTTACCGAGGAGTTCTCGTGGACATCAAACACCCACCTCCTAGTAAAGCACTTTCAGGCATATTCTACCTCATTTATTCAAGTTCTACTTATGTTATCTTTCTGTCTTTACATATATTTATCTGTATTTAGCTTATGTCATCTATGTCCCTATATGGGGGCCATTTTCTTTTTCTTTGCACTGTCTTGGTGAACCCGCAGCCCTTCTTTTTGTTTACACGTGTGCGTAGAGTTGAACTTAATACTGTACTCCTAGGTCAACTACATATCTTTTTTGTTTCATTTATAAAATGGCAAAATTACATTTATTCTGAACAGCAGTCCAGAATTAAATATTGATATTAAATTTACAATGATATGAAACAAGTCCTCACATTGCAAAAGTTCATATTTGAGATTTGACCAGCTTTTGGAGATATTTTCTAGCTAACTGACTCCAGACTAATACATTTTCAAAATGATCATAGTTTAACATTTAAATTAACTATTAAACTAATTGTTTCCACACTGTGGCTGTGTACTGTTGCTCACCATGCTGAGTGTTAGCGCTCAGCAGGTCTGTGGAAAACTGCTCAGAGGTGATGCCCAGCGTCTTGCAGATCTCTTCCCGGCTGTACGGCTCAGGATGCAACGCCTCGTCCACCAAAGCCAGCATCTCCTCCAGGGAGGCCTTCAGCTCCGTCTGAACCTGGGCCAGCTTCAACAGCCTGCTCGAGTCTACACCCCGGGCCTGAGCCAGCATCTGAGTTCACAATCAGCAAGACATTTTGCTTTGATGGAGTATTTACACACTTTTCACTCAGACACAAGTAAACTATATTGATATTTACACATATTTGCTGCAGATGAAGGTCTATCATAAGGAAACAACACACTCTCCTGATTTCTCATCATGTATGTTTATATGTATAAAAGCACAATGTTCTACTGGCTCTAAAACCTTGTGGTTACCCCTTAAAACTAAGTGATGCCTACACAAGACTCTAATCATAAGACGTATATGCAATATTACCTTATCGTTTGTTTGATTAATTGTAAGAGCAGTGTTAAAGATATTGAGCTTTTTGCAACATGGTAATAAACTTGTATGTAGTTGTATATTGTATGTAACTTGTAATACATTTTTGAAGGTATTTTTTCCTGTTAAATAAATCATCCTCTGCCCTCTCCCCAGAATCAGCTTCAGAGACCCACCGGACAGGATCACGGTACCTTTGTGGCGATCCGACACTCCACCACACGGATGTTGAAGTGAGAAGAAGCAGCTTTGTTCATCTCCACGCAGCAATTGGAGATCACAAACACGGCCCCATCAGGGAGCTTGACATCGGTGGCCCTCAGAGGCTGGAACTCTATCAGCTTTGCCTGAAAGACAAAAAAATGTTTACTTGATGAACAAATGACCCGGATCAACTTGTACCACTTGTTTGACCTTATGTACGGAGAAAAAGGCTACATACAGTTCCTCTCTCTGCCAGGAATGAGATGGACTGGTCCATGCCCCCTCCCTCTGTGCCAATGTAGCGCTCACATTTGGCACATATCTCAGCCAGCGCCACCTGGAGGATCACAACAAGAAATACTCTCTTATATTGACTACTGGGATGAAAGCGAAGCACACTATGGGTGACTTTTAAAGTCAGGAGTGATATTTGCTTTTTCAAATAAATTCATTTTTCAAATACATTTTGCTTACAGAAATGTATACAGCACTTTTTCTATGCAAATATACATAGAACAGAATCAACTGTATTATCACGTATACAATCATACACAGTACAATCCCTTCATAAGTACTAGGAGCAGAGGGCAGACACTGTACAGGGCCCACCCAACTCCAGATCTAAGCCAGTGCCTTGGTCACAGGATAAATTAACCTGATATACACACATGGTGGGTGGAAACAAAGAGAGAACATGCAAACTCCACACAGAAAGGCCCTTCCCCAGCTGGGAATCAAACCCAGGACCTTATTGTTGAGAGGGAACAGTGCTAATCATCGTCTAGGACCCCAGAAAACAAATGTTTTTTCAAAAACTTCAAATCTTTGGAAACTGCGTGTGATTTTCCCTCCGTCTCTCTGACTGGACTAGAAGATTTATGGAGCCAAAGTTCTCCACTGGGGAAATATCAACCTTGGTTATAGAGCCATCCCAACATTGTCATGGGGGGTTGTTGTCTTGTGTGTGTCATGTTTCATTCATTTGTGTCACCTCAGTGAGCTAGCTTATGGAATATGGACATAACAAGGGACATAACGAAGCTAAACAATTAATTCTGTGAACTCTACTTGAGCGTAGTTGAACAAAAATAGGTTCCATGATAAGTAATGTGCCCTACCTGTGGTATGTAACTGAAAAAAATAACAACATCAGGCAATTTTTTTTATCTTTTTAGATGGCTTCTGAATGAAATGCTTGTATTGTAAAGCATTTTTACCTTGGATAGGGACTTCTGATTTGCCTCCATTGTTACGAGCCCGGCACAACAAACTAAGGCACTAGAACTGGACAGGCCAGAGCTCGGAGGAATGGTTCCATCTACGACACACGACATCCCTGCTAAAGGAGCAATCCCAAACTTCTCCTGTGAACAAAAATAAAAACATTTAATAAACACTAAAGTATTACATACCAAATCCTTCCCAAGATGAAGTAGAAGAAAACATCTTACCTGAATACCTTTTACTCCACAGAGAAAATAATAAAACCACTTTGGATTATCTCTGTCTATGGCGATGTCCTCTGAACACGACACAGTGAAATCCCTGCAAAATGAAAGACATTATAAACAGATTATACTGTACAAGTGTTTTAAGCTCCTGTAATGCAATGTAAAAACTCACACATGGATCATGGGGTGTTCAAGTCTTACTTGTATTGAGGATTTGTGTTGGCCAGAGTGATTGTCCCTGAACTGTTAACCGAGACGGCTGCGAGGATATTCGGTTCAATAGCCATTGGAAGAACAGAATAGCCACAGTAATCAATATGCTCTCCTGTTAAAGAACATTTAAAAAAAGATATGAGAAAGGGATTTTACTGTAGATGAGACTAAATGATTTCACTGACCTGGGTTTACCACCAGTGCCAATATTTGTGGACTAAAATAATAACAGATATTCAACATCCTTGAATTAGATTATTATCTACCCATTAAACTACAATTCTTCCAAATATATATACATTTTTCTTAGTATGGGGGATGTTCAATGACCGACTTTCTAAATAGTATAGATATTAACTGTATCATATAATATGTTTTAGCAGAAGCCATTCAGATAACAATACAAACATTTGAGCAACAAATCAAAATGGGAGAGGGAAAACTTTTGCTTCACAGATTTGATGAACCTAACTTTTGTTTTTTATAATGTTACTTTGTTCTTGGAGGTCCATTGTGTTTGGGGCAAATAAAGTATCATAAGCCCAATTTACTATAACTAGCAGTCCACTGTCTAAGTCAACTAAAACCTACTATAAAAAATAAGAATTACCTATTAGATTTACCCTTCCAGGTGCATACGCATAGAAGAGAGGAGATTCTCCATACTTTGTCTCAAAAGTATTTTTCAGGTTTTGCAGCCTGTGAACAATCACAAATGAAGAAGTGAAGAGAATATCAGACAGAATAAGCTACACATTAGTTTCCTCATCCCTCTGCCTCACTGACAATCCGCATACTAACTTACTACTCACCTCTCATTGCCAGAAATCACAGTCTTTAACTTGGGTGGGTTTGTGGCCATTTCTGCCAGTTTACAGTAACTATGAGTTGCTTCTTGTTGTCAGACAGGAGAGCTCGAAGCTTTTCCAATATCCTAGCTGAAATCAGCTGACTGTCACAAGAGGATCCCGGATGCCAAACCACTGAACTGGGGTCAGCTTTAAAACAGCGTTCAGCTCAGTTTAGTGGCGGTAAGTTCCTGTTTGTATCGAGGGAGCTGACTCTGAAACAGTTGAAGCTGCAGCGGCAAAGACACGGAAGTCTTTGTATGACAGGGGGCGTGGTTTAAGTAACGCAGAGGAGCTCAGGTGACGTGATGGCGTCACAATATACCTTTTTGGACAAACTCACAAAGACTGGCACCGTCAGCAAAGATCAGAACAACAAAAAAATAAAGATTGTGAAAATTAAAAATCACTTTTAATACTGTTTTTAGTGTAAAACCTATGTCTCCATACTCCGGTACAGTAGGAGGCGGTGTGCACCGTCAAAGATTGCACTCTACCATAATATCACAAAGAAGAAGAAGAAGATGCTCGCTCGTTTCCAAGGACTACACTTCCCAGAATTCTACAGAAGCTGTTACCATGGAGGCGTAATTGAGTTCCGGGGTTTGGCAGCAACAACAATAACGTTGATTGTTTTTGTGGAATAGCTTCAACCACGCGTGTTTTGAGAAGAGCAGTGGACATTAAACTAATACATGCGTCTCTTAGTGAACCACATCAGTGATGTTGTTACAGAAACACTCATCATATAGTCTACTATATATACTATATACTCATCAAATAGTCCGTGTGCGCGGTGTGGTTTGGCGCTGCTGATGCGCGCGAGTTTTCAAAGTGGGCGAGTCCGCGGCTCTTAAAGGAGACGTCCAACCGGCTGCGTTAGCTTTGTGCCTCTCAAAGTCTACTACCTGGCTTAAATTACACGCAAACTGGCGTTAAACTGTTTTATTGCCTAACGAGTCTACATCTTTGATCACACGATTTGAGGTGGATGTTTTTTTTTAAGCATAGCGAGGTGTTTTTTTTGTTTTGGGGGTGAAGCTCGTTGCTGCTAAGGCGAGCTAACATGGCCAGGTTACCTCTTGTTAGCTAGCGCCACTGCTTTGTATTGTAAACAGTAGTGTGGTTAGCAGTTAATGCCATCTAATAAAAGAATAAGCAGCTCACAAAAAGAAACCATCGTCTCATTCATGCCAACAGGTAAGCTAATTTAGCCTGTTTTGAACTTTTAAAATCAGTGCGGCAGCTAACTTGTAATGTCAGCTAAGTTAACGTCCACCATAAAGTCACAAAAACTTTCTCTTTTTGTTTGTTTGGGATTTCTCCTCTAACTCAAGTTCTGTTTTTTGCGTCTCCCCGCAGAGCACCGTGCTCCAGCAGGCTCTGCATCATGTCTATTGATTTTGACAGTGCTGCTCTTCAAACCCAGCATGATGAAGAGGAATACGATCAGGAAGACTATGCAAGAGAGCAAGAGGTATAAGACACATCACTACAGTATTGTGAAGTTGTTGGGATAACCTGTGTTACAGTTTGTGTCTTTAGTTGTTTGATTTTGTTAATGGTAGACTGATTGCATGAGCTCCGTTGGTTTCTTGATTATACATATTCTCAAATTTCCGTTATCCGACATATCAGATGATCTAAGATATCCAGGACATGTGTGACATGATGAAACAATAATCTGTAGTATGTAAAGTGCTCTAAGCATTACTTTTATAGTCATATTGATGTATGTAGAAAAACATGTGTATGCTCCTTTTTGAGCATCCCATTTGCCTTATTTGTTTTTCTGAATTAGTGTTGTTGTTGCTTGGGGAAGCATTTGAGGTTTGCACTGTTTGACTATCACAAGAACTGCCTGTTTCACAGCTAGACAGGAATGCTGTGCTATTACTCATGCTTACAATCTGTTGAGCTATTATTGGCCCAAGGAAAAAGCCTCCTTCCAGGTGTGTCACTGAAACTAGCTCTGCCCAGTGATTTCCCTACTTTCTCTTACTTTAGGTTACCTTGTTTCTGTGCTTGAACCCATTTGTAGTTAATACAGTGAGCATGAAGAAACTGCCAGTGAATGTTTTTCCAGTTGGCTGCAACATTTAGAAGAACTGGATTTTGGAAGAATATCTATCCTGCGAATGGATTTTATTTTCTTTGTGTACCCTATGTATTATACGCAAGTTGGTCAAATGGAAAATGTTTGCTACCAGTAATTGGAATGTTTCTGCTCCAGTTAACGAGGCTATATGTTTCGTTTACACAATGGAGTTCTTTGGGAGCAAAAAACAGCAATACTGCAGAGAGCCAACAACATGCCAGACACGTTTTGGATATTTCACACCGAAGGTCTTCTCTGCAGAAAGATTAGGCTAGGAGGTTATAATGTGGCTTCACATCTGAAGCAGAAGTGCCTCTTTAATCTTTGTTAAATGTGTAAGTGGGACAATGGGTCCTTCGGTTGTGGACACAGTGGAGGATTTGAGGAATATTCAACAGTCCTTGTGGGAAGTAAGTCCAGCTGGCTCTTCTTGTTCCATCACACATGGCTGGTTTTAAAGCAAGTCTGGTCAATCTGTTGCTGACACAGAGGAGGATTTGCATTGTTGTTTTTGTGTTATTAAGAGCTAAGATGTTTTGACAGACAAAAAAAGTCAGTTTGTTTCACAGTTTGTGTTTTATTGTTTTGACCAAAATAATAATAAGTGTATTTTATACAAATATAGTTTTATTTCAATTAGGGCTGCAACTAACAATACCGATTTAATGTAAAAACTTAAAAGCAGCAAATTGTCACATTTAAAAGTGGGGTCAGTCATTCTGGTGAAGGACAATTGATTGTTCAGTCTCATACATAGGTCATCAAATACAGACGCTTTGTGTTTCCAAAGTGTATTTAATGACTTGGGAGCACAAATGCCACTGATGTGTTCTGTGGCTCGTTTGCTTGTTTTAAATTCACCAGAACCCAAAGATGGTATTTGATGAACTGTGAATGAGACTCAACAATCACTCAAACAATCTACTGTTTTTCTCCAGAATGACTGACCCTACTTTTAAGAAGCCTAAACCAGAGAATGTTTTGACATTTTGCTTAATAAATAACATTAATTAATGAATGAATTAGTTAATTGATATAATGTTTAATACATGCTTAAAAATAACACATACAAGAACAAAATGATCATGAATGCTAAAAACTCTTGACAAAACTCTATAAATGTGCTCATTCTTCTCTCAGGCTGTCAGTGATTGCCTATCTCTGCTGTTCTTTTTTCTATCTGTGTTACTTTATAACTTGGTTGCGGAGCAACCTTGGTGACTCATTTCCATGTGCTTTTTTTCCCCACAGCTGCAGAAACTGCTCACAGACCTGCCCGATGACATGCTGGAGGACAGCAGAGACTCCTCCCCGGAGCTGGAGTACTCTACCTGCAGCAATAAAAACACTGGCAACAGGTAACACACATGTTGCTGCTGACGCATTAGTCATCTCAGATTTGGAGACACCCAGAGGGGTGTGGTTCAATCAGATGTACCTGATCCCATTTTAATATAATTATGCTTTTTTGCCACTCAGCCCACAATCCACATGGACTCCACAATGGTCAGCTCATCCAAGGCCAACCTCTCATGAACAGGTGAGTTGTTGGTGTTTCCACTGAGAGATTTTTGTCTTCTGAACATCTAAAGGGGAAAAAAATCCATCACTACTTACTGTCCATGTCTCTCTGAAGAACTATGAAGCTGACTATGATCAACGCTCTCATGATGAGTACGCTTATGAAGATGCAGCTGCTCAGATTAATGGACATCAGAGTCACCCTCAAAGTCAACATCTGCCTCACGCCTGGAACCAGCAGTCACAGGATCCTCAGTACACTCAGGGAGATTATACATACACCAGCATGGGCACAGAAAAATCTACGGAGACCAATGATTTCTCAGCCGACGAGTATGAGTCCAAACCACTCTCTCAAGGCACAAATCATGCAGTAGTGTATAATGGAGGAGGAGGGTGCAGAGACAACCAAAACTACGGGGACCACAACAACGCCAGAAACCATTTTCAAGTGAGAGGAGTTTTATGTTTGGTCTATTTAGCAGAGTACCAAAATATCAGTGCAGTTACTGATGGTTCATTGTAGTGATTGTTGCAGGGCCACCAGCCAAATGCTGGTAAAATATAAATAAATAAATGTGGCTGGTAGATTTGCTTCACTCATCAACCAAAAAACAATGTTAATGTATTGAGTGGCTTGTAAAATTTAACATTGACTAGCCATTTGGACAGTGGACAAAGAAGTAAAATTTAGCTTCCTGTACTGTTGTTTGTCTTTGGAGCTTATTAAACAGGCTTGCTATCAATTATATTATTAATTGTGTTTTTAAATATTCTACATATTTCTATATTATTTTATACATTTATTTTTTCTAATGCACTTTCTTGTGCATTAATTATATATATTTGTTTTAAAAATACTATGTGTATGTGTTTTTTGTGATCTTCAGGATTTAAAAACCGGACCGGGGGTCAGAGTTGTGGATCAGTACAAGGCCAGCTACAATCCTCACCATCCTGCCCATCAGCCAAAGATGTTTAACTCACAAGTCGCTCTCCAGGAAGGTCAACTTAACCATCTGCAACGAGAATTCCTTGACTCGACACAACGTGAGTCTTACAGTCTTGATTCAGTTGCTGGGTTAATGGCACCGGAGTACAATGACATGTAAATCACAAATTAGTGCAACAGCTGAAAGGTACCATGACTGACAACTTAGGAATGTCCCGAACTGGCTGAACAAATGTATCCAAGTGAATTATCTGAATCTGAATCTGAATGTTTTGTTGTTGACAACAGCTGCTGTCATAGTGCCATTCAGCAATACACTTATGTAACTCTCTGCTGTTCCACATAAATTGTTCTGCGGACAATATTACAAAAAGTAGGTTGTTTTAACTGAGACAGGCTGAAAACAGGGGTGATAAAAATAATGATCTGCATAGGTCAATGTAGTAGTCATGTAATCAACTACAGATATCATGAACCTTAGTATAACAGTGTTATTTCAACTCAACAAAGTGTCATCAGCCTCCAGACAAAACACATTTAGTTGAACTCCTGCAAGGTAACCTGAGGGGAGACACTTGGTTCAGTATTTTGTTTCCAAATTTCCATTCTTAACTAGCTTTAATACTTGACTATTTTGTGGTTTTATTATCCATCAACATGTAAATACAGAGAGCTCTTAGTTTACTGCACCCGTTTACCACTAAACTAGAAGCCTAAAAGGTTGTATAAGATGCATGGATATTGCTGAAATTAAATTGTCTTCACACTGTTTAAATAAAGTGTGAGAAATTGATGTGTTAAATATACATTCTGTGTGGTGTTTCAGAAACTGCTGATAGGGAGCAGCTTGCTCAGCTGCAGATTTTAAACAAGGCTCAGCAAAGGCAAATTGAAGACTTGGAGCAAAAACTGGAGGATTCAAGGCGCAATATGAGATACGTCGAGCATCAGTTTGCAATTGTTAAAGGTATGTTTCACACAGTTTTTGCTTTCAAAATGAGGGCTGGGATTTGCCATTTATTAACATAGCCCATGTAAAGTAATGTGATTATACTGATTTTGGTACTTTACGGCTTGAAATATGAATATGTTGAATAAATCACAGTCTTGAAAAGTTATGATGCATGATCTCTTTTAAAATTGGTTTTTTATTATGTCTGACCATTGTGATTGACACTTAAACTTTCCAAATATGTTTTGTTTTTATTGATACACCATTAAAAGCCAAATGCTATCTATCAATCTATAGGATTGATTGATATTGATAGAAGAATAAAATAGGATCACATAAGTGTATATTTGCCCTCTTGTGGCTGATAAGAGAGCTTGCACTATCTGCAGAAACTCAGTGAGTCCTGCACTGTCCTTATGTGTGCTGGATCCCTTGCTGGTTGTGCTGCTCTTGGGAGCATAAATATATATAATATAATTTTTTTGTATCATCAATAGATGAAAAGGATGGCTTAGCAGTAAGTCTAAAGGAGTCAAGTCGATTGGTTGAAGAGGCCAAGGAGAGAGAGGTTCAAATGCAAAACAAACTGAAGGCAATGGAGCAGCATGTAAAGGTCCTTATTGACAGAGACCAAGAGGTAAGTTCTGTACTGACTCACATCTTAGTTTCTGTTCTGCTTATCTTAAGCAAACTGACAAGATAACAGACAAGACAGTCTGCAATACATCAGGTTATCTGTAATTAAAACAGAAACTCAATCACATTATACATGATTTATATTTGTTTTATTTATGTATTCAAAGCAGTGTCAACTTTACAGAATTAACAAGTCGCTTTACTTTGTTTGCAGAACACGAAGAAGCAGAGGGTGGCAGAGGCTGCAGTGGACAGCATGAAGCAGCAGATGCTTGAGCTTTGTCGCTCTGACACCTTGTCCAGAACACGGGAGCAGCATGACAGAGACCTTACCGTCATAAAGGAGCAGCATGACGCTGCACTGTTGATACTACAGCAGAAACTAGACTCTACTTCTCAAGCTCTGACTGAACAGGTGAGTAGTCTTACTGTCACAGGACGCAGCAATGTGAAATTTAATTAATGTAACAACAAACTATCCACAACACTATTGACAAATGTCCAGATATTGGTATAGTCACCTGCAGAATAAACTCCTGCATATTTGTTTTGTTGCTTCAAGATTGAAGTTAGTCAGCGGTTAGGAGAGCAGGTGAAAAAGCTGGAGCACCAAAGAGAAGAAGAACAACTGGAGAGAGCCCGAGTCGTCAACACCCTCACTCAGCGTCTGGAGGAAAGTCAACAACAGTGTGCCAAGCTGCTGCAGACAAGTGAGTGGGGTTGTACTGCAACCCCCTTTTTGGTTTTTATGAAATCAAAGGACATTAATAAGCAACTTATATGCATGTGTTTTATTAGCTAAATTCAAATAATATTTTCTTCCCTCTTACGTTTATTTTTTCTTCAGGTTCAGTGCAGGAGATGACTCAGATGCAAATCAAACTACAACAGGCTCTATCAGCCAAGGCACTAAGTGAAAACATGAGCAAAGTCTTGCAGGTTTGTCTGATTTTTCTGCCACAGAATGAAACCACTCTCACAACCTTATTACATACATGTTCTTAAACTTGCTTGGTTAAACTTTTCATATTTTATTTCTATCCTAAAGGAGGATATGTCTGATTTGAAGGAGCAGATCAGTCTGTATGAATCTGCTGTGAAACATGGCGTTATTGCATTAGACCTGAGCAGCGACTGGGAAAACCAAATGTCTGAATCCTGTGTGGATTTAGGATTAAAGAAAACAAACAGGAAAAATGGACTGCTTCACAGGTACAACATGATTTTGGTCATATGATCACACATAAGTGCGAGTGTATACGGTGAAACTTTATCATCATGCAATATTTCCACTTTATTATCACTACTGTCATCAATAACCATCAATATGTTTGCCTACTGTTCGGTCAGTACTGCCCTGACTCACCTGTCGGACTCCAAGCTGCCCAAAGATGAAGCTTTACGGCTGCTGCGAGTGGAGATGCAGCGCTGCCTGAGTAGTCTGAAGGGGAAGCGGCAGAAGATCAGTCAGCTGCAGGAGGAGCTCCAGCTCTGTCAGGGTCAAGTGAACGAGCTGCAGACCCAGTTAGATGAAGCCAAGCTCAGTTCTTCGGTGAGGGCAACTATAGCGCTGGATGGCAATAAATTCTACACACTGGACCTTTACAACCAATGGACCTGAAAAGATTCAAGCATTATATTTAATATATTTAAATCATAACAAAATGCATCTGTGTTCACAGGTAAGACAGACCAGCCAGATGAAACATCTAGACATAACTGGAGAGTCCCAGAAAGAGTTCATGAGACTCCAGGAAGACAAAAGACTCTTGCAGGAACAAGTGGAGGTTGGTTGTAGTTTATCATGAACTTAACTATGTAATTTGTTTTTAGACCATAAGAAAAGATTGATAAAAGATTGCCGCTCTGTCTAAACTCTAGGCGCTGGAAAAGAAGAATAAGGAGCTGAAACTGAGTGAAGAGAAGGTGAGGTCTGCCAACTTTGAGCTTTGCTCCAAGATGAGGGAGATGATCCAGGAACTGGACCAAGAGAAGCAAGAGGCTTCTGAAAGGTAAGGCACAAGTGAGGGGAAAAAGAATAGATTTAATGTTAATCTTTACTGTAAATGATCATAGAGTTCATATGTTTCTGTTTCTTCGTGGAGGTCTGAGCGGATTCATCAACAGTATAGGGATGACGTGGTGAACCAGATCAGAACAGAGCTCATGCTGGAAAATGACGCTTTGGTTGAACAGCTGACCGCACAGCACCAGAAGCAGTTCCAACAGCTAGAGTAAGTCCTCTGCCGAACAAGACAAAAATATCTCTTACAGTATTGTCAAAATTTATTAATTCTAATAGAGCAGGGTACACAAGACCAAGGTTAGTTTATAATATTAGCAGCCGTTCACTCCTATACCTTGCAACCTTGTCACTCTACTGTAATTCTCTCCCTTGTCAGGGCTGTCTCCCTGCGTCACTATCGGCCCTGACCTTTCTGACTGTTAGCAATTAGCCGCCTTCTGCTATTACTGCCACAGACCCAGTTCGTCCTGTCCGTAACATACCCACAAGACAAACAGCTTCTTTCAGAGGCACCTTTGTGTCTAGAGTTTATATTTTCCTGCACTGATTAACCTTAAACCCATCACAATCAGGCAAGGTGTTCACTCGGGTAAAGGTTACATGAAAGAGAATAATTAAACACAGTTGGCATTAAACATGAAAATATTCAAAGATTTTAATGTGATCTGTATAATTTCCCTTACAAACTGTAAGTGAAAATATTCTGGAAATCTTTGCAACTCATTTATAGTACATATTACTTCTTCACAGGATCCAGCTGTCAGAGGCCAATGATAAGATGTTGGCCGTGCAAGAGTGTTACATATCTGTCTGCAAGGAGAAGGACATGCTTGAAGAAAGAATGCGCAACAGAGAGAAGGAGGAAGCTTTGATCAGAGAAAATGAGGTATACATGGTCCTAAAATGTGTTTACAGAATCAAAAGTAACTGGAAATTGTTCTGTCTTTCTATATTGTGTGTGCTATATGCTGTATATCCAACATACTATTACCTGCAGACTGAGAATGATTTTATAATTTGATTCTCATTTCAAGCAAAACATGAGAGAGGAGAGCGGTACAGCTGTGGAGAAGGTGAAGGCTGAGCTTGAGGCTCAGCATCAAGCCTCAATAAACCAGCTTAAAGCTCTCTGGTCCAAAGAAAAGGAGACCGAGATCCAGCTGCAGGTGAACTCTCACGTAGCCTCGGCCAAGGCTGCTTGGAAGGAGGAGCTGCAAAAGGTATGATTTCCTGTGATCACTGACCAGCTCTCTCAACTCCATAATGGTGATTTTATGTCAGACCTGAACGTTGTTAATGCTTCTGTGCAGATGGAGAAGACCTGGGACCAGAGGCTGAAGGAGGCTAGGAGGGAGAAATACAGAGAGACTGCTGAGACAGCCTGTCAGGCAGATGAGACTGAGGCCAGCAGTGTCACAGTTAGTGTTGAGGAGCTGGAGTCCAGGCTCAGAGCCCAAAAACAGCAGCTACAACTCGACGCTGACAAGGTTAAACGCAAAGCTGTGGAAGAAGCAAGGAAACAAACCCAGAGAGAGCTACATGAGAAACACCTGGAGGACATGGCCAAACAGGTCGGTGGCGTTTTTTGATTTTTTTTGGGACTTTGGCTAATTTTGACATTGCTTTACTTTTTTTTGGTTTGTTTTTAATGACACCAACTGAAATTGTTCCAGTGCCTCTAGACTTGCTTAGACTGTATGATTGACACACAATTTTTTTCTCTTCACACAACCTACGCAACTCTTCAGCAACATTTGTTCCCCAAACATAATCAGCTATCTTGCCTTCATCAGGTGTTGACAAATTTAGTAGTGGACATAAATGTGTTGGTGTTTCAGGTTGAAGGTGCAGTCACAAGAGCCTACCATCGCTGGATTGAGGATTTGACTTCATTACCAGAATACCAAGCAGCTCTCCAAACGGAAAGGGAGAAATGGGAAGAACTACAAGAACAATGCACAGAACAACAGGTATGACAGAGTTTTATCATTGTGAGTTTAGAAGTGTCACTGCTATCAAGTCTCTTTTTCTTTTCTTTTCTGATAATTTACATTCAAATTTAAATGTGTCAGGTGTCCCAAGCCCTGAGGGAGGCAGAGGGCCAGTGGCATAAGAAGCAAAAGAACCAGCAGGAGGAACAAAGCTCTGGAAACCAGAGGGTGGAGGAGCTCCAAGAGGAGGTGGCAACTCTCCAGACTCGGCTGGAGCAAGTGAGGAGAGAGCAAGCTGCCCTGCTGAAGGCTGAGCTGGCCGGAGCTAGAGCAGTCTGGAACCGAGACAAACAACAGGAGATCTCTGCCATCCAGGTCCGCAGTGAGCAGGTGTACCAAACCAAGCTGCAAGAGCAGCGCAGAAAGCTGGAGCAGGCTTTACAGCAAGCCAGAGAGGATGCGGACCTCCAGAAGAAGGAGATGCTCCTGCAGATGGAGGCCAGGCTACAACAGACTCTGGGGGCCCGAGAGGAGGAGTGGAGATGTCAACATGCAGAGAAAGAGCAGGCCCAGATACAACAGATGAGAGATGAAATACGAGCAGAGATTCAGACTGGTCTGGCAGAGGTCCAGGCATATCTTCTCAGGGATCCCAAAACAGATCAGCAGGGCACTAAAGACATCAGGAGGACCAGCGGGGCCACATCAGAGGACACAATAACACACCTCATCCAAACGTCCTGCAAAGACATAGCCAACAGAGCAGTATCTCAAGCCAAGAAAGAATGGAAGAAAGTAAGTTATTACCAGATTATCTGTATCTGTGATTGTTTATCTTGTTTATCTGTGAGGACTGGTCCTCAATGATTAGTATACTCAGTCTGCAGAAGGCAAAGGTTAGAGTTGTTCTAACACAATAAGTACTATAAACAAAAAGCCAACCCACTTGGGTTCAGTACAAAAGATAGCAACAAAGGAAAGGGAGAAGCTGTCTGCAGGTACAAGTCAGTGTGCAGACAGCTCTTATTTTCCTTCTATTACCACATGTACTGCCATGAATAAATGTTGTAACATTCAATTAAAATTTGTCTGAATGTGCTTTTTTATTATTAAAGTGTCTTTTTATATGGTGCAATGTTTATGAGTTGCTTTTCCCTTTTCATGTGTGCCCCTACAGATAAGTGAGGAGAGACTGACCCGTGTGTTAAAAGAAACACAGCAACAGCATGAGAGAGAAATCGACAAAATGCAGAGTATGTAATGTGCTTCTTATCATCTCTCCACTGAGCAAGGAATTAGGAAAACCTTCTACATGCAGTATTCATTATTTTAATTAGACTATTATAGTTCAGTACCCATAAATAACGACAATATTGTCCACTGTTTCCAGGCTGTTTGTCCCAGAGGAAGGAACAGGCTTGTTGCAGGAAAGAGTGCACTGAGACTGTAAGTAAGCTGCAGAAGAAGAACCAGGAGCTCCAGAGACACTTGGAGAAGGCCTGTCGTCACCTCCAGCACAGAGTTCGAGAGCACAAAACTGTCATGCAGCATCTGAAAGGTATTTAATGCACTTACAATGTTGTTTAAACATAATTTAAATAGATTCACTCAGCCTACACAGCACCTTTACGAATGTGTTGATGGTCTACAACACTGTTTATTGCAGATGAGCATGAAAGGAGCCTACAAAAGGCAAAGGAGGAACATCTGCAGCAGCTAGAGGAAGTGAAGAGAGCCAAAGAATCCTCGGGGTTTGTGTAGTTTTTATCATTTCTCATCTTAAGTTGTCCAATAATATTAAATATTGTTTCCCTGTTGTATTGATAAAAGGCACGTTAATTAATCAGTGGTAATATGGTAATTCCATTAAACTGTTCAGATTGGGTCCCTAACAATTAAAGGGAAAAACAAGGCGGTATAAAACTGTCAATATTACTTTCAATGGCCAAACACAATAATTTTAGTATATCTATTAGCACGAAGTAAAATAAAATAATAAATTCATTTTTTAACGGATTCTTTTAACAGATTCCTGTTAAACTATATTAATTTTTTTAATGTCCATTCTGGTCATGTGAGGTAACACAGTAAATATTGCATAAATCTTTGACTTTTTGGGAGCATAAATCCTTCCCTCTTCATGTGAAATGTGTCTAACATAGTCTTATTATGAAATACAGAATTCTGGTTATAATCAAAAATCTTTCGAGGTCCAATCTCAGTTTCCATGAAATGACTCAACAGTAGTTAATGAAGAATGAATTTCAATAAAACTTTGCCAACAAATACATTTTTCTGTAGTTCTGATCACCAACAAAGTCTCCAGCAAGGCCTCGAGGAGATGAAGCAGCAGTACCTGATGACTGTAGAAAAAATCAGAGGTTGGTAATGGTGCTGATTTTTGACATACATGTGTAGATGTTAATTCCTCAGGAGGGATTGAGGAAGGTTTAGACAAAAGTAGATCCTGTTTCTGATGTCCTGTCCTATGTGTTTGTTACTTCCTCACTCTGATGCAGGTTTGCATGTTTATACACACGTGCATCACATCTTACTAAGTCATTTTCTTGTACATGTGCCTAGTGAAAAGCAAAGATCACAATTGCCTTTTTCATGGCAGGAGACATGCTGCGTTACCTCCAGGAGAGTCGGGAGCGAGCAGCGGAGATGATCCGCATGGAGGTGCAGAGGGAGAGACAGGACACTGCCAGAAAGATGCGGCGCTATTATCTGACCTGTCTGCAGGAGTTACTGGAGGATGGAGGAAAGACTACAGGGTAAGAGGCCATAATTGTCCACAACTTGTTTGCTTGCTTCATCATGGCTCCTCGGGCTAATTGTATTGATCTTCTTGTCTTCAGCAGGGCTGAAAAGAAAATAATGAATGCTGCAAGCAAGCTTGCAGCCATGGCTAAAGTGCTGGAGACGCCGATCAAAAGTAAATCTGGAAAGAACTACAGTTTACAAAGTGAGTCCTATTGTGCACAACTGCTCTACTGTAGATTGTTAGCTTGTTTCAAAATATCAATTGGTGTTTTTTTTTGTATTGACAGGTTGTTTCACAGCCGTGTCCACAGCTGACTGCGCTCCAGGAGTGCACGCAGGTTTCAGTAAGAACCTGCCAGCACTAACTGAGCTTCCTGACACCTGGCCAGAGGACAGATCCCTCAGGGGGAAGACTTCTGCTGATTCAGAACAGAAAGAAACGGCTGCAGGAAGGACTAAACCTTTAAGGCACCAGGACATTTGCTCTTCTGGGAAAAAGGAGGCCTCCGTAGATGCAGGACTGAAACCCCAAACTGCTGCTCACACACACCTCCGCTCTAACAAACCTTCCCAACATGTGGCTTCTCCATCCCAGGTGGATTGTGTCAGTGTGTCTGCGAGGAGTAAAAGTAGGGAGCTGTACCTGCAGGGAGCTGACTCCAGCAAAGCAAACAACCGCCCCGACTCAGAACGACAGAACAAACCCTTCGTCCTCATCCAAGAGGCTCCTGTAAGAGACGAGAAACGGACCGACTGGAGCATGACCAGTAGTGACTCGGACATGGGCTTCCAGGTTTCCAGGCACTCGTACTCGGGAAGGAAAGTAGAACCAGTGAAGCCATTTTCTATCTCTGCTGCATCAACCAGCGACTTAGGAGAGTTTGGTGGCCTCACCCCGGATCTTTCTGACATGACTGTTTATAATGAAATTGCCAAGAAGACACCTCACACCCAGACCTTGAACCATGCAAAGGTGAATACACACAGAGAGCCCACCCCTGGCTCTGAGGCTGAGAAGCAGCATGGAGTTTGTTCCAGGCCTCTGTTCTCTGAGTTGAGACAGCGCCAGCAGGACAGCGGCTTTGATAGCCCGTTCTACCAACAAAAATAACAATGTGAAATAAGGAAATGAACTTAAAACTGACTTGACAATTTCAGTTGGCTTACCAAATAGTGCCTTTAATACAGTGTATAAAGTTTACATGATGTAGAACTTTTGCCTTCGTAGCTGCTTGCGGTGTGTTTGTGTGTATAGTGTTTGTTCCAGTGTAAAAGACACTCCGGTTACATTTTGTACCTCTCTGTCCCGGTCTAGATCATCTCTCACCTCTGGCATAAATATTGGCTTGTTTCTTTTGGCCTCTCATTATCCTTTTTACATTTCAGGGGGGTTGATAAATACAGCCTTGATAGATAAAAATGTGTTTAGAAAGAGAGCTCTTTTTTTTTTTGTAGGAAAGGTGTTTATGATGATATTTCACTTCTAACAAACATTTCTGGTTTTGCTTCTCAGTGTCGACTAATGAAAGTTAATATTCAAGAGTGTTCAGGTATTTCTTTGCACTTTGAAGAAAATGTTTTCAGGTCAAAAGTTGTTTCTCTGCCCACATTTTTTAAATGATACCTTGAATGAGAGATATGTTAATAAGCCTGTATGAGTACAAGATGAGGTGCAGGTTTTTACAAAGCTTATGTCAACCTGTGTTCTGTTTTCTCTCTGGGATTTGTAGGATTTAGATTTCAGTGTGTCTGTGTTTTTATATTTTGAACTATTTTATATTACATTAATGAGATATGCTGTGCATACATTATGAATGTTTTTATATATTGCTTTAAATCATTTTAATAAATCTTATCACCTTATGGCAAACTAAGAAGTAATCACTGATTTGTTGTGTAGGCCTCTCCAGTAAATCATGTTGTGAAGCAAAATCTAAAGAAAAGTAGTTTATATCAGGGATTTCTTTCAATTCAATTCAGTTTTTAGTTAAATTTTATTTGTATAGCTCCGACAGAAGTTACCTCAGGACACTTTGAATAGAGCAGGTTTAGACCATACTCCTTTATGAAATTATCACTTTTATCAATTATTAGACTCAACAATTCCCACCATGAGCAGGCACTTGACAACAGTGGCAAGGAGAAACTTTCTTTTAAGAGACCTCAGGCAGGCGGAGCCCTGGTGGCTCACCTGGTAGAGCTTAGTTGATGAGTTGATCATCAAAATAAATCAGTTTTGCTAGTTGATGATGTCAGTTTTAGTTTTTAATTAAACAAACACCAGAACTGGTTCCTTCAAAACAAGCAATTTGACAAAGTCATTTTGAGCTTTAGGAAACTATAAGGATCCTTTTGAACTTTCTGACATTTTATTTTCACTGTAGATATTTTTGTCACTATTGTAAAGTCAACCAAGGCTGCAAATCACAATGAATTTAATTAATCTGAAAATGCAGCATTCTTATGCCGTGATATGAAAGACACAACCAGTCTACCCTTTGAAGCCTCCTCAGGTTGTAAAGTCAGTAAATATCTTACAACCACATAATATTTAACTAAGTTTGGATGCTTTTACCATTAACCAGACATACTGTTACTTTGCTCGTAGTCCGTCATGTTGTAAAATGGTGCAACTCGAACTTGACCCAGTGGTGTTTACTCTTTGTCAGTCATTGTCAACTTTGGCCAAAACATTTAACTTTACGAGTAGACCAGGACCACCTGAATGCATCATTAGTTTTAGTCCCTGTGAGAACAGACTGAGGAGGAGGAGCAGGCTCATCCTGGCTTTCACAGCTTCTTAAGGATCCAACAGGACAGGAGCGGCTAACTCAGCATACCTTTAATGGTGCCAATTTTAATTCACTGAATCCATGCAACATTATACTTTGTTTTTACATCCCTTAAAGCTGCCAAATTATAGGAACTGCATAGTTCCACAACTTGGAGCATGATTGGCCCCCCATATACAAGAAATAAATAATAATAGGAGGTGTGACCAAATCCATTAATTAACTTTTTTGGTGTCGCAATATCAAACATTTTGCATCTCTGTGTGACGATCAGCTTGTCGCCACTCCCTTCGAGTGTAGAGCAGCTTTGAGATTTTGATTGTGCTAATGTTGTATTGCAAGCATTACCCAGCCTTTAGTCCCTAATATGTGTCAAACTGTCAAACAGGTGGAGCCTGAATGCTGCAGGCCTGGCTGCACAGGTCATTGACACCAAGAGGAACTCCTCCACTGGCTCTCTTTACAGTAGTAACTCCAGGTGCTTGCAGTTTTCCCCAGAGCTCACCAAAGTCTGCCTGACTGTATGGAAGGCCAAAAGACTCACATTTTGTCTCAATGTCACTGTTGTTTAAGTATTGTTAACAACAGGTGTAAGTAATATCGCCTCCACGTGTTTAAACCATGTGACACTGGGTGTATAAACACCTGGTGACATCTGATAATGATCTCCACCCTGTGGTTTTCATAGCCAATAAATGTGAACTGTAATCAATCTGTAAAGAAGAACCACACACACTGATTCCCTTTACTGCTTGTTCAGGTAGACTAAAGAAAATCCCACATATGATGTTATTATATTTTCATTTTTAGTATTCTTTTTATTTATACATGTTTGTATGTTCAAATACTATGTAAAGGTAAGTGAAGTTATATCAGCCATTTAACAGGTAAAAGCTGTTCATTCATGCTCGCCTGTGATAAGACAGCTTGCTGTTACTGTGAGATTCCTATGGGTGGCAGCAGAGGACCAATTATACATTAATTATTCTCTTATAAAACAATAACAACAACAAGAAACAACATCTTTATTGTAAGGAATCTGTTTTATATTGATGTTATAGAGTGTTATTGATATAGTTAAAGGCACATAGTCATTTAAATGCATTTTATTGTATTTGTAAGTTTCTTTTATTAAAACGATTTCACAATGGCTTGCTGTAAAATAATATGTATTATGTCAGAAAAGTCACAACGAGCCAGTTGAGGAAGATGTATAGATAGGTTTGTATAGATATGTATATATAGGTTTTAATATAAAGGCTTGAAAATACTTTACAATGTGATCGTATAGTGATATAATCTTAATAAAATCAACTCACAAATACAACACAATAAATTAAAATGACTGTGTACATTTTACAATATCAATAATAACATCCACACAGATATTGATGTTATCTACACATAACATCAACAACAGCACAGTTACACCAAAAGTAGAATGGAAAACAGAAAATATGTAATTTAATCCCTTGCTCTAAATAGCATTTTATTTTATTTTATTTACAAGGGAATAATTAGTATTTTATCACATATAATTGGTCCTCTGTTGCCACCCTCAGGAATGTTACAGTAACAGCAGGCAAACTCCTTAACTGCAGTCAACAAATGAACAGCCTTTACTGTTCACTATTAAATGGCTGATGTAACTACACTCAGTATTTGAACATACAATCCTATAAATGAATCAATGGGTCCGTTGTTATTAATCTTTTTAAATCAATTTAAGCCATGAAGCCCTACACATACATAAAAATTAAATTTACTGTCACTTAGCAGTAAAATAATGTAGCTACAAACCAAAGAACCTAGACTTCAGACAGCTCAGCTTCTATACCAGCAATAAGCAGGTATATATGTATATATACCATATATACCTATATATGTACATGCTCCTACAATAATAATACAAATATATAATATAAAATATATGATAAAATAGTTCATACTTGGGATTTTCTTGAGACTACCCAAACAAACTATGTATACTAAAATATATCAGTGCTTGGTTAACTAATCACTCAGTTAGGGTGGTCTGCCCTTTACAATACAATACAGGGAATATGAGCCTTTTGGCTTTCCATATGCCTGCAGCCCAACCTGGCCTTTGTACCTAAGGGGTGTAACCTTCATTCTCCCCAGGGGAAGAGCAAAGTCCTTTGGGTGATCCTTGTTGTTTAATAACAGAGTGCGGTTTCTAGACACAGACAGAAACCGGGAATGGTTTGATATTCGTTAATCCACTGTGGTTCATATGAAGGTCTCTAACATAGAAGGAAACTCAAAGAGTGAACATAATGGTTTATATTCTTTAAATCATTGATTTTAATCATTTGGTTATTCAGTTTGTTTTATTGTAAATATTGTATAACCCTTGATATGATCTCCGCGCTCCTCCTCCTCCTCCTGCTCCTCCTCATATCTTTTAGCCCCGACCTCTTTTTTCCTCCTCCAGAAGGTGATAAAACTTTCATTCACACCGTCTGTGGTTTAAAGTTCTCCACAGGTAAACATGCTCGTCTGGATAGTGTTTGTCGCTGTGCTTATTTTTGCCTTTGTATTCCGTCATCCTCACTTTCTCCAGGATGTCAAATTCGTGCGCTCTAAATTAAAACTAAGCTGCCTTATCCAAAAATACAATCAGACTAATTTCTCCATCATGGACCGGTTCTCGGAGGCGGTGAAGGCGCAGCCGCACAAGCCGTTAATTCTCTATAAAGAGGAGACTTTCACGTACCGGGAGGCGGATGAGCTCAGCAACAAAGCCGCAAGAGTCTTCCTGCAGAGCGGCCTTGGGAAGGGAGACACCGTTGCGCTCTTCCTCGGGAATGAGCCGACGTTTCTGTGGCTGTGGTTGGGTTTGGGGAAGATCGGGTGCCCCGCTGCGTTACTCAACTACAACATCAGATCCAGATCTCTGTTGCACTGCTTCAGCTGCAGCGGAGCCAAAACCCTGGTGGCTTCAGAAGGTGGGTTTGCATGTGATTAGACACTGTAAATTCACTGTATTGCAAATGTTATTCATGTAAAAGAATGAAAGTGCACATGCACAATGTTTAGGAGCTGTAAACAATGTAGTGTTAAATATTAAACCAGTGCTTCCTTTCTGGTCTGTAACGCCTTACAAAAAACCCAGTGAACAAACAAAACACAATCTTTAATCGGTTGTTAATGTTAAATGATTTGGAAAAACTTAATTCAACTGTAGAGCCAAACCGATGTTTTTTTTGGTTTTTTTTAGACCAATACCGATATGGCCAATATAGTGGATTTTTAAACTGGAATAAAAATAGACAGATTTTGCACCGATATAACTGCCTTCTTAAGCAAATAACTTTTATTAAAAAATATTTAAGTTACATAATTGAACATAAGCTACATTGTCGACTAATTCTAGAAATGAACAAGAGTAAATTAAATAGCTAAAACATCAGTCCTGTAAAAACTACAAGCCTTTATGCAATTATATACCGGAAAAAAGATTTTATATTAACGCATATGGCATGACATATACACCAAAACCGATATACCATCTACAAATAGGCCAGTATTTACTGACCGATATATAGCTCTTCATTTGTGTTAACAATTGTCTGTTTCATTGTACTTTCCATCCACTGGAGTGCAGTAATAAGATGCCTCAGCTACAGAGGAGCAAAAAGTTACTGCTGAAGGATTAAAATGTTTATGTATCATTATTAAACCTGTTAAGTCTTTCAGTTGCAGAACATTTGTTTTTATTCCCAGAGTTACAGGATGCTGTGGAGGAGGTCCTGCCCAGTCTGTTGGAGCAGCAGGTTACAGTTTTCATCCTGGCTGACAGATGCAGAACTGCAGATGTGCAGAGCTTCAAAGACAAAATGAGCCAGGCCTCCTCTGAGCCTATATCCAAAGATTTAAGGTCACATGTAACCTTGCAGAGTCCAGCAGTCTACATATACACATCAGGGACAACAGGTAAGCTACTTCAGGTGTTAAATGTTCAGGATTCAACAGTAAAAGAAAGAGTACTGATGTTTACCTCTGGCTTCTCTTTCACAGGTTTCCCTAAAGCAGCAGTGATCACTCACTCCAAACTGTGGAGCCTCTCTTTGCTTCTGACTATAACAGGAGTGAAGCCCGAAGACGTGATTTATGTTAGCCTCCCTCTCTATCACAGCACCGGCTTACTTGGTTTCACTGGAGCCATTGACAGGGGTATGAACACATTCGGGTGGGGAAACATTTAAACAACAGTGATTTTGTTAAGGGAACAGACTGGTGTTATTCTATTTATTGTCAGCAAATCCAATGAAAAGACCAAAACCTTCCATCTCCCAATACTGTCCAACCTCCTACCTTGTGTGTTGCATTTCAAGCCTATTAATTTCTACAGAAGACTTAAATCTGTAAAACTAAAACGGGGCACAAAATTGTTTTTTTTTTTTAAAAAAAGGCATGTAACAGCTGGTCACTGAAGCCTTTAGTAAACAACATTGAATGGTAGTAAGTTATGCATTTCGGGGGGCTATTTTTAGATGTGAATTAATACCCGTTTGGTGCTCTAGTCCAGTTGTTCTCAAACTTTTAAATATTTTTACAGTACACACTGCAAGCACAAAACATTTTTGATTTTAAAAAAGCCAATATAAAGATGTAAAGCTATAATGCAATGCTGTGCCACCAGTGTTGAAATGTATTATTAAGTATTAAAAATACTTGAATGCTCCATTACAAATGGTTTAAAATCACTCAATTCAAACCAATGTTTTGGCATCATATTACAAGAACACTAAGACAGAATTGTAGTTTCATTGAACTGTGTTTTTTAGATACGTTGCATGTAAAATATAGGTTTTACGACAGTTCAATAGGGCATTGAAATTAGGAATATTTAATATAAATTATGGTTTACCTTTTTTTTAATGTTATTTTTTACCTCTTGCAGTACTCCAAAGTACCTCTAGGGGTACACATACCCCATTAGAGAAACTGTTCCAGCTGGCGGATTTCTGATCTGGGGGAACTTTGCCAGTTGCCAGGGGGTACTTAGAGAAAGATTGACATGAAGCTCAAGAAAAAAAAAAAAAAAAATGTATATATATACATATATATATATATATATATATATATATACACACATACATATACATACACACACACACACACACACACACACACATATACACACACATATTTGTTTTTAGGAGGAAGATAAACAGAAATAGTTTACTGATACGCCACAAGAAACCCCCAGCAGCCACAGTCTGATATCAAAAGCAGCCGAATGTCATGCACACATCATGGAAACATGCCCCTTCTGTCACGCCAAGTGGAAGTACGATTGCAAACCTACTAAATGAACAGATTTGGAACATGATAAGTGGTGTTGATGAAGGGAATTAAAGGGTACTTGAGCTCATTTAGGGTTTAGGATAGGATTTCTGGGCGGGATGTCAGAAAGGTTTGAGAACAACTGCCCTAGTGAGTAATTTACAGCAGCAGGTTGGAACCTGTGGGCTGTTTCACAAAAGCAGAATTAAGAAATCCAGTATAACTAAAAAAGTGAGGTCTGTTCGGTGCAACCTTACTTAATAGGTTTCACAAAGGCTAAGCCGGGCTGAGGAGGTGCAGCTGGGGGAAGCCAGTAATTTGGATGCATGTCTTCAACAGACCACAAGGTTGATCACAGATTCACTGATCTTGAAATGCAGGAGACGTATTAAACACACTTTACGTAATGGAAGCTTATGCGGACAATAAACTGACTGAAGACATAAGTAGCCTAAAATAAACATTTAACTGTGATGGAAAAACTGAAGAATATGAACCACTCGTACTCGATGAAGAGTTCAGGGGACCTTGATGACTTACACAGCAGAATTTATTAAGGCTCGACCGACAAGAACAAGATCACAAAACCCAGGTCTGAAGATTACTTCCTGTCTCCTGACCCACAAGATCTTCTAGTGTCCCACATATGGTCTTAAGTTATGCAGCTACATTTATGTGTAGTGTAAATAGAGGTTCAAACTAAACTCCAAGCAGACCTATGCTATACTCACGTTGAATGACACCCAGAGTCACACACAAAGCATAAAGAGAGACAACCTTGGTCTTTCATAACAAAGTAGAGCTACAATATGTTGGGTGCTCAGTGTTCGACCTTATCAGCTGCTGTGCCAAACTGTCAGAGAGGAGGACAAATCAACAAAGAAGAGGCACTGGCTGTGACCTCTGACCTCCTTTATGTTTGTAGACAACCGTAACCCTAACCCATCTAATGTAAAGAAGAAAAATACTTTCACACAAACCCCTACTCTCTTATTTGTCCTTTGCAGAAGTGAACAGTTAACATTTGCCTGAGCAGTGGAGGTTAATATGTTACTCAGGAAAGTTAATTCAGTACAAATTTGGAACATTTCTTTCGGATCGCAGTGACTGCTGACTGAACAGATAAAGCAATACATTTTAGCTTGGTCTGGAGCAGACTAGCTACACAGAATAAATCTCTAAGGTATCTTACACCGATCAGCCATAAAATTATGAACACCTGGACCAGTCTTCACTCCCCACGTGCATCAGTGAGCCTTGTCCGCCCATGACCCTGTCTCTGGTTCACCACTTTTCCTTCCTTGGACCACATTTGATAGGTACTGACCACTGCAGACCGGGAACACCCCACAAGAGCTGTAGTTTTGGAGATACTCTGACCCAGTCGTCTAAGTTGCTCAAATCTTCACGCTGCCCATTTTTCCTGCTTCTAACACATCAATTTGAGGACAAAATGTTCACTTGCTGCCTAATATATCCCACCCACTGACAGGTGCTAAGATAACCAGATAATCAGAGTTATTCACTTCACCTGTCAGTGCTCAAAATGTCATGGCTGGTCGGTGTATGTGCCACTGCTTTTGTGAAACAGCCCTCAATTTGGAACTGAGTGTAAATAAACTGCATTGCCCGTGTCCGTTGAAATGAAGGAACACAGTGTGGCTCATTTATGTGTTTTTCATAGTTGTCAGACACAAAGGAATAAGCCATATCAGACTTGGTCTCCACAGAAAATATTTGTTAGGAGGAATAATTTATTGTTGGTTTTGGTCTTTTCATGGATTTGTTGACAAAAAGAAAATATAAAATATCCTCAACCTAATCCTATTTGTCATCTTGCTGCTGTGTGTAGGTATCACAGTGGCTTTAAGGAGTAAATTTTCTGTATCTCAGTTCTGGGACGACTGCAGAAAATACAACGTCACTGTCATACAGTACATAGGTGAAATTATGCGTTACCTCTGCAACACACCAAAGGTATGCACTGTATGTCACAGCAATAACATTAATGGTACACATCAGAGGTCACCAGAAAATAGTCTTCCTGTGTTCCCTGACAGAAACTCAATGATCGAAGCCACAAAGTCAGACTTGCGATAGGCAACGGGATTAGGCCAGATGTTTGGAGGGACTTCATCAGCAGGTTTGGAAACGTTCAAATCAGAGAGTTTTATGGAGCAACAGAAGGGAACTTTGCTCTGATAAATTACAGCGGCAAGATTGGAGCTGTTGGTCGACATACCTTCCTCCTCAAGGTAGACGGCAATGTTTCCTTCCACATTATGAAGTAAGAGCTGTTAATCAATAAGCAAGTTTGTTTGTTTTTTTGTTTTTTTTCTTGCAGTGGTTTTTCCCGTACAGTCTGGTCAAGTACGACGTAGACAAAGATATGCCTTTGAGGGATTCTGCTGGTTTCTGCATAGAGGCTGCTAAAGGTGCGTATACCAGGGCTGTGGGTACCATCGAGGACACAGACATCATGTCATCCGGTTTTATTTGTATGTTTTCCAGGGAATAATGGGGACCTGAAGTATAGTTAATGTTTTTAGAATCAATGCCTACGCATATAGGTTATTATTATTATTAATTATTATTAAATCAATGGGTATTAGATCACCAACTGTCCTAACGAATACATTTCTTCTTAAAATCTACTTAGGCACTTCTCACAAACAGACAGACACCCATGTTTTCTTTTTTAAAAAAACAACTTTATTTGTGAAACATGGAAGATGCGTACAGTGACAAACTCAGTGCTGCACAATTCAAGTAAAGTTTCCTTTCCAAATTTCCCAATTTATCAGTTACTACCACTGTAGTTTCTCCTTCATTTTTGTAACAGCAGGGTAAGGCAAGGGCATTGCAACTAAACTGTAACTACATTGCTTGATGTCATTAAAATCCTACACACTGGACCATAAGCAACAAGACTAAAGTCCAATGCATTGTTGGTGTTATTTTTGTGTTACTGTTGGGTTTCTGGATAAAAATAACCCAGTATTGCATTGGTGTTGTATTGACCCCTATATTGTTTTTGCGTGCAACTCTGTGAGGGTTTACTTTAGCTAAATATTCATGTACTTCTCCATAGATGTAAACTTGGGAGATTAAAGTCATCAGGGAACCATGAATGTGTGCGAACCAAATTCCACAGCTGTAACTGACAAGATATTTCAATAAAGGGCTGATAAATCAACCTCATGGTGGCAGTAGAGGAAAAATCAGGGAGTCACCAAAGTCAACAGGCTACATCATCTGGGAACCATGGATGGCTGTACAGAATTTCAAAGTAATCTAGACAATAGTTGTTGAGATATTTCAGTCTAAAATTATGGACCTGGCTGCTTGGACTAGTGACAATTTCTAAAATCCTTGCTTGGTTTGTACTTATGCAACATTTTTGATGATTCGGTGCATCTATAAAAAACACTTAAATCCATCTTTATACCTTCTTAAATCTGTATTTGTCACTGTTGTCTCAACCTGAGGTATCTGCTGTACAATGCATCATAAAAAAAACTGGTTTAATTTGTGCTTCAACACACTTTAACTCCCCCCAAAGATAAACTCTCCAGTTTTAACTTTCTGCAGGTGAACCTGGACTTCTGGTATGTGAAATATCAATCAGAGCACCGTTCTCGGGTTACGCGAAAGACCTGCAGCAAACTGAGAAGAAGAAGCTCCATAATGTCCACAAGAAAGGAGACATGTACTTCAACACCGGTGACCTGCTGAGCATTGATGACGACAATTTCATCTACTTTCAGGATCGAGTTGGAGACACTTTCAGGTGAGTTAAACTTTTGTTTCAGCCAATTTAAAGCTTAAAAACCTGAGTTCACACAGCATTAAAGTTGTTGTTTTTTAATAATTAATAGATGGAAAGGAGAGAACGTGTCTACAAATGAGGTGGCTGACGTCATCACACGGGTAGACTGCATTAAAGAAGCCAACGTGTATGGAGTTGAAGTGCCAGGTAATTTTCACTGTACATCTTCTTCTTTGTTCTCGTTCCTACAAGGTCTGTTCTTAGACAGACAAAGAAAATGTGGTCTTCTTATGCTATGATTTGAAGGGCACAACCAGTCTATCCTTTGAAACCTCAGTTTATTATATTGTGTTCAGATTGTAAAGTCTGTAAATCATATTTACCTGTTTTGCCCTCATGTGGCCGGTCTGTTGAACTAGACTAATAAAATGCTACTGCAAGGTTTAAATGGTGTGTTAACTGCACTGTTTTCTTATGTTTACAATCTGGATAAATCAAAGGGCGTTACAGGGAGATAAAAGTATGGATATACACATTCACCATTAACCAGACACACTGATTGCCAGTTGTCTATCATGTGTTTAAGAAAAATGGTACAACTCGTACTATAAACTCATGGAACTTGCCCCAGTTTCCGAGTGGTATTTACTCTCTGTCGGTCAGTTGTGCTCAGTGTCCTGGTCATAACCTTTGGCTGAGATATCTCAGAAGATGCCACTGCTGAACTGGGACACAGCATAGGAAAACACCAATGGTGGCAAAGGCCGGGCAGGCAGCGCAGAGGGCAAAGTTCATATAAGTGAAAGCAGGTTACGACATACGACTCCATTCAGAGTTCAACCGAACTGAAACAACAATGAAACACTAAACTGCATTTGAGTGAGTGGAACAATTGATCCAATTATCTCTGGCTGAACAACAACACTGATGCAACATCTGTGTGCAGTGACAGAGAGGTGCATGCCGGTGTTCTGTAAACAACACAAAGTCAATTATTTATTATATTGTTTGTCCCAATGATTTGGCCTGCCCTTTAAAGGCTCTTTCAGACGCAACATAACTCTAGCTTCTGCACTCTAAAATCCATTATTTTCAATAGTTTACAAGGCGCTATGATAGCTTCTCTCTGCACTGAGAAAAGCATGTACAAAGCCGCCGTGACGCAGTAATGAATACTCGTGTGGCCAATTAAAACGAGGCAGCCAGGTATGGAAGGTAAAATGGAGGAAAAGGTAATATTGTCTGTGTCTGAATTTCTTAAAAGAGTTTTATGCTTATATCAAGACCTCGGAAGGAATGGCCTGTCTTGGAAACATGTTTCCAACCAAGCCAGTGGAGCTTAAACATCTGATCATTCTCCTCTAATTTGTCAATTGGTACCTGCTGGATAATTTTGTTTTTAGTGCATCTCACTGATGCACACTCTGCCTGTTTTGCTCTGTCCTCCCCACCTTTCACACACACACACACACACACACACACACACACACCTGGTCGGATTTGTGCAGAACCAGTGGCAAGTGTCTGAAAGGGCCTTAAAGCAACATCACGCAACTATTTTACCCTAAAACAACATCATCAAAATCAGTCTGATGGTACACTGGATAGAGCGACACGGCTGTTTATATTATGTAACTTGGGTTAGGGTTAGATCTCCCTTGAGAAATTGTAACTATGTCACTGGATAATATTTTATGGAGAAAACCTAGTTTTCCCTTATATGTCCTCCAACTGCTTTGCCTCTGATTTACTTGTTGCTAAGGTAACCACTAACTGCTGCTAACTGTAGCTGCTGTTAGATAGTTCCCTGAGTTAGCCGTGAGTTAAAATCCATTATTATTATTGTTATTATTTTTCAGGTCTGGAGGGGAGAGCTGGAATGGCTGCCATTACTTTAAGTGAAGGACAGAGATTTGACTCCGCAGGTGTTTTTAAACATGTCAAAAACTTCCTGCCGGCATACGCGAGGCCACGTTTTCTGAGGATTCAGGTACGTTTTACTCCACTGATCTCATATTTTTACAAAGCATTCTGACAGTTTCAGCCTTTGTGGTGAGAGCATTATTTAACCCCTCCCGTAATAATACATTGCACTGTGATTGCTTACAGAGTTCCTTGGACGTTACAGGCACGTTTAAGCATATGAAGGGGAAGCTGGTGGGGGAGGGTTTCAACCCAAATAAAATAACAGACCCACTCTACTTCCTGGATGAAGAAGACAATAATTACGTCCCACTTACGCTGGACTTATTCCATTCAGTTATATCAAGGAAGATCAAAATTTAAAGTGGCTTTCCTTTTGTTCTTGTTTGAGAGATATTAAGAAAAGGTCACTCGTGGAGTTTGTAATCACTGTGTTGTATCAGTTAGAATAAAAGACGCTTCAGAGGTTTCCTGTGCTTCAGTGGAAAGCTGTACAGGTTTACACTTGAGTTGAATGTGGTTTGTAGACTAACAGAGTAACATACATTAAGTATAATATAACACAATACAACTTACATTAGTTACAATCAAAGTCCTATACATGTTGTCCACAGGGTATCAATACAACATCAAATGCAGATGTAATTAATATTGAAAGAGAATAACGTGGACGGCTTTGATGATTAAGTAAGAGGGCTGTTTGTTGTAGTAAAGTATTAACTTCTAAGACTCACATATAATAATAATAATAATAATAATAATAAAATAAAACTGCAAATACATGTTAATTCAACATTACAATGAGAGCGAGTATGTTTAAAGTTACAGGTCAAGTAACCTCCTCCTTGCACTGTCTGCTAAGCCACATGATGCCGTTTAGTCTAGTAAGTCAAATTATGATTAATTATAGTGCACACATAGTCATGTGGAATGACTATATAAATATAATATTTAGTATAATTACATTGGATATTTGAATGATATATGTGCACAAATACCAATCATAGCTCAAAACATTGCTAAATTTGTCTGAATTAAAAAAGTCAGAAGTGGTACTAAATGAAGAGCTGTCAGATTTGAAAGAGCTGGTTTTTATAGGCAAGTTGAGTCAAAATGCCAAGAAGCTGATTGGCTCCTGACGTACATGTGTAACGCTGTCTAACGAAATTGAGGGGGGCTACTGTACTTGAACTCCATGTGACCTGCAAGTCTTTTACCCACCTGTTTGCACTGTAGCACTCCCTATGTGATGTCTTCTCTTTATCTCTTTACTTCTGTGATTTCAACAGTTATTTTATATATAAAATGACTATAATCCTCCTTCAGAGAGCATGTTTGAGCTTGTTGCACTGCGCTGTGACTCATAATGTATGCATTGATAGCTTCACTTAGGAGTTAATAAATAATATTAGAATAATAATAATAAATATAAAATTAATACTTATGGGTGAATGGTGATGTGTTTTCTTCATCTATCTTAAATAAATCTTCATCTGTGTCATTTTAAAGCATAGCAATGTTATTCTGATCAATATGACGTACCAGCTCCAACCCTCCTGTCACCCTGTGGTTGGGTGCAGGTTGACCCAGGTTGTGTTGCCCCTGGAGCTGACCAGGGATCAGCAGCACTGAGGATACCTCAGTAAACAGATGTTTTCTTGACACGACAAAACCACTGAAGACTAGTTTAGGCTTGTTAGTGGCGTAGCTTTAGGGATGTAATGACAGTTAGCCTATAACCTCAGTCCAGAGTGAAATGTCTCAACAACTATCAGAAGAATTGCCCATCATATCTGTACAAACAATACTGATCCCCTGACTTTTCTATGTAGCACCACCAGTGTGTTAAAATTGACAGTTGTGAGTGAAAAAAGAGCCTTCAGGGCAGTAGACAGGGTGGAGCTCACACTTATTCAGAGAGAGCTGAGATGGAGGCACGAAAGGTGCTCAAGACGTGCTGAGCAGCTGTGCAGCACATCGTCAACCTGTATCATTTTATCATGTTACCTGACTGGAAAAGCGCGCACAGACTGTGGAAGACGTAATGCTGGTCCAAGTACCCCAGAATGGGCATCCCAAAGTCTTAAATGACTACAGACCAGTGGCTCGGGTGAACCCACCGCAGGCCCCTCATTAGACCAGCACTGGAGCCCCTGCAGTTCACCTAACATCAGAGTGGATGACACCATAATTTATTCACACCTGAACAAGTATGGGAGCACACAAGGATCATTGATCATGCTTTTAACACCACACAGCCTCTGCTGTCTGGAGACAAGCTCGGGGCCATGCAGGTAAACACGCCTCTTGCCTGGATAAAGGATTACCTAACCGGCAGGCCATGTTTGTAAGACTGAGGAACTAAATAAGTCTCAAGTCTCTGAGGGCAGGTGACCATTCAATTTCAAGTCTTTAAGGTTTCCTTTTGAATACTGAGCTTTAAGGGCATTAGAATATTTTAATTTCAAATATGTGTTAATATAGAAAGAATTCAATATTTTGGCGTGTGTGCTTGTGCAAGCCCACCTGCTGCTGTCATATCTCAGTCAGGTCGAGTGTTTGAGGTTCAGTCTCAACTAATCAAGTCTCACAGCTGTCAAGCCTAAATCAAGTTTCAGGTTATTTTTGAGACTTAGGTCTGACCTGTGTCCATCAACCCACAGATTGGGATTTATCACCCCAAATTCTGGGAAACTGTAATGTGGATTTTTCACAATATTCTGACATTTAGTAACATTTAATTGATTTATTAAAAAAATACTAAATAGTTGCCACCCTTCTCCACATATGGGACAACTATAGAAACAGTCTCAATGACATTCGTCTTTCAAACACTGAACAGTATGTGCTTCAATATAGAAAATACACGATTTTAGTTATTTTCCAGACCACAATAAAAGTGTGTGTGTGTGTGTAATTTGTAGCCACGCCCCTCTCCATAAACCAGCAAATACAGCTCAGTTTCAGGCGTGCACTCCCACCAGCTACTCAGATTGCACATTAATAATGCGGGTTGCCATGTGCAGAGTTTCTGTAGTGGTTTGTGACTTCTGTTATTAATGCACATCGGTGGATTTCACTCTTATAGATGGTGTCGGCTCTTTATGCCCCTTTAAAAAAACAATTACCAGGCAAATAAACTGCAGTTAACTGCCCCAACCTGGAGGTGTCGCAGGTTTTCAATGCACTGCTTCTCCCTTTCTGTTTGTCAGTTTATTTAATCATTTTTCTCACCCATTCAGATCTTGCACAAAGTCGTAGGTTACAGCAGAACAGAAGACTAATCCAACATGAGAATAACATACACATGTGCAGAAATCAGTGTGAATTCAGTCCAAACTGGATGTGAAAACACCGGATCTGGCAACTGGAAAACATTCCGTAATGAAGGAGGGGTCGACGGGTCGGAGCTGAGGACCGCCCCAGAAGAGTTGAGTGGGTGAACTTTGTCACAAATTTCCCTGAGCTGCATTATTTCTGCCTCCTCTGACGCTCGCTGACAGATGCCTCAAGTGTGAGTGCGCTTTTGCAAGATGTACATCTGGTTCACTGTTCTAGCCGGACTGGCTATTCTGTCCTTCTCATTCGTCAAGACCTTTTTCCCTTACCTTGGCGAGGACTGCGCATACATCCTGAGGAGCATTAAACTTGGTGCCAGGCTCGTCAGATACAACAAAGTCAAACCTTTTTACAGCATCTTGGATTGTTTCTTGGATGCGGTGAAGAGGCATCCGAATAAGGTCTTTGTGCACTTTGAAGGTCGAGAATATTCTTATGGCGAAGTGGATAAACAGAGCAACAAGGTGGCCAGAGCTCTGCAGGCTGAAGCCCGGCTCAAGGAGGGGGACGCGGTCGCCCTGTTTCTGGCCAACGAGCCCAGTTTCATGTGGACTTGGCTCGGTTTGGCCAAGTTGGGCTGTCCGGCTGCTCTCCTCAACTATAACATCAGATCCAAGTCTCTGTTGCACTGTTTCTCCTGCTGCGGAGCCAAAGTGATCATCGCCTCTGCAGGTAAGGTGTAAGAGGAGGAGGAGGAGGAGGGTGGTCTTCAGCTCTCTGCAGAGCTCTGAGCCCTCCACCATTATTCCACAAGCATGCTTGTTGCCCACAGGAGAGTGCAAAGTTCAAAGTGCAACTTGAGGTTACAGAATTTCCATTTTGTCCAGTGGTGGAAAGCACAGTCACTTCAATACTGTTCTGATAATCATGAGTTACTTTATTTTGTTCTTCTAGTTCACTACATTTCAGAGGGAAACCCTGTAGCTACTTTTTAAACCACTCGATTTATTTCTCAGCTCTACTTGTCAGATTAAGATTTTACATAAACATATAATAAGACTGTAAAATACAACCAATAATTGAGAATTAAACCAGTGCTTTTTGCATGTGACTCCTTAAGAAGCAGCATCTAGTTGGGGCTCATTTCATGTTTCAGAGACATTTCCACTCTTAACTTCTCATAAAGCCCAAATAGGTTAAATTGCTCCAATATTTCACATTAAAAACAAAGATTAGAGAGAATATTACAAAAGAAGATTTTGCAGCAGAATTTCTTTACTACCACATTAATCATCTGGCGCCCCTCAGATTTATCTTGTGACCCTTAGAAGGGGCCCGACCCCTATGTTGGAAACTGCTGGACTAAACAACAACAGTACATAAAGTAGTTAAATGTAGCTCCACCGCGACCAGCTGCAACATTACAGTGTTGCTTATGCATTAATGCATCTGTATGAACAATCTCACCATTAATGTCCAATATAATAATACATATTCACAGATTTTCAGATCATTTCAGTTTATATTCTGCTTAATGTTGCAGATTAACACACAAACACCACAGACTTATTGCCACACAGTAAATCTGTGCCGCAGGGCATTTGCCCACTTTGCCTGGTTGGTGATCCAACCTTATGTTGGATTAAACTGCTCAGGTGTGTTTAAAGTAGTGATGACGAAGCATCAGATGCAACATTAACTTTGTGCATGTAGGTTAATGCTCTGAACTGGAGTCTTAATGAATCCTAATGTTCATTTAGGACTACTGTGGTAATGCTATGGAACCTTTATTGACAGATCTTGACAACTATCAGGCCACATGTTGCTAATAATAACAACTCTGACAGTGATAATTAGCCTTTATTAACCACCTTTACCACTGACTGAAAGCCTTTCTAGTAGTCTGCACTAGTATGGACAAAATGAAAAGGATAACAACTGGAATACATATTGACTGTTGATTAAAATGTTTATTTAGTGTTTTAGGAAGCCAACATTTAAATGTATATGTAACTCTGTGGTATGATTTAACTTCTCGAACATTTATGCATGAAAATGTCATCACAGTATGATTATGTGGTAATGCAACAGCTGATAATATTGAATCATCACTCGGTGCTTATCTCCCTGTGAAAAATGATCTGTCCTAACACAACAGTTACTGTATCACATTTTGTTCTCTGTTGAGTTTTAAAAAACAAAGCGATGTGATTTTAAACTAGTGAACATAGACCAGAAAATACATTATTGCCAGGATAATTAAGGAGTCTCTTTGGATGTCATTATCTAACAGCTTTCGCAGCAAATGTTATCAGGAACAATGGTTTAATTCCTTTTTTTTTTTTTCTCACATGGTTTCAATCAGTGTGCTCTGCATTCAGTCCTGATGACTTAGTTCATTTCAGGTAACAAACAAAAGGGACATTGCACTCTGAAAACTTGTTTCTCCGTGCTCCCATTATGCTGCTAGAGTTTCACTACTGAGAACTGCATATATTGGGACTGAACTGCCTGCGCCATGTGCTCGAATCCCAGTGGGTTCTGTGGTAACATGATACAGGGCCTACATGTGCTGTTGCGCAACACAGCGCTCTGACATATTGTGTAGAGCTGAATGCGTCTCTGTATTTGCAGAACTGCAGGACGCTGTGGAGGAGGTTTTACCGACACTGAGAGAGCAGGGTATCAGTGTGTACCTCCTGTCAGAAGCCTGCAGCATTCAGGGCATCAAGACATTGTCTGACAAGATCTCCCAGGCCTCAGATCAGCCGCTGTCCCGGGACCTCAGAGCCAATGTCAACATCAGAAGCACTGCTCTGTACATCTACACATCGGGAACCACAGGTACACCAGGAAACACCTCTGAAACATACACCAACAAAGTAAAAGTCTGCCCAGGAAAATACACTTAGGCTATATTCAGACTGCAGGCGAAAGTGGTGGAGGAGGAGAATGTCTTGCCTTATTACCTACATATTTCTTTAGTGTCTTTAGTGAACCTCTGAGTTGACTGTCAGCGGAATCTGATCTGACTTCATCCTTAAACACAGAGACTCACACAGGCAGCACCCAATTAATACATTGTTAACTCAATCTAAATGCCCATTTCACACAGTGGTACAGATACTTTTGCTTGTATGTGACTCAGATCTGTTTTTTTTGTGTGAACAGCAAAAAACTGGATCTTTTCCATTATGATTTTGGCCACTTTAGGTCTGATTTTTTACAATGTGGCTTCAGTCTGGACAGTCTTATCAGAATTATTGCGACTGTTACGACACTTTAGATCAATGTTCGTCATAATTCTGTGCTGGTGGGAGTCGCTCTGTGAATACAAACATGGAAGACAGCTGGGCAGTAAAGTGAAAACCATTCACATCATGCTCCCACTACTCCTGACTCCCCATCCACCCACACTACCTCCGTACAGGAGCAGCCATTGCTCCACAAAAAGCCATAATTACAAATGTGTCTCTCTCCTCATCCTCATTGGCTTCAGCAGCCTCCATTTTTACTTCTGTACTTCTTTGTTCTTTTGCACATGTGGGTCAGTTCAGGACTGTAATCAGTTCACACTGGAATCTGATATTAGCCACATTTAAAAAAAAACAAAAAAACAATGTGAACAGCAAATTTTATCTCGACACTGAAGCCTTTCCAGCTCTCTGGTTCATTGTAGGCGTATGGATTAGAGCCAGATACCTTAAACAAAATGTAAATAAAGAGTTAAAGAAGAAGATACACCTCTCAGCTGCAGTAAACTAAACCCAGGGCCTCTGTAGCCTCAGTTGTCAGTTTATCGACAACAGTCCTGCATTAAATCCTTCCTCCATGAAGGTTATAATGTTCAGGCTTTGTTGAAACAGTTTTATAGAGGTGTTGATTCAACTTTATTTTGGAAGATGCAGTTTGTGATGTTGTTAAGTTGTATTGTTTTATACTGAGAGCTGTTATTTATTTCTCCAATGCATTTATACCATTAAGGGTAGACATTAGATTATTTTAGGGTGGTTTGCAGCTGACTTTCTTTACCAGTAAAATTTTACCTGAAACTGAACTGCTGAAGAGATACATAGGTCTGTGTTCAAGATTTTCCCAGATATGTTAGCTTCTCTGTTGTGATAATAAATTTTTCCTGTCAGAATACAAGCAGGTTAGGAAGAATACTTGCACATTCAGTGTTTCTTACACAGGTGTGTTGGAGCTTAATATCTTCCCACACACTGTTCTTTAATTCCACCACCATATGCATAAAAAAAGTTTCTTCTTTTATGCAACCAGCACAGTGGGATCTACATTTGGATTTATCACAGTCTCTGTAGCATCCAGCATCATAGCCCTGAGTTTATATTTACACTGCGATATATCAGCTGGGGGTTTAAACACAAAAATATATACAGTGTTTTTAAAAATCAAAACAATATCAAAAATAAAATATTGCGATACGATATTTTTCGATATTCAATTTTACACCCTTACTGTAGACTTGACAGGTGGCTGTAAAAAGTTTGTATTTTTCTCCTTTACAACAAACAGCAGCTGGCGTCAGCATGAAGGAAATCAAACAAATGTTCCTGCTTGTAAGGTCGGCAGAGTCGTTTGAGAGAAATTAACTTAATATTTAACTGTGTTTTTTTTTTAGGTATTTGGCTCTTGAGCTGCTAAATATTCTACTATGTTCACCTGCTAACTGCGGGTAGTGTACAGTGGAGTTCTTCCTGCTGGAAACAGCTGCCTGCTGTGGTTGAAAACATTGCTGATGACAGAGGAGAGAGTGAGCCGAAACAGTAAAGTTTCAGGGCGTAAAACCAAAACAATGAGTCGAATAATGCTAAAAAGCTGAGAGGAACTGCAGAGTCAGACGATTATTCTCTGTGGGACCTCCGACAAGTGACTCCTTTCTTATTAAACATAGTAGTTTGATCCATTCCGACTAGAGCAGACTGAAGCAAATATGCCTGCTATTACATACATAGTATATGAATGGACAATTGAGAAGTCTCCAACAGACATTTCAAGACCCTTTTTTACCTTTAAAAAAACTGCATATAGCCTACCTGATACTACCTGTACCTGTTGTGTTCAGAAACCTGACATGATGTATTATTCTCTGACCTTGGAAGGTTTGCCTAAAGCAGCCGTTGTCACCCATGAGAGAGTTTGGGCCGCCTCCTTCCTCCAGGCGGCCAGTGGCGTCACATCGGAGGACATCTTCTACATCAACCTGCCTCTCTATCACAGTGCAGGCTTTCTCATCGGGATGGCCGGAGCCATTGACAGAGGTGATAATCCTCTTAATCCTCTCATTAGTAAAAGAACAGACGCATTCATACTGTACACCTGGTTTGGCCACTTAAAAAGGCGGTGGATAAGATTACACTAAAATAAAGGCTGTGTTATGTAACGGTAATTGCAGGTATAACCATTATTCTGAGGAGGAAGTTCTCGGCCTCTCAGTTCTGGGACGACTGCAGGAAGTATAATGTGACAGTGATGCAGTACATCGGGGAAACAATGCGCTACCTCTGCAACACGCCCAAGGTAAAATTGTGTTTTTGTTACCATGTAAAGTGCCTTTGAGTCCCTTTTTAAAGTGCTATATGAAATAAATGTAGTATTATTATTTTAAAGGAACCCTAACCAACTTTGGGTTAAATTAATGAAGCATTGTTCTGGTGGAAGATATGAAGGTCTGTGTTTTGAGTCGATGTCACTATTTGCAGAAAGACAATGAAAAGAACCACAGAGTGAGGATCGCCATCGGCAACGGGGTCCGGACAGACATTTGGACCGAGTTTCTGAATCGCTTCGGGGACATTAAAGTCAGAGAGCTGTACGCTGCCACAGAGGGAAACATCGGCTTCATCAATTACACGTCCAAGATCGGCGTTGTGGGGCGAGTCAACTTCGTCCACAGAGTGAGTAACATTGAGTACAGAAGTTCTTGGTTTTCAGGTTGAATCCCACTGATGTTGAGAATCCCCTGACTTTTCCTCTAGCGTCACCATGACAACAGGAGGGATTACCATGAGATTTGACATCTCACCTCTCAAGAAGAAATATAATTACGTTGATTATTTAACTTTTCCTCGATCACCATCACCATGATCAGTGATCCCATCAGCTGCACTTGTTGCACATGTTTACGACTACCAAGCAAATGTATGCATGGTGATATGTTAAACTAACTACATGGTAAACATGCTCTCCAAACATCAGCAGCACCAATGTTTGCTGTCACACAGCCTCACAGAGCCGCGAGCAGGGCTTTAAACTGTTGTTGAACCAGCTAAACTCCATAAACAACAATACTCCCTTTAACTGATTAACTTTTTGTTTTGCAGTTTTTCTTCCCATACACTTTGATCAAGTTCGACGTAGAGAAGGAGGAGCCTGTCAGGAACTCGGAGGGTCTGTGCATTGAGGCAGCCAGAGGTGAGTCAGTAAACTTTATTTATTCCTTTTTCTTTGACTCCAGAGCAGCAGTACCTCATGTCTTACCTTTAGTGGAGAAACTATTGACTGAAATAACTATGTATATTGATAATCAGTTGTCCTTTATTAAGCAAAAACACCAAAATTCAACTGGTTCCAACTTGTGCTGCTTTTATCTGTTTTATTTACTGGACAAAACCAGCAACTTGCAGGCATCCCCTTCGGGTCCAGGCGAAACTGTGATGGACGTTTTGTATGTTTTTTTCTTTTTGCAGGTGAGACAGGACTTTTGGTGGGAAGGATTACTCAGAGGTCTCCCTTTGTTGGGTATGCCGGCAACCAGCAACAGACTGAGAAGAAGAGGCTTCGCAATGTGTTGCAAAAAGGCGACTTGTACTTCAACACTGGAGATTTGCTTCAGATTGATCACCAGAACTTTGTGTACTTTCAGGATCGAGTTGGAGACACTTTCAGGCAAGTTGTGCCTCGTTTTGTGTCGATCTGTCAGTTTTTTTTTTTTTTTTTTTGACTAAATCATTATTTTACACTTTTAACAGAATATGTACATGAGAACAACTAGTTTTATAATAAGTAATGAGTTTGGCTTTACTAAAAGGGTACAGAGCTGAGGTTTTACCCACTGAGATGCACAATTTTATTATTATTAAGATGTTTTCCTTTAGTTTTTTTCTGTATGGATGGATCAGATTTTGATGGCTTAGTGTAGACTTTGTGGACTGGGGGGTGATGCATCGTAGTGTCAATTCATTTTATTATTTTCACGTTAGAAAAACGTCACAATTTCTAACTTTGGACGGCTCTTAATTTATACCTCATTAGCCGAGCTCTTTTGGAACTCATCAAGATACCGTGTCCATTTTTTTTGTCTAAATGTGATTTTCTAAAGTTAAAGGGATGACGTGTTTTCATTTGACTTATTTTTGTTTTGTTTGCGTGTGTGTTGTCACAGATGGAAAGGGGAGAACGTTGCCACATCGGAGGTTGCAGACGTTCTCACAATGGCTAATTGCATTTTGGAGGCAAATGTCTATGGTGTTAAAGTTGAAGGTAAAAGTCCCACTGACACATTTTACAGAAGTATTGATAAGCAAGATGAACGCAAGTACTGTATTCTGTGCTTTTTATTATTCTCTATATAAGGTCATGAGGGGCGGATTGGCATGGCAGCTGTCCTTTTGAAAGAAGGAGAAGATTTTGACTGTTCAGGCACATTCAAGCAGGTCGTCAATTACCTCCCAGCCTACGCAAGACCTCGATTCATCAGGATTCAGGTAAAGTCATTTGCAATTCTCCTCTGTTGTATTTCATGTACCTGTGGCCTTGTGGAACCGAGCCTTATTGCTGCACTTACTCTCGAAGGATTCTCTTTGATCTACTGCAGCTTGGATTGTACCTCATTTTTACGTTGTTTAACCTCTTTGCTCAGTTCAGGTGGCCTTCTTAAAGCAGACTAACTGATTTTAGTCCCTGTTTCATTTATTATTTCAGTTTGATGAAAAACACCACTGAACTATGTCATTTTACTGTCCAAATGCCAAAATCCAGATGGGAGAAGCACTGACTTGATCAAAACGTTAAAATGCTGTCTGAGTCTCCTTCAGTCATTACCGTGCGCTCTCAGCATTTAAGCTTTGGCGAGTAATTGGCAGACAGTTTTGCCCTGGATATTGCACACAGGGCTGAAAAAGTCTCCCAACTCCTTCGCGTTTTTGAGTAAAAAATAATTTAACTGGTTTTTATTTATAGATGATTCTCCATAGGGAGGCTAATGCTGTATAAAGTCAGTGCTCTTTGTAGTAAAGATGGAAATGAAACAATTTATTGGGTTTAAAAGCTCATTATGGACCTTTTGAAATGATAGTTGTCAGAGATTTTGTACATCAGGTGATTATTGGGTTATGTGGCTGTTTTTAGTATACTAACAATATGGAAAGTATGACAACTAATTTAATTATTAATAGATGATGAATGTATATAACTTTTTCACAATTTTTTGTCAAAGAACTTCTGACTTCACCTTGTCGTCCCACTTCTGAAACAAACCTACTCCCATTTTGATACTAATACGGATACTTTAACTCAGGATATCTGCTGATTCGGATATCCGATCTGATATCAGTGCTATTTTTTCCCGAAATTTAAATGTACGCAACTTGCCGTGTGGAGCTGACTGGGATCATTAAGATGAAGCCATGAGGGATTGCTGCGGTGTTACAAATGGAGTTAGCTGCCTGCAAATGACTGAATTTATGAGGACATTGATGATCTGTGACATCTGCCAGATAACAAGTCCAATTATTAAAATATGTGGTTTGTTGCTGTTTTTTTTAACACATATGAACAAAATGTGTTTTGTAGTCCTGCCTGGAGATGACGGGGACATTCAAGATGAAGAAAGTGAGGTTGGTGGAGGAGGGATTCGAGCCGGCTCACATCCAAGATCCTCTATACTTTTTAGACACTGAGAAAAAGACATACGTTCCCATGACTGAGGAGATCTACAGAGCCATCGCAGCTAGGGAAGTAAAACTCTAACACAGAAACTCAATGTAGTCAGTGAAAAACGTAGCAGCTCATTCATGGACCTTTTAACTATCAACTAATCTCAGGGACCATCACGTTTGACCATTTTTCTTTAATTAACACAGCTACTGTGCATCTCTAGTTTTTATTCCATAGTGCTGACAGTATGTGATATACAGGTATGTCTTACTGCCACTGTTTTACTTTTTAATAATTAAACTTATCTTTTACTCCAGACTCTTAATGTGTGATTGGCCAGATAGGTTGTAGCATTTAAATTTTTCTTAACTTTGCCATTATACTGAAGATACAGTGTGATTTAAAAGAATAATTAAAGTCAAATATTATACAGATGTACATTAGCTTTAGATATTAAACTTAAAACATACTTAGGTAACATATTGTGCAATCGTCTGTGGGTTTATCAGTGAACCTTTGCTACTTTATCAGCTGTGTGTACATACAGCACATACTGTTAGGCTGAAGCTGGATCATGTAACAGAGGTCGAGGGAGGGTTTTTATCTAAAAGATCTTGTGAGCACATTTATGGACACAGAAACTGTGACTCTTGTGGGGGAACTGACCAACACAACCTTTGACATGAAGTGATACTCAGACTTTGTCACAAGCTTAGTCATGTGACAAACATGGCAACAATGTTGAAATCAGGGACATCAGCTCATACTGAGGCCAAAAGAAAGTTGACTTTTGTAATGTTGTCTAAAGTTGAACTGAACTCTCCCCCGCCGCTGTAATGTGTTTTTCCTTATTGTTCTTTGAATGTTTGACTTTAACTGTGTAGAACTAATATACTGTACGAGAAGAGTTTGACACTAAAAGACTGTTTTCACTTTATTTAAAGTTTCTCTGTGCTCATTTTAAATCTCAGTTGAAGACGTGCATGTATGAGTGTGATTTTGTGCAATCACAACATTCGTGGTCCGGTATGCCACTCCAGCACACACACATACTGACAATGGACTTTTCAGTGATGAAGGAATAATTTTGTATCTAGTAAAAACTTTTGAAATAACAAATATTTTCATGTTCACAGATTTTAGATTTTTATATTTAGAGAGATAAAAAATAGATGTGATTTTAAGATTTTTTAAGCAGTTAACCCAATGTTGTTTTGTTCTCTTTATATCAGACAAACTAATACAACAGTCCTGTGATAAATCCTACCTTAATAATTATAATTGTTTAAACTACTGTTTATGCAATGCCATTCAACACCACCACAAACGTTAGCCTCTAAAATGACCACAATGTTAAATCAACACAGAGAGATAAACAGTGTAAGTCTGAATAAGGAACTTATTTCTGACCTCAGCCAGTTACCCAGAACAAGTTATATTAAGAAAAACAAAACCAGGAAATTAATTTTTAAGGAACATACAGTGCAGTTGTGGTTAGCACACCCATAGGATGTATGCCACTAACTCTTGTTAATCTTTAAATGAAGACTTTCCGCACTGGATTCACATTTTGTCTACGCAGGATAACCCAGCTGACAGCTGTTTACTGATTTTACATGTGGGAAGCAGCTGTGAATGGCAGAAAGCCTAAATCAGGCATTACATACCGGCATTACAAACACCAGCTTCACACCCCACAAAGGAATCCTTTATGCTGTTTGTCAGAAACACAGTGTGTGGGTGTGTCAATATGCAAAACATCTGGAAGTTTCGATCGACACAACACACTAATCCGAGGAGCAGTTACTTTAAAAATGAATTTATTTATTAATACAGTGGTATACTTAGAAATGTGTTGCAAAGGGAAAAAAAAAAAGTTGAACCGAAGAAAAATCAAAATAAATAAAAAGAATGTCAGCCACACGGGAAAATAAACTAGAGTCGGGTTGAAGCAGTGTTATCATATCAAAAGAAAATAGTACTGATGTGCCATAATAAATTGTCTATTAGTACAAAAATACATTTCAGGGCACACAATACAGCATCCAGTATCACAAATAAAGGAAGGGACCACTCTTCACAGCAGACCCCCTCAAGTACATCTTTTAAAATCATTTAAACCAAGCACTTCTCTATTTTGTAAATAAGAATAAAAAGTTTTCTGACTGTTAAAAATGCCTTAAGTAGTGTGTGTATATGTTGGTAGAAAAGTCGGACTTATTACTGCTTATGTCAGTTCCAAGGCTCAGGGGTATAACCAGAATACAAACATAACCAATGTAACCGCTTTCTCTTTTTTAAACAAACATTTTCTCTTTTATACAAAATAACAAAGATGTACAAAAGTTCATTTACAGAGAACCAAGGCCATATACTAGCAATATGTACAGCCACAATTTAAACATCTTCTAGCTTTTTTGTATTTCCTCAGACTTCATATGCATAGCAGTAAAAGAAAGCATACCTTTTCATCAGCCTCAATTATTCTCGTGTGCTAAATCCAAGTTCACTGTTTATGAGAAAATGCAGAGACAACTTTTTCTTCCGTAGTGATCGCTATAACTGAAGGATCCGATGTTTTAAAGTTTCACTGAAAAGTTAATATGCAGATAAGGCATCACTGCTTGCAGTGTACGATGGGATTTTCATGTGTTGAACTTAGTAGTAGCAGGCTTCTGGACCTGAGTCATAGCACATGCATAGATCTCTAGACAGCAGGAGTTTGTAAAATCAAGTCAGTATATTTATCTACGGTAAAACATTGCTACAAAAACTTCAGTTTTAAAGAGAGAGCGCCCCGTCAGAACAAACGGGCGTCACATACTAATACTTAACCTTCATTCTTGTTTTCTTTTTTTCTTTTTTTCATCTTTACGCCTACGCGTTCCTTCAGTAGTCAGGCTCAGCATTTCTCAAGTCCTCAGAGATCCTTCATGAGTGAAACGCATGACCACAGAACTCACAAACAAAAGTTTTGCATATACCAACTTTGCTGTTTGTGAGTGGGTTTTTTTTTTTTTTTATTTTTAGTTTTTTTACAGTACGCAAAAATCCCGTTGCAATATTAAACAAGTTTCCAAAATTCTCCTTTTTCTTGCACTTCTTTGACCTTTTACAAAATTAGCTAAAAATGTCAAAATGAGATTATTCAGTCTGTGGCACTGGTCATGCATTCCAACTTCAGTTCCTTTGTTTAAATAACTTGTTTTAATCTTTATTTTTTGCAAGCCTTGAAAGCACCGAAACAAAAAAATTGGAAAGAAAAAACAAGAGTACAGCCTTGGCGATGCTGGACTCCTCACGCTCTCCTTGTGTTTGTGTTGTTATTTTTTTGTCTTTTTTTTAAATATATTTTGGGCACAGTAAACAACGTGAGAGTATCAAGTTCATACTTCATCGAGCATTGTGCACCCCGCCACAGTGGAGGGAGCACGGGAGGGGCAACTGAGGTCCCCTGTTTATCACATTCAGTAACAGGCCAGCTGTTGCCCTCTTCAGAAGTGGTCAATGAGCACAGACACACAGTTTGCACCCACCAGGTAGTTTGGGTCTCCAGGGAGAGATTTGTTCTGCCAGGTTTTGGGATCACCTGCAGGAAATAGAGACATGATGTCAGCTGCTGGAGCTCCTCCTTTCCTCTTTAAAATACAAAAACAACAACAACAACAACCAAACAAACACAGTGGATTTTTCTGACAAATAGAATAAGTCACAATAGGAACATGTACCACTGATGTGATTTAATGCAGGAAAAAAAAACCCAATGCAAATTAATTGCTGTTGCTCACCATGGGTTTATGTGATTAATGCTTAATCATTAATGTAATGAATGTTAACTCAGTTACTTCATACATGAATGTATTTGCCACCAAATTAACTGGAATCCAGTTACATAGAAAAGGGCATTTCAGACCCATGCATCTGATCAGCCTCTCTGAAAGCACGGCAGTTCATCTACACATCGCTACATGACCCAACAGTCTTTGTTTATGTCTATTGGGCTCGAGACAATATTAGTGACGACTGAACTGTGGGTAATGTAGGCACTATGTTTTAACAAGAAAGAATATGTGGAATAAAAAAAAACAGCTGTCCATCATTTTGACAATGTTATTGGAGTGCTTTTAAAGCTCACTAAAGGCCTACACAATAAAGTGTAAATAAGATAACGTGTTTCACGAACGATCACCAATATCTTGTTACTTGTTCACTTGTGTCCCCTCAAATAAAGTCACGTCATGACACAAATTTTCGATTATGTAATGTACATTCACTAAAAGGTAGGTATAAATAGAGCAGGTACTGGGTGATCAAATGAATGTGTCTATATATAACTGGATTCCAGCTAATTGAATTAAATGGTAACTTCGGTATGTTTCAACCTGGCCCTTATGTTTTTGTGTCCAAGTATCTAATGGGGACCTTGAGTGAGAGAGCTGCAGCCTGCAACCCCAAACAGCTACAATGTAATCCTCGCAAACAATTGTGCACCATCAAGATGATTCCATTAAAAGTGCTTGTTTTTCTGACTGACCAGTTCAGATTGTTATTATAAAATGTCTGACAACAGCTGGCTCTTCTCTGCCTTTGGCCCCTCTCTCTCCCTTTCCTCTCGTCCTCTCTCCAGTTTGTAGGAGCTCTTCATCCATATAGTTTGTATACTCGGCTCAAATAAATATGGCCGGCCTTTCACATTTTCAGTTAAATCAGTTAAAAAATCTTTAACATAACTCTCAGCTACACTTTCTTTAGTCACGAAACAACACACAACACAAAACTCTTCCTGGTTGGATTTACTACGCTTACGTTTCCGCCTCTCCCGAGATTTCCGACTTTTCCTTGAGTGACACTTTGTTAGACGCACAGTGGGTCAAGCAAAAGGAACAGAAAACATTTCATTTATCTGTAGGGTCGTGTTGTCAGAGACTTACTTCAATAATATGAGCTGGTCAGGGGTAAAAACAAACACTTTAAATGGACGTATTCTGTGCATTTGCGTATTTCATGGCTCCAGCATCCCCCTCAACACTAGACCAAATTAATAATTTGTCATCCTCATCGAACCAAACCAAACCAAAGTTACTCTTTAATGTATGAGGTAACTGATGTATTACTTGATGATTCACTAAGTGTTAAATAATCACATAAACCAATAGTGACATGATCATTATACATCATGCATTAGCATGTATTTTATATCCTTACTATAAAATAAAACTATTATTTTACATCTTGACTTAATAAATTAAATTATGGTCACAGCACAGAAGCCATAATAAAAAGAGGTAATGGTGAAGCTGGAAGAGTCGCTGCACAAAACACTTGTTATATTAAACAATAAGAATGAATGTGTGTAAAATTGCTTGTTTTGTCCAATCAACAGCCTAAACCCCAAAAATATTCAGTTTACTATCACATAAGACAAAGCAAGTAAATGAGGAGCTGGAGCATGGTAATGTTTGGCATTATTGCTCATTATTACAATAGTTGATGAATTTTCTGTCGACTGACTCAAATCAATTAATTGACTGAATCTCGGCTCTAGTAGCCTTTTATTAATTAATAATTATTAATAATTAATTTCATTGCGTGGAAGCCCGAGATTTGAATAAACAAGGCTGTTCAGTTCATATTAAGCATGAAAATAGGAACACAACTTAAAGAGCACATGCGTGAAGAAAAATTGAGGGGAATATGGAAAACAGGTGAGATGATTCAGACAACAAGAAACTCTCCTCTCTAAATCACCAAAGCCAGCCCACAGACCCCAAAGGACAGAGAGAGGACAGCGTACCCGACGAGGAGTCGGAGGATTTTAGAGCAAAAGACCAACCATCAGGGGTCATAGACGCACAGTGAGGTAAGCGCAGCTCCACCGGTTTCAGGAACTTGAGTCCATGAGGGCCACACATCACCAGCGGACTTAGCAGCGTTTCTCCTGCACGGACAAACAACAAGATTTAAATTCCACAAATTAAACATGCACGAACTGGTCAGCACACAGGATTATCTATTAACCAGTCAAGAGGCAAAATGGAGTCTGTTCATAGGCCTTCATAGAAAATAAGACTTAACTGTTAACTGGCTTGTCAGGTTAATTAAATTACCACAATCCCCTGGTGCTAAATGTTAATTTAAAAATAATCCTTGAGGGCTCATATATCCCCTTCATACTTCTTATGATAAAGTAATGTAGTGTCCTTTGCTTTTGTTTCACTGTACAGCAACACCAATGTGAAGTATACACTTTAATTAGTCACAAATGTATAAAACCTTATCCAATAAAAGCTACAGCTGAAACTTTATCCTGATGTCAAACTTTTTTTTGTTTACTGTGGCTACTTTTTACGTGAAGTACATCAGAACTTCAAGTTTCACAGGCTCAGATGTAGTGACTGTTTGTTCCTTGACATATTTAGGATGTAAAGAAACTTAGGGACCGACCTTTCTCCTTGTCGAGGGGGGGCAGGATGCTGTTGTCCCGGCACACCTTGAAGTAAATCTCCTGCTCCACACTTTCGGGGATGGCACCCTGGGGGATGATGATGCTGACGCCTGTCTCGATGGAGCTCAGGACCCCTCCGTTACAGTTGAAGATCCCCCGGGCGGTGGCCACCACTGTGTGCCCTTCATCTTCGTCATCATCCTCCAGCGTGCTGGGGCTGAGGGACGCAAGCACAGGAGTCAGCATCATCAGTCAAATCAGCGCAGGCAGAGAATAATGCACAGCAGAGGACACAAGAACAAACCCCATGTGAACAAACAAGTCTCTTTCTGTCGTTCCACAGCTCAGTAATTACCCTCAGAGAACTTCCTGCTGCTGTTGGATGTGAAATAGAGTTTTATACCTTACAGGGATGGCCTTGGGGATGGCGTTGATGTTATTGTGCTGGTATTTGGGCCTGTTGTCCATAGTGCGTGTGAAGGTGTCCAGGCCACTGTCGTGATCCAGGGGCTGTGGTGACAGCTGAGGTTTCCCACTGCTGTTGCTCACCACACTGGGCTTACTGAGGAGGTCTGTCTTCACCTGTGTGTCGTTGGGCAGCAGGTTGTGGTTGAACTTGGGGCTCTCAAACTTGCGCTCAAATGGCCGGGCTGAGCTGGTGTACGGCTTGGGGACGAAGCGGTTATAGCTAGTTGGAGCGGGAGCGGCCAGCGTCTTTGGGGGTGCTGTATCAGTGCCATTGACCGGGGATTTGTCAGGGAGGCCCCTCGGGGGCAGGTAGCCACCTGGAGTGGGTTCGTCCCTGCTGGCCGGCCTCAGAGCTGCCATCTCTGGTTTAGGATTAGGAGAGCTCAACGGCTCAGGTATGGAGTTAACTGTAAACAAATTAAGGAGGATTCAATCACTTAAATACAGACTAAATACAAACCGGAAATGTCATTTTATTTATAGTAAGCACAGTAAAACTATTATTACAACATTATATAAATTAGGGCTGCAAGTAATGATTATTTACATTTCTGATGAATCTATCTTCTCAACTAATTCATCACACAGAAGAAACTGGAACCAGAGAACATTTGATAAAATGATTAATTACCAGAATAGTTGAATAAATCATCTGTCAGTCAAATGACTAATTGTTTTCTATATACATAACAGAACTGAAATGATTAGTTAGTTAATTAGTTAAATTACAAAAAATAAATCTGGATAATTGACCAACCTTCCCTACTTCCAGCTTGTTAAATAAACAGAATATTGTTGGGTTTTGTACTAATGCTTGGACATAAAAGGGTATTTAAAGGTGTCACCACGGTTGTTTTCTGACATTTTATAGACCAGAAGATTAATTGATTAATTATTAACTAATTGGCATTTTGATTGATAAGAAAAAAACGACTTAATTGCAGCCCTGAACAACAAAAGAGACACACCATCTCTAGATTGTTTATGTACATGATGAAGTTTGAGAGTTAGGAGATCTTACCGTCACTGGGACTGAGCTTGGGCAGTGTGTTGGGTGGGATGGTGGGCGCGGGGGGCCCATACTGGGAGGATGGGCTGATTTGGGGCAGCGGTTCATATCTTTTCTCCACGGGACTCACCTTCTCTACGGACTCAACTCTGCAGCAGGTAGTCACAAACGATACAGTTAATAAAAACAAATATGGTTCCACAGTTGGTGTGAAGCACTCAGGAATTCACTATCAGCCACTTGCACACACAGGCATGTAGTGTGTCGTTGTACCTGTTGTACGGGTAGGACAGCTGAGCTGGTTTGGGCAGATCATGGAAGCGGTTGATGCCAGGACTGGGTTGGCCCATGGCCTTGCTGTCAAAGCTACGGCGATCAAAGTAGGACAACTGCTTCCTGTAGTACTCCTCATCCTCATCTGGGTCATAGTGGTTGGAACGCATTACATCATCCAGGGGTTTAGTATGGGGCTTCTGTGGCTCAGGAGCCCTGCAGAGGAAGCAAAAAGAAACAAGTAAAACAGCTGCAGAGATTTAAACAGCAGGGACAGAGAGTAGAATTGGCCTAAAGCTTGCATAAAGACCTCATATATCTGGATTGTTATTTCAGTCTTAATGTTAAAAACAGTGCGCTTATTTAAAGATGAGGCAATGACATGAAATGATAAGCGGGGTATGTTTCTTCAATCTGGATATCACAGACAGTGATGACCTTGCAGAACTGGTTGTCTTGGTTGACACTTACTTTTTTGTATTTGCACACAACACCACTCTGGCTTGCGGCCACAAGGTGGAGCTCAAACAATAACAACTTGATTCCAAGATGCCTTTGCAAGGATCTCAGAGATGTCCTTCACCAACCTACTCTGCAGCCTGGGGTGCTGTAATGAGGACTACATACCTATAGGTGGACTTCTCCTGCTCCAGGTTGCTGAGGGAATTGGCTTTGAGGACTGGGCCAGGTGCACTCGCAGGTTTAGGAACATCTGCAGGCTGAAAAGCAAAGAGGATGTCGCTTTAGTGCTTCTTGCCTCTGATTTAGATTTTTGTTCATGTGAATGGATCGCATGCACATGGATATTGAGTACTGTGCCTGACATCTCACAGCAGTTTTCTGACTGAAGCATCTGTAGTTTGGGAAAAAATGATTTACCCTCCTGTTAGTTATCCAAGCATTAATTGTTGTCCCCCTAAATAGCTAACAAAGGCTCCAACCTGACATTTAGTTTAACACGAGCCACCTTGTAGCAGGCAGTATTGTTTGTATATATTTAGTCTTAATTTTCTAGTTAAGATTTGAGCTATTTATGTTTTTTATTACTCTAATTTCTATTTATCCGCCTCTTTGAATGTGTGACTTGGCTGCAATTCTTAGGAATTATTAGGAAAGGACTCTACTCTTTATTAGCAATGTTAATAACACTGATGAAGTTAGTTTAGAGTGCAAGATGCAGAGTTATAAGGCGTTTACATTTATTTTGTCTACCATCTAAATACAGTCACTGACTGCTGCACACCTCCGTGAGGAACCTACCCGGAGGGCTGACGACTCTCCTTCTTTAGCCCTGTCCATAGAAACAGAACGTTTATTCTCAAACATCTTGACTCTGTTGAGCACTGACTGCGGTTTCATGGCCGGGTCCTCATCCAGGTCTTCCCGGGGTGGGGGAGGGAGGGGTTTGGAGCCTGGGGTGATCGCTGGTTCACCAGGGGAGGGCAGGGTCTCTGGTTTAGGAGGGGGAATTGTGGGTTCGGAGTTTATCAGAGGCTCATGCATCCCTGGCTTATAGCCCCGGTTTGGAGGCCCAGGAATGTAGGTGGGCCTCAGACCAGAGTCACCGTAATACTGCTTTGGGGGCTCCGGCGATCGAGGTGAATTAATCGGGAAGCTGTGAGGTTCTGCCTCATAAGGAGAGCGGGCCTCGTAGCCAGATGGGGGAGGGGGTGGGGGTTCATCATAACGAATGGGCCCAGGTTTACTGTGGCGAGGTCTGCCATCGTAGCCCACTTGCGGGGCCTCATCGTAGCGCGGCTGAGGGGGGCTGTAGTCCCTCCCTGGTCCGTCGTCATAGGGGGACCGGGGGCTGTAGCCCATGGGTTGCTGGTGGCCCGGCTGGTACCCTGCGGGCTGAGAGGACGAGGTCTGCTGGTCATAGGGGGGCCACTGTTCGTTATAATGAGGCACACGGTTGTCGTAGTGCAGGTGAGAGTCAGTGTTGTGAGGCTTTGGTTCTGTGTAGCCGCCTCCATCATATCCGTAAGGCGGGTGGTCGTATTCGCGGTATGGCTGTTTGTCCTGGTACGGCAGCTGGTGACTGTAGCTCATAGACTGCTTCAGGCCATGGTTGATTCGCACAGGGTCCTCCATATTGTACAGATCTTTCTTGTACATCTGTGAAGAAACAACACTGAATGAATACATCCATTACAACGCCATCACCATTTTGAGATTTTAATAAACAACCATGTCAAAAGGACAGAAAGCAGTTAGGGAAAAATGCTTTCCCAACACCAGATTAAGAATAACTTCAAGTTTAAATTCAATTCTGGGAAATAAACTGAAACCTCGAGGAACTGAACATCTATTAACCAAATCATTAAAAAACAAATCCTTCTAGCATTTAATTAAACAAACATCAATTAAAAGTGCATTTACACAAGCAAACCTTTGTCCATTACTAAAAAACAGTTCTGAATGCCTGTTTGACAAGATGCCTTTCAAGAATGACGAAAATCCATATGAGCAGAACTGGGTTTCACACATTATTAACACATTTTATAAATGGTAAACTAAGAAGCAATTTGCACATTTCTGAAAGGCCTCATTTCAAACATATGATGTGTAGCCTGTAGACAGCAAATCTAGTTACAGTAATTCCTATGGAAGAAGGTTGATTTGTTGACATCTTCTCAGGACAAAACTACTAAACAGAAGACACAATGCAGTGTGCTGATGTGAGTTTGTTTTTCCATAGGGAGAATTGCTTGATGGGAATCATTACCAAGAGTACTGTCTGCAGGTTAGCTCTCATCATGCAACCAACATTCAGTTTGCATCTAATGCAACGTCAAACTACTGGCACTACAACAGACGACACATCTACCACTATGATGCCACTCTAAGTGCTTCTATTGTTCATCTACGGAAGAGAGTTAAAGCTGAAAGGAACCCAAAAAACATTAGGAGCCATGCAAAGGAAGTAAGAGGCAACAGTTAGGGCTGGTTGTGGATGTCTTCACCCTGGTCAAAGACTCAGATGTACCAGTCCTTCTGGTCTCCCAGCCCACTGTGGTGCATGTGGACTAGTCTGTCGCACATTTCTCTGGGAGCCAGAGGCACACAGTGGGCTCAGTGAGTCACACAGTGTGGGCATGTCATGCAGAGAGCGAGTGGAAAGCATGTGCGAGAAGACAGGCAGTTAAAACAGCAGGCTGGGGCCCAGGCCCGGTCCGAGTGGCTGGTGAAACAGCGGGTACCTTTGGTTCTGGACCAGGCGGTCCAGACGGGTGGGGTTCATGTGGTGGTGGTGGGGGCTGAATAAGCTCAGGGGCAGGGCTGGGGCTGCTAAGTGAGTCAGCCTGAGGAGCTGCGGCTGCAGCAGGCGGCTCCTCTAGGTGCATACCCTCTAGCTGTACAGGCTGCTCAACAGCAGGAGGCGCTACCACCGTCGGAGGCAACGAGGGCATGGGCAGAGCAGCCTCATCTTGCTGTGAAGTATTGTTAAGAGACATTTATAACACAGCCTACCAAGGGCACACAAAGTACACGTCACCCCAACACCATGATCTTCTTCCTTACACTGAATCAGTTTTACACCAGCCAGAGAATGCACACACAAAAATGTGGTTAGAATAGATAACATACCAGTAGCTTCTAAAACATGTTTATTACTTAGCAAAGGACATCTAATCTTAACAAAGGTCAGGACACAACACTGAACACAAAGGAGCTATTCCTCTGCTCTGCAGTCATATACCTTTAGCCATACATCCATCTCTGACAGGCACAGCCTGCAGTGGCCTGCCTGCAGAGCTAGATATGAACTTTACCTGTTGTGGAGCGGCCATCTTGAACCCAGCAGGGTCTATGCGACTGGCTGGTTCCGGCTGCACAGGGTGCTGGTATCCAGGGTAACCAGGGGTGTCCTGAATTACAGGTGGGTCTTCTCGCACAGGTTCGGAAGAGCGGGTGATGGCGGGCTCCGTGGGCAGACCCACCTCGTCGTTCAAAGTCTCGTCCAGTTCCTGGTCTGTGTACGCTCCACCCTCCGTGTCTGTGTCCTCATAATCAGAAGTGTGGCGGCTGTCCGTGCTATACATGGAGTATTCACTCCCTGGCGCAGACAGGTAGGACAGACGGTCGTCGTGGATATCCAAGTCATCCTCTGTAGTGCCATCCGCCTGAGCAGAGCAGAGAAATTATCATCTCAGGTGTCGCTCAGTCAGACTAACAGTCTCAAAAAACAATGTTCACTGAAATGGAATGAACAACGCAACAGGCCCGTCTCTCACCTTGCCCTCTGAGACCCACACCAACTGGTTCTGCTGTTGCTGGATTGTTTCTTTCAGAGCTCCATACCAACCGTCGTTCATATTGTTCAAGTTTATGGTGGCTAAAAGAGAATATTTTTGAGTCACAATCTCTTAATCAGCAATATAACATATCAAAAATACAATATACATTTTAAATGTACTGTTTTAACACCCTCAGCCCACTTACTGGTAAACAGGTGGTGATTATTCTTCCTCAGTTTGATAGCTCTCTCATAGAGCTTCCTGGCGCTCTTCCTGGACTCTGGACACAGTCTGGTCCTCATGTTCTTCACACCCTGCTTATTATCGGGATTTAGGAAGACAACAATCGGGTACCACTGAGCATAGTTCAGCCTGTCCACTGCATTCGGGGTGATGTCCAGCACAGCATGTTTGTCCTTCATGAGTAAAGACAGGAAAGAGGAGGGATGAAATATAATGCATGTGTGACAAAACACTTGAAAAACCTACAATGCATTCTTATGATAAAACGAGGCATACTCACTCTGTCAATTATCTGCTTGATGGTGTGAAGACGAATGATTCCTGAACTACGCTGGTCTGTTCCTGCATCTCTAGGTTCACTCTCTGGAAACAAGGTTAGAGGCATTTATTTAGAAAACAGGTTTACTGTCAGTTGATGTTAATCGTCAATATATGTGCAATATAATGCATACAAACATACTTGCAAGCTCAAAAAGATCTGGCTCTTCTCTGGAGAGTTTTTCTCGGGCAACGTCAGCGATCGGCCCAAATATCACCACAGGTCTCAGGAAACCAGCTGCACAGAAAAATAAATATATTTATAGAATGCAGATTTAGTCTAAGGGTGACATGTCAGCTAGTAGATACGGACAGATTCCTCACCCTCTCTCAGCACAACCCTTTCATAAGCTGGGAACTTTGTTTGGACTGGCTGGGAAGAGAGGTCCTCTCTGCTCTTCCTCAGGTTCCTCTTGGAGCTGCGAAGACCACGAAACCTCCAGAAGTCAGCCCTGTCGCCCCCTGCTGTTTTGGGGAGAGTGTATTGCACGCTGGAGAGCTGCTCCGCTCTGTTAACAAATGGCAGAAAGACAGACAGTTCTTAATGTAACACAAATGGATGTGTCATAAACTTGGCATAGCTAACCTTAACACTGCCAATACCTAAAGACATCACATGGCAATGATAATCATAACAAATGACCGGCTGTCTACTGTTGTGACAAACATTTATCCAGTATGTCACAGTATCACAGTATAAATGTTGAGATGCTGTCACCTGTTTTTGTTGGGGATGATGCCCCTCTCCACCTCTTGGTGGTTCTTGCCAATGCGAATAGCCAACCAGGAGCCCAGCTTGCCGTTGTAGAGGGTGTCCACCACACGGAACACCTCGCCCTTGTTAAAGCTTAACCCATACGGAGATTCCTTCTCATACTCAAAGTGTGTCCGGATGTAGAAGGAGTCACCAACGTCCGACTCCACAATCCGCCGATACACTGAACAGGACAGAGTAGTGAGTCAGACACAGACACACACAGACACACACAGACACACACAGACACACACAGACACACACAGACACACACAGACACACACAGACACACACACAACACAGACACACACACAGACACACACAACACACACACAGACACACACACAGACACTGGGCCAAAGTGACAAACATAAATAGTCTCATCTCCTGTCTCATCTCCTTACTCACTTCACTTACCATCTTTCTTCTTCTGGGCCAGAATGGTGACCTCTTCACCCTTAGGAAGGTCCAAGAGGAACAGCACCGCCTCTTCTCGGATTATGTTTGCAAAATCTACATTATTTACCTGGAATTTGGGAACACAGAGGTTACTGCTTTATGCTTTCCACAGAACTTCACTGTTGTCTAGGACATAAGTTTAAGTTAAGGAGCTGGCGTTATTGTTCAGAGAGTGCGCAAAAGAAAGTGTAAATCTCTATTTAGATAAAGGTTACATAGCTCTTCCTGTTCTCCGTATTTCCAGGGTAACTGCAGGTTTTACTGCACTGCAAGAACTCAAGCCATTCCTCATTATACTTGGAGAAAGCAGGAGGCGGTACAAATGGCAAGATATATTGCTTTGAGGAAATGGGACAAACACAGGGAGAGGAAACACAGATTTTTTGTGTGTGCTCCCTCGGGGCCATTGCTAAGAGACCAGCCTGAAGGTACAGGAATTTTGGAGCAGCCAGTGTGAAAAACCGTGACTAAAAAAAGGAAAAAAAGGAAAAAGCTTGAGGAAGCACACCCCATAAAACATGTCTGTTAACAGATACTATCACATACTGGTTATTAAAACGAGGAAAAGAAAAACAATCTTTTGAAACACAGAATAAAGTTTTGGACACGTTTGCAATCTCATTTTTAGACCAACTCTTCAATTCCAAAACAACCACTTGATTTCAGCTGTCAGGTTATAACACTGTGTTAAAAATAAAAGTATCTCACCCTGAGAATTTGGTCGCCCTCCTCCAGGCCCTCCTTAGCAGCTGGGCTATCCTCCAGCACTCCGGCTACGAAGATGCCCACGTCATTCCCCCCAGCCAGCCGCAGCCCCACACTCTCCCCCTTCTTGAACTTCACCAGCTTCATGCTTGGCCTGAGGATGAGGAATGAAGATAAACATTAGGCTGATTTTCTTTGACATGACACCATTTGATGGCATTTCCCCTCTTTCCAATGAAAACTTTTGAAAACTGTCAACTGCTCCTCTAAAATGTGCTGTTATGTTAACTGCAGGTTAAAACTCTACACAGTAGGTTTTGTTTTGTCTATTTCGAGAAGACTTTGATATTTGATGGTGTGACATATTATACTAATAATATTACCGTAGGATGCTATCGTCATGGGCAGCGCTTGGCACAGGGGCATCAGAGGGACTGACTGGCAGGTCGACATCTGGCTGTCCAGGCTGAGCATACACCGGCTTGGGCTCTGAACGAAATGCAAATATATTCACGTTATTAAGAACACCTAAAACTGCACTGAACATGTTTAAAAACAAACGTTGCTCCCTCAAACACTGCCACAACTCAACAATACCCAGATACATACGTTAAACTGATGAACCAATGAAAAAAACACAACTGTTTAAAATAACAGACAGGCAGCACAAGTATTATCACAAAGACACACACACACGCACCAGCACACACGCACACACGCACACACACACACACACACACACACACACACACACACACACACACACACACACACACACACACACACACACACACACACATGTCCTGAGCAGGGAGGTCAAACAGAAAGGCAGCAGAGGGCTGCAGGCTGGGAGGAACGTCAGACTAGATCAACTCATACGGTTTATTTTCACTTGGCTCCAGGCAAACTCAGCCAGGCTCAGCAGGCGTCTAGATCAAACTTTTTTGGTAGCTGTGCTTTTTAAAAAGGGCAAAAATGACTGGTTCAAACAAGATTGTATTATATATTTTTATTTTTACTATCATGAAGTAATTAAATGGCTGTAATGATGAACAGAAAAATGTTGCATTTGTTTACAGTTATGGTTACAAAACACAAATACACGTACACCCAATGATGTGTTTTACTAGCTGATATCACTGACCTGGGAGTGGTGGGAGCTGTTTCTCCTCTCTAGCAATAGCTGACTCCTTCGGTTTGGGCAGAGGAAGCTCCTCTGCTAACTTCGCTGGTGTTGAAGCCGGCTTCGACATCCGTTCGTCATCACGACTTCTGTGGCTGCAGACAAGAATACGTGTTTTTGTACAATTTATCTTTAGAAAAAGGAAAACGACATTATAAATAGTGTATTCTGGAGATGTAGAGCTTTGAGGCAACCAGAGAGCTTTAAGGCTACATCTTGACTACACGCAACAATACGAAGGCCATTCACCACTCAATACAAATTTCTCCTGACTGCAGTGGACACGCAGTCACTGTGAAAAACAGGTGGAAAGAACCACTCAAGTCTGGAGCTGCATCTTAGTCTTGAAGGTCACCACTTTGTCTTTCCACTCTTTTGTGCTCTATTTTTAGAGCAGCTTATCTAAGGTGTCAGAGTGGATTCTGTCCTCCAGGTGAATTTCAGTGTGAGTCTGGCTTTGGACCAGCAAAAATTTGACTTTGATGCCAGTTTTAAAACAGTAAGACTGTTTAAACTGATACACAATTACCCGGGCCAATTATGAGTCAGATAATTGTAAATGATGACAGAATTTCCCTGTGATTTGATAAATGCTGGCCTTCCCAATGTGTTTCAAATGAGAAATCAGAAGGGAACAGAAGTAAAAGCAAGGCAGGCTGTCCAGTGGTAGAGCTCTATGGCTCTGACTCTAACCTCCTGGTCACATGCCTGCTCACTGGCACAACTTTACTGGCAAAATACAGCTTTATTCACAGGCTGAGTGCCCAAGTAACCATGAAGGACGTGGTTTGAAGTTAACTGGCTGCAGAGGAACAAACTTCTTTTTCAACTAATCCTGGAGGAGGCCCTACTTTTTACTGCCAACTTCCTGAACTGAGAGAAGAGTTCACAGGTCACAGATCATGTTCAGATTAACAATAACGTCCTTTCCCACCACCTCTATCCTGTTAATTAAAATATTATCATAAATTACTGAAGTACTCCAGTAGCCTAGATGTGTCAGAAGTACATTATTACAGAACATTTTTTGCTTTTGGCATCTTAACTTATTGCCCACAAATACAAGCTATTCAACAGAAATAAGAGAGCAGAATAAAGCCAGACATCCACAGATGTAAAAAGAGAGAGATCTTACAAAAGCTCAGTCACATGTATGAGGGGAAACAGCTGACAAAGATAGCTGGTGACGGCCTTTCGTTCCTTCACTGAGCCAAACATGCGGTTTGCCCACCAAATCATTCAAGAGACACAAATTTCCTGTGATACTCCGTCAAGTCAAAACAAGATGTGTCCCTGAATAATTGATGTTGTATCACTTCAGCAATATTCCATTAGGTGAAAATTTTATGTTACACAGAACACTGATTTTCTTGACACAAATTAATAATTTCTCTATTGCAAAGACTGACTTTGAGTTTAGAAGTCAATACACCTAAAACTAGACCTACATGTCTATTAATCTACACTTAATCTATTCAGGATTTACTACCACTACTATTAGTAACTATTCACACTGGATAATGGTGCCAGACTTACGGTATTCTCCAGCTGTCGAAGTATAAAGGGAACAAAGAAATGGCATTAAAAGGTAAACTCGTAAGCATTGTTGCTTGATGCTAATGTGTTTGCCACATGGGATCATGTTGAAAAACTTTTCCAGTTGCCACATTATGTAGTTTTGCAGTTTTTGAAATGCTTTGTTCAAAATGGCACAGCAAGGATACACAGTAATATAGGCTGAGCACAGACCTTTTACACTAAGCAGAGCAGAGTTTTGATGGCTCTGAACCTTAATTTTGACCAAGATTGACTCTTTTGCACCTAACAGTTGACTTTTATTTTTTCTGGTCAATAAGCAGTGTGAAAGGGGAACAACTCTAGTGCTCTATTGAGTTTAAATGAAGAATTAATGAGGTACCTTCAAACAAGATTACAGTCAAAGAAGTGCTGAATGGGCTGATGGCTGGTATTAACCCAAACAAAAAATCGAAAGTCCTTCACAACCAAAAACAAACAAAAAAACAAGCCTGTCTCAATAGAAGCACAAACATTATCTTAAGATCAATTACGTAACAGCCGTTTATTACCGCAGGGCTGAAACTAATAATTATTTTAACTATTGATTCTCATTATTTTCATGATTAATCAATAGTTCTAAAAAAATTGTAAGAAAATAGAAAATGGTGCCAATTTAAAAAGCCTACAGTGGTGTCATCCAATTGTATGACATAAAAAAAAAAAAGAAAAGAAAAATGATCAGTTTACTATCGAATAAGACAATGAAAAGCAGCAAAACCTCAAAACTGAGAAGCTGGAACTAGGGAATCTATTAGGGCTGCACGATATGGTAAAAACATCATATTGTGATTATTTTAACAGATATTCCGATTCACGATTGTGTGGGAATGATAATTTTTGCATCACAAATTGAATTTTCATTTTTTTTAAACTATTAAAATGACAATAATGTTAAACTTTTGGAGGTCTGTACCAAACATGTTTTTCTAAAAATCAAGATTTGTCAACCAGCACCCTGTGCAGCATTACATACTTCATTATAATGCTGTTCTGTCACACATTTGACTTTTATCAAACATTATAGCTCTCCAATTTGCATATTTTACTTGGCCATTGGGATTTTAATAATATTTTAATTAATTGTGCAGCCCTGGAATCTATGGCATCAATGCTTGAAAAAAATACTTGTTGTTGATTGTTACTGTTTCGTATCAACTGGAGAGAAAAAGTAGCAGAAGTAAAGTAGAAAAACTTAATTCATCAATAAGAAAATGACACAACTTATAATTTTACACTCATGTGTATTGTTGTATTTCTTTCATGACACCTAAAAGCCTAAAATATAAATTTGTGGATGGATGGTCTTTACCTGCCATTGCTGATTTGCGGGGGCGAGTGTCTGGAGTGGTCTGAGGGTTCAGATCGTCTGTCAGGAGAGCGGGAGCGGCTGCTACGATGTCTGTCATGCGATCGATTAGAATGATCGGATGCCATAGAATGGATATCTGAAATGTCTGATCAAACAAGAGCCACTGTTCAATGACTGCAGTCTGAAATAAAACACTGACAAGTCTGTTTTTTAAGCTGTGGCCTGTTTCAGCTGAATCCAACACTTCACATCGCTCTCACCATCTCTGTCAGAGGCGTTGGCTGAAGCAATGCTGTCATCGAGGTCAGGGATGTTCAGCAGGGTCGCCCTGTCATCCCTCTGAACAACCATTTTTAGCTTGCCCTTTGACCTTTCTATCAGCTTCTTGGCGTCTATCAACGAGAGGTTCTCTGTCACTGTGCCATTGATCTGAGAGAATCAGAAAAAGAAGCTCTTAGCCATGACATGACAAAGAACAGACACAAATGTATTTGTTTTTCATTTTGAAATGGTCATATAAGGAGTTAAAGGCTACAAATTGTCTTAAAGGCACAAGATCAGATGCAAATTAACTGCAGCACTGATTATGTGGATCAGGGTGAACCAAAGAAAAACATTACATACAGCCAAGGTTTAGAATGGGCTACATCTGATTAACCTTTCATTTCTTAAGTGCTGACATTTAAAGGAAGTAACGTGACATGTGTGAGAAAGCTAGATGTACGAAATGATGATTGCAAATAGTTACTGTTCAAAAGTCCCCTGAGCACACAGACCTACTTTGTATGTATGATGAGTACATCAAGCAATGCTTTTATGCAAAATAGTAGTAGGAAAAAAATAAACCTAGTGCAGCAATACAATGAGTACTAGTCACATTTTCAATACTTTCATTCATGTTGAATATTTTATGATGTATATCAAATGTTCACCAGGCTTCTTGTCTCCCTCTCCCTCCCCCACCATCTCTCTCACCTTCAGTACAACATCCCCTTCCTGGATGTTGCCGTCCCTGGCTGCCAGGCTCTCAGGGGAAATGTCCTTGACAAAGATGTGGCTGGCCAGGCGCAGGCCATATTCTGCTTACAAAGTGAACGACAACAACAAAGATGATGTTAGCACAGAGTTCACGTGACCACACCGCACTTTGCTGTCAAGTTGCTGCTCCCACTGGGATTAACAGTACTGATTAAAGAAGATTAATTGCTCTTTTACTTAGATTTACTTGAGTTAACTTGGATTTTGCTGTGGCTGGCAAGTTTTGTTTACCCTGGCAGGTGACCAATGCTGATTTGGAGGTCTTATTCTCTTCTAAAAGTCTGGCTGTCTGCTAATAGCTGGGTAAATAAAATGGCAGGTGATTTCCTGGATTACTGTGGAAGATTTTCTTTCTCATCCCTCCTTTTTCATCCCCGACTTTGTGAGCCTCACCTTCATTTTTACGGGATTTGACAAGTGTGACCTTGGCAGGACGTGGGGGCAGGTTGTGTGAGCGCCGGTCAGAGCGTGGGGAGAGACTCCTCTCCCGCGAGCCGCTGCGTTCACGCTCCCTGTCCCTTCGCCCGCTGCTCCGGCCGCTGCGCCTGCCCATGGCCCCGCCCACACCACTGTAAGCACCACTGCGTCCGCTCCGCGTCTCATAAATCTCTTCATCGTAGCTGTCCTCCTCCTCATCATGCTCTGACATAGTTTCCCTCTCGCCTAGGCGGCCCATGGGGACGTGCACCTTCCTCTTCCGTCTGATTGTCTGGGGCCATAGGAAATAAGATATGAGATCATCCGGACCACCAATCGGTTACAGTAAAATGAATCAATCACTTCCTAGATCATGTACAATCCTCCTACTGGTCAGTATTGATGTATATAAGAAAGGTCTCAATGCTATACATGTCAATATACATATCAGTTCCTGATTTTAGTTTTAGTTTCAACATCTGACCACAAAATACATTTGTGATGTGAAATTGATACTCACAATTTTGGCAATTTTCCCACTTTTACGAAGCTGCTGGACTGCGTATGCGTGCTCCACATTGTCCATGGAGACAGCATTGACCATGACGACTCTGTCATTTTCCCTGGAGAGGGGACAGGAAGATAACAGACATGCTGGAGTCTTTCTGTAACAGGCAAGATAATTGAATACTAATAACTAGCAATCTGACCGGGCTGCCAGTATTGGAACAAAATCTTACTGCAATAGGCCTTCAGCTGGGCCTCCTTTCAGCACATCTGAGATGACAATGGAGGTCTCGCCGCTCTGAAAATGAGGGTTATCCCGACCTCCTGATATGGCTATCCCGAAGCCAAACCCTGGTGCCTGCACACAGAGAAACATAGATTAGGATGTTGTTTCTGAGTGCACCAACATGCTGAACACAATATAAAAAGTTTGGATACGGATAGACGGGGCTGAAAAATGACCAGCTGCTTAGACATATGCCACTAAACCATTTATTAGACCGTTTGTAAACCAGATCTACATTATTATAAAACATAACGCCGTCACACATTGTCGCTGCTGCTCTCAGCAGGCTATATATAAAATTAAATAAGAATTATTTCACTGCCAGCAAGCATGTAGACTAATAGCTGTATGCAGTTTATGTGTAGGTAATTTAGGCTCCACAGCTAAAAAGCTGGGAGAGAATGCAATGATGATGATTACAAGATGTGATCCTGAAAATGGGGAGAGAAGAAAAAGGCACGGATGGAAGCAAAGACAGTAAAAACAGCAGGGTAGAGAGAGAGATACTGGGATCAGAACATATGCAGATGTAAAGAGCATCTGAGGGAGGATAACAGATACCTACCCTGTGTAGTGTTACTGTGTGCTGTTCCCAAATGACAGTCTCCTCCATTGCTGCGCTCTGGAAAAAACAGATACAGTACAGTGTGATTAACACAAGAGGTCCACCAGAGTTCAGATACAAAAAGGCAAAATAAGGCAACAGAACATACTGCTGGCCTGATCATCTTGTGACAAAAGGGACACACACAGAGATTCAGTTCATAGAAAAGTCGTGTCCTGCCAAAGTTTCCTTGGGTAAACATCAAACGCTCTTGTTCAGAGCCTTTCTACAGCTGGCAAACTTAACACATTCCAAAAACAATTTCTGCTATCAAGAAAATGCAGTCCACAGACCATAGAAAAATAATTACTTAAATTGATAAAAGGTGACAGATTGAACATTTTAGTGTTAAAGCCAGTTTGCTCTTGGAATAGACTGTGAATTTAACCTTTATCCAAGTCTACTCCAGTGAATATTGTGGATAGTATCAGGACAATCTAATTGCCTTTGTAATGTGTACACTTGTGCTTCAAGGCACATATGTATAATTAATGCTTTATGCAGTTTACTAAACATTATGGCTTGAAAACTGAACAAAATTAGCCATCTGAGGGGTTTTGTATGGTATACTTAAGCCTGCACAGGAAACAAAACTACCCAGAACAACAGCACACTTTGAAAATATTCAGTAAAAATAATGGTGAACAGAGTAAAACCATACACATATTGAAAGGAAATAAACAGTATTTATTTATTTCCTCTTCATTCCCTCTACCAAGTTAAGAGTTTCTATTAAAAGAGGGAAGCAGTCCCAGTGTTTCTGGGCTTTTCACAGGCGAAATTTAATAAGGATGCAAACTGTCACAGCCACTAAACACACAGAAGACTGCACCCAGCGGGTTATTAGGTTTGTTTCAAGTTTTACACTGTTGCCTATTCACAGTGATAGAGAAAGCACTGTGCTTGGTTTTATTTGCAGCACGCTCACACATTGCCAAACAGACCGCATGCTATCAACATACTCTCCTTTGTAGTAGGTCCACAGTATGAGGTCCCATGTTTACTGAATACAATGACACAATGATAAAAAAAAACCTGCAAGATACAATGAGGCCACACAGACAGCAAGTCTTTGAAATTAAAAGCACACCCTCCGTCACATTAACAACCAGAGAGGATAAGATGAAGGTCGACTCCTTTAGCTGTTAGGTCAGCACTGTCCTCTGCGCCCCACCGCTCACTTCTTATCTTATCTCCTCTTCTATATCATTTCACCTCCACCACAATCTCACGACACATTAGACATTCAATGACTGCGTATAAAATACTATCAGGTCCATCCCTTTGGGGGGAATTACAACTCACATCACAGCACCTAATGCAATAACCCCCATTTGTCATGTAAATTGATCCCAGGTCTGTGACCTTAATAGGTGAGACTATCACACATTTCCTTCCTGCTCTGCTGGTAATTTCTTTGACACCTCAAACACTTACAGTATGCCTGCCTGGACGGAGAACTCATTGGGAAGAGTGATCTCATGTTGCGGCACATTAAAGCGTGATGACAGATGAGCGAAGGGAGATGAATCTCACATTAAAGCAGCATCAGTTTCAGCTCTTGGACCCAAAGCTCACATCATTGGCATCTTGTTAGCAGCTTCAGACCCAAAACACCTAGCAAGTGTCAGTCCAGTTTCATGTTGAAGATAAATATGCACCACATTAGCCTGACAGTCTGCTAATTGTATGGCTATCAAGTTCACAAAAGTGATTACGATGCCTACATTTTGGATGAGGCACGGGCAAAATATTTATAAATTATAATTTGAAAAAACATCTCAATATTAGTCTCAATAGTAATTTATCCGACTGTTTCTGCTGCCATCCTGTTTATTGTTTCACCACCCAGGCTTCCTTCAACACTTCCTTATATCTGTTGTAACCTGTCTGCCAAGTGCCAAACGTTAGCTTATGTCTGGGAATACAGGCAGCTGAATAAATTGCCACAAGTGGCCCCAGACGTTCTCAGCTTGGCAGCAACAGTCACAAACTCCTCAAGCAGCTTATGGTGGGACTCACACAAGGCCGGTGAACAAAAGTTTGCACGGGGGAACTCCCCCTGCCCTTTTACATTGAATACACTGCACTTGAGAAAGGAAAAAAAAGACATCTGAATATTAACAAGACGGCTGAAAACAGAGGCATTGGAAAGTTTGCTCTTAGGGGAGGAGGATTTATGCCTGTGTCTTCTAGATCAGCACTGTGGAAATGCTGATGCAAAGAACTTTAACTAAATTTATAGAGCGTTTGCCACTAAACTGCAAAGTTATAGTAGGTACTTGTTTCCAGTTGACATTCCTACTTTGGGAAATTCTTTATGGACATTAATGCAGCATAACACAAACATGCACACACACAAGTGTATAATGTTTAGGCACAGTGTTGCAGCGGGATTGTGAGAAATGTGATTTTGTTGTCTGGAAAATATGATTAGAGAATGCTTACTGTGTCTGATCCAGTACAAATAAATCACCATAAAATTAATGGAATGTGAAATCCCAAATGGAACAAACAGGAGGAAACTAAAATGGAGTAAAAACTAAACAGAGGAAAAAATGATTTAGCAAGGTCCTGCAGTCTCTCTCTCTCACACACACACACACACACCACACACACCACACACACAACACACACAACACACACCACACACACACACACACACACACACCTTTCACTTTGAAGGGATGTAATTTTGCTTTCTCCTCCTGCAGAGCTTGTTGCTCTGGTAACAGAGGGGGAACAGTGTGGTGTTGTTCAAGTGGCCTGACATTTTCAGGCCGTGTCTGAAGGTTCCTCTCAACTGAGGGAGGTTTAAAAAAAGACACAGCTGAATTAATTTAGAAACTAAAGCCTTTTTTAACATTTTAGGTGAGTGCTTTTTTTTGTCGCTGTACGTACATCTATACACAGTCTGCACTAATGGCCTGACATTTGTCATAAACAAACGTGTAAACATTTCTTTTGAACACCTCAAAAGTGCTGTTCTTTGTAGTAATTAACAAAGGTAAATAAACTCTGCACATAGCATTTTGTGTGTAATCTCACAACCAAATCACCATTTTAGTGCCCTAATCTGAGCCAAAGACACTAATCTAAAAAAAAGGGCAAGTACACATTAAACATCTGAGTCGATGCTGCGCTGCTCCTGTGTACAATTTGTCCTAAAGTTGCGTCAGCATCCAGTGACTGATGAGTTCTTGTGGAACTGTTGTGTACAACCCTTTATGGCCACACAACTGGTGCCAACAGAAGCTTCATGCCACAAGCCAGAATCAGGGCTGGCAGCCGCTCCACAGTGGAGACACACCACGTCGGTTGGGTCATGCTTGGGGGATTACAACCCGGCAACTTGGGAGCCAGCACTACAACACAGATGGATCGCACAGCTGAGTGTAGAAAGGACCGGAAAGCTGTGGTCAAAATGGACTGTGTGGAGTCACAAATGGTAAATGACACAATTATTCAGTAAACCCACTGTGGTTTTATTCTTCGGCAGAATAAGCTATTAAAGCACGTCAACAAATCAATCGAAAAAAAGGATAAATCATTTACTGTAAATTAAAAAATGTAAAGATGCGGGTACTATTCGTGAGCCATTAATCTGCAGACCATTTTCTCTATTAATTATTTGGTTTACCAAATGTCAGAAAATCAATGAAAAATGACATCACATTGTCCCATGGTCCTTGTCAATGTCATCCAGTTTATGGTCCAAAACCCCAAATTATTCAGTTTATAATAATATTAAAACTGATTAATTTTCTGTTAATTGACACATGAAATAATTAATTACTCATTCCAGCACTAATCCTAAAAGACCTCCATTGGCTCGGAGAGCTGAAAAAAAAAATTCATCCAGGACCTTGACATACTAAAATTGTCTTGTCCACTAACAGTCTAAAGCACAAGGAGATTCATTTAGCTATCACAGATCACTACAAAATTAGAAAAATATTCACAACTGAGAAGCTGGAATTAGTGGTTAAGTGAAGTTTTTCTGTTTAAACGACTACTAACAATTAATCTGAATTGACTAATACGGCCTACATTACTGTTATTTGGGGCAGACATTCCTAGCCAATAACAAGTTATCTATGTGCCAGTGAAATAAAATGGAGCAATGACAAAACAAGTACTCGTGTGACCTGGCAGTAAAGTAAGTAAAATTGAATATTAGCAACTTTTGGCTACTGTTGGCAAGTCTACCAGCGACTCTGGCAGGGTGCCTGTCTTTTGACAGTTCTTTCGAATCCAAATATCAATTTGGCTGGTAAAATAGTAAAAAAGGAGCGGATCTTTGGGTTTGCACTGCAACCCATGTCTCACATCTCTGCCCTCTTTCTTCCATTTCCAGACTCTATACTGTGGCTACCACCAAAACAGCCCACACTAACCCACCTGCTTTGCTGTGTTACAAGTAGTGATACAGGTCCCACTAATTCATACATGGTGTAAAGTACAAACCTGAACCAGAAAAGTAGAAGAATATCTCCACTTGGACACCGTCCTAATAATATACAACAAGCCGTCACAATACTAACTTAACCTGACCCATGAGAAGGGAAGCTGAGATGGTGTTTCATTTTGTATTTTTTGTATTTGTATTCATTTTGGAGTATCATTAAAATTAAACAGCACTGGCTCCCCAACTCTCTCAGAAAAACAAAATCATATTTCTTCTGAAGAGGGAACTGAGGCAATATGGTGGGGTGTTCAATTGTGGGACTAAAAGAATAGATTTTGTGCTGTAGTATGGTTTGGGGGTGAGGCAGAGCCTTATTCAATTTTGACCGCTCTGGGACTAGAGCAGCTAAAAATAGCTCTCATTAATTCTGCCGTTGTGATGCTGCAACAGAGTGATTTAAGGGAAACTTGCAGAATGAACACTAGAGAACATTTAATAACCTCTTGTTATATTAAATGCCATGGATTGACTGAAACAAATGATGCAATACAGCATAGAAAATACATCCACCTTCTCTCTAGTGCCCATTTGTGGAATTTGTCTGTAAGGC